CCTCCCCATCACACACCCCTCCATCACACCCCCTCCCATCACCCCCCTCCCCATCAACACCCCCTCCCCATCAACACCCCCCCCCACCCCATCAACACCCCCCACCCCCATCAACACTCCCTCCCATCACCCCCCCACCCCATCAACACCCATCACCCCCCACCCCATCAACACCACACCCCCACCCCATCAACACCCATCACCCACCCCATCAACACCCCCCATCAACACCCCCACCCCATCAACACCCATCACCCACCCCATCAACACCCCCATCAACACCCCCTCCCCATCAACACCCCTCCATCACACCCCCACCCCATCACACCCCCCACCCCATCAACACCCCCCACCCCATCAACACCCCCCACCCCATCACCCCCCCTCCCCATCACCCCTCCCTCCCCATCAACCCCCCTCCCCATCAACACCCCTCCCCATCAACACCCCCCACCCTATCAATTCCCCATCAATCCCCCATCCCATCACCCCCCCATTCCATCAGCCCCCATCTCAATCACTGCTCCATCCCCATCAGCCCCTTCCCCACCACCCCCAACCCTATCACTCTCCTCCCAATCACCCCTATCCCGATCACCCCCCTCCCCATCACAACCCCCCTCCCCATCACAACCGCCCTCACCATCACAACCCCCATCCCCATCGCAACCCCCATCTCCATCACAACCCTCATGCCCATTACCCCCCTCCCCATCCACATCACCCTCCCATCCCTATCACAACCCCCATCCTCATCACCTCCCCATCCCCATCACCCCCATCCCTATAGCCCCCCCCCTCCCCCCATCCCCATCACCACCCACCACCATCCCCATCAGCACATGACAACAACAAATTACATTTACACAGCGCCTTTCATGTTGGCGCTGGACAGTCAGGGATTTGGACCTGAGTTGGGGGTCAGGATCAGGGAGGGGTGGAGGGCAGGGGGCTGTAGGAGGATGACCGAACGCACAGGCAAAATGGAGGGTCTTGAGATGGTCCTTGAAGGAGGCGAGGGAGGGAGCGAGGCGAAGCGATTCCATGATGGAGTTCCTAAGGGTGGGGGCAGAGAGGCTGAAGACCCAACCACCCTTCAGTGGGATGGGCCGGGTGAGGGACATGGAGCAGTTGGAGCCAAGGTGCATTGAGGTTCAAAGGTGCTGTGTCCTGAAGGTTGTGTCCAGAATTTATCACTTCCTCCCGATTTCTTTATAAGGATATTAAAAAGGTCAATTTACCCTGATAACAATAACCCTGTCAAACTCGCCTCCTCCCACCTTTTCCCTGGTCAGCCTTGCGAGCTGCATGTAGTTCTTTGTGAAAGCGCTGCGTAAATTTAAATTATAGTTTGATACCTGTATGTTGTTGCTGCAGAGCCACCTTACTAACAGCAGAGGGTGGTTAGTTACCAGGTGTTTGGTAGTAAAGTAACCCAAGGGGGTTTGCCAATCTTCACTGCCAACTTCTCCTTTAAAAACAGTTGAGTTATTATAATCCTTGCAAAACCTCCGATTTCACGTAACAGGATTTTTTTTACTGTGAACTGTAACTGTAATGTGTTTTTGGAGGTGAACATAGCAGTCAATTTGCAAATAGCCACAAAGTAAATGGGCAATTTCATTTCCTTCACTGACTCCCTAATCCCCATGGATTGACTTTAAAATCCACGTCCTCACCTTCAAATGCCTCCATAGCCTCGCCCCACCCAACCTCTGAGACCTTCTGTGATCCGATGCGCTTACCCATTCCCTAGGCTCTGGCTTGCTTTACGTCACCCACTGCCTCCACCCTGCCATCGACAACTACGCCCCCGCTCTCTGGAATTTTCTCCCTAAACCCCTTTGCCTCGCTCCCTCCCTCTCGGCTTTGAAAACCAGTCTAAAATCCTCAGTGAAGACAATCTCCTCCTATCTGAAAGGTGCAGTGTATTTGGGAGTTGTTTGTGCAATGAAACCTCCGATAACCTCTGATAACCCAGCAGTAAGTAGGAGCCCAATCGTTAGTCAATTGACGGATCGCCTTTCTGGGGTAATAATTCGTTCAAAAAAAAAGAATTGACACAACTGTTTTTGGGACAACAACAACAGCTTGCACAACACGGACGAAACACTGCAGCTAATTGGGCACAGTGCTCTGGGATGCTACCCTTCACACCCTCCATGCAGTGTAGCGTCTCAGAGCACTGTGCCCAATTGGCTGCCGTGTTTCGTCCAATAAAATAGTCAATTCACTTTACAGCATATTCTGTGAAGCACTTTGAGACGTCTCAAAGCCATGATATGGCACTATATGTGGAGTCCTGTAGCTCAGTGGGTAGAGCACTCGCTTTGCAAGTGAGAGACCTGAGTTCAATTCCAGACAGAGGGCGAAACCTTGGGCAAGTTTCCTTACTCCACACAGAGCCTAATAATAATCCCTCCAAAACAAAAAAAAACAATAATAAATTAGTCATTTTCAATCCACGACTGTTTGTGGGACATTGCTGTGCGCAATTGGTTGCCGAGTTCGCCCACAAATATACAGTCAATTCACTTTACAGTGTGTTCTGTGAAGCGCTTTGGGACGTCCTCCCGACGTGAAAAGCGCTATATCAAATGCAAGGATTATTATAGGATTATTATATCAAATGCAAGGATTATTTTTGTTATTATACGTTCTGGTACTTGACTGCCAATAAATCGTCCCTTTAAATCATTGTCCGTTTATTTCTATTTAATCTTAAAGGTGCAATGTCTTCAAGAGAAAAAAGCACCTAATGAATTTATACTTTATTTGCTGAGGGAGAGGAGTCTTGTATTTGTCATGAGCTGAAGGCAGGAGGATGTGGACACAAATGTATAGTCACTATATTTGCAGTATATCCTGATAAGCACTTCGAGATATCTCATTGATTTGATAGGCGCTATATTAAATGCAGGGACTATTATTTTGAGTAATATTCTAACTTTCAAATATAATTACAAGTTTTTTTTTCTCTTGCTGTACAATCACTGACCTGGATTTACTGTATCCTGATTCTAACACGTTCATTCCCATTCACTCAATTTGTTTTTCCCTGTATCAGTTGTCCTTTGGACACACATCCTGTTAAAACATTGTAGAGAAACTCTGGGAAACCAGAGTGTGCTGAGTTCACAAAAAACAGGGAGCTGCTGTCTTTCTTCCAGATCTGCTGTTCTTTCTTATCAACAGAACTCAACCACATTGGCCGTCAAAGGTCAATCTGCACACCAGGCGGTGCCATGTACAACTCATATAATCATACCATTGCTGCTGATAACCTTTTCACTGGCTGCCTGCTTGAGGGAGCAGATATGGCTAAAGCTTGCCTTTAACTGTTGTGCTTTCCAATTGAATCAATAATAATAACAATCCTTGCATTTGATATAGCGCCTTATCATGTCGTTGAGACGTCTCAAAGCGTTTCACAGGAAGCACTGAAAAGTGGATTGACTGTGTATTTTTGGGACGAAAAGCTACAGAAAAGACAATAGAAATGTCCATCCAACCATCTATTTGTCACAATAAAGATTTTTTAAAATTTGACATAATCGTACATTCCATCTCTCATCTTGAGTTCTCCAATTTTCTGATCACAACTACCTCCATGGATCACGTATTGTTGCTGTTACTGCTGTTGAATCAGTAAAATCTGAACTCTGTTCACCTTGCCTCAGAGCTGCGCTGCTACCCAAATTTTTCAAAGGCTTCCTGGGAATTTGCATTCACTTCAACAGCCAAGAGGCACGAGTTGTGTCTCCAAACCTGGGGAGCCTATTCCAGCACCTGTCATTGCCTTTTCAGACGGACATTATACATCACATGCCTCTATTTGAAAAGAGAAGATTTCTTTCGCTGTCCTGGCCGACAATTCCACAATTTCGTCATTCAAGTTATAGCTGTTATATGGACAGTTATATGGGACATAGCTATGTATAAATGAGTGTTCCTACAAATATATTGTTACTACACTTTATGGTCCAAATTCCCGACTGTCCAGAGCCTTGGGACGTCCTCCCAACATGAAAGGCGCCATAGACTTGTAAGTTGCTGTTGTTGTATCCTGTTAACCACTTTGAGACATCTGAATGATGTGGTAAGGCACCCGATAATAATGCAAGGATTATTATTTTAAGGATTATTTATAACTTTCAAATACAGTTAGTTTTTTTCCCTTTTTGTCGTTCTCTCACTGAACTGAATTTACTATATCCTGATTCTAACAAGTCCATTCCCAGGACAATACATTTGATTTTCCCTTCCTCTTGTATCCCTGTTTCAGCAGCCAGTTCTCCAGATCACCAAAGTATGGGTTACGTACAGAGTAAAACTCCCTCTATATCAGTGGTGGACAAGCTTTTTGGTCGGCCACTTCTTCACAGCCCCATGAGTGATAGGTTGACCACCACCGCTCTAGACTGACACATTCAGCACTCCCAGGTCAGCTACAAACATGGGTTAAATAGAGTAAAACTCCTTCTGCAGTGGTCCGCGGGCCACTTTTCAGGCATCAAAAAGTGGCCCACCAACCACCCTCACCAGTCCAAGCAAGTCCGCAGCTTGTTCCCAGGAGCGACTGAGCCACTGTACCCATAGCACATAAATGAAGAAAAATTCAATAAAGAAAAATATATTTGGGTGCCCACCACTGCTCTATACTGTACCATCCTGCGCAATTGGCTGCCGCGTTTGGCCCACAAAACATACAATCAATTCACTTTACAGAATATTCCATGAATCACTTTGAGACTTCTAGAATACGTGATAAGGTACTATATCAAATGCAAGGATTATTATTATTATTATTATTATTATTATTATTATTATTATTATTATTATTATCCTGCTCTCTCTGGTTAGCTACAGTTTGGGTGAAATCCCTCCACAATGTCATATAAAACATTTCATCCATAACTCTAGAAGGAGTGCCCTCTGCTTGATCAATATGTATGTTGTGTTTTCTTCCCCAGGCATCTCTCCCCCAACCCCCTCCACACACACACACATACACAGAGCAAAGGTACCAGTTTAGTGCTGTGCTTGGAGCTCACTTTGCTCTAACACGGGAGAGGAGTGCAGTGTGTGAATGTGTAATGTGGTTGAGGTAATGGATCACTAACCTGTAAACCACCAGAGTTTGGCTGGGCAGCACTCATGAACCCTGTCTGCAGAAGTTCTTCTTGTGTTTGTTCTCGGTGAATACAGTCACTACAATAACAATAAGTATATTTGTAGCTCAGGACATTTGTGGGATGTCTGCAGTTCAGTGGTTAGAGCACTTGCCTCGCAAGCAAGAGACCTGGGTTTGATTCCCGCGGGGCAAGTTTCCTTACTCTACACGCCTGATAATAGTCCCTCAAGAGAAAATAACTAGTAATTTGCTCACTCAATTCATGACTGTTTGTGGGGACACTACTGCTAGCAATTGGCTGTTGCATTTCACCCGCAAAATATGCAGTCAATTCACTTTACTGTATATTCTGTGAAGCGCTTTCAGAAGTCGAGAAGACGCGATAAGGCGCTGTATCAAATGCAAGGATTATTATTATATAATTTATTGTATAGCTCCCTTCATCTCGGGAGGACATCCCAAGGTGATGGACAGTCAAGAATTTCCACCTGAGCTGGGGGTTGAGATCAGAAAGGCTGGAGGGCAGGAGGGTGGGTGTAGGAGAGTGACTGAAGGCTCGTCGAAGGGTTTGCCTCACCTCCTCTCTTAGCTCTGTCAAGGCCTTCTTGAGATGGGCCTTGAAGGCGGCAAGAGAGGGTCTGAGGCGAAGGGACTGTGGGATAACGATCCAAAGGGTGGGGGACAGAAAGACTGAAAGTGCGACCGCCGATGGCAGGGGACATGGAGCGGACTTCACTTTGCATCAGTGTATCACATGCCAGGAATATTATTGTCACTGGGCAGGAACTGGGAAGTGGTGAAACCTGTTGTGGATTCTTGCTGAGGGAGTGACAGACTGAGGGCTGCTCTGTTTGTTTCGTTGTGAGGCAACTCGAGGATTCAGAGCAAATCAACACCTTGCAGGCGGGTCCAACATTCACCACAAAAATATTTAGCTGAAAGGAGAAAAGAAGACCTTACATATTGATAGCATCTGATCATGTAGAGGGCAGAGGGCGAAACCTTGGGCAAGTTTCCTTACTCCACACAGAGCCTAATAATAATCCCTCCAAAACCAAACAATAATAAATTGGTCATTTTCAATCCACGACTGTCTGTGGGACATTGCTGTGCGCAATTGGCTGCCGCATTCGCCCACAAATATACAGTCAATTCACTTTACAGTGTGTTCTGTGAAGCGCTTTGGGACGTCCTCCCGACGTGAAAAGCGCTATATCAAATGCAAGGATTATTATTATTATTATTATTATTATGTATCAAAGCATCGCTAGTCATTTTTGTCAAGTGCAGTGGCTTTGGTGTCAGAAAATGTGGCAGCCATTTGAGCAGCAGAGTATCCCACAATCAGCTGTTGAGCGAATTACTCATTTTTCTGTTCACCAGGAGAAAAGCATCGGGTGAAACATCGTACTTTTTTTTCCAATAGGATCTTGGAATCCCGAATCCCCTCTATTCAAGGACAGCACCTCCAACAACTGTTCCCTCCATCCAGTATGTTGCCAGAATGTCAACTGACTTATAAAGATAAATAATAATCCTTGCATTTGATATACTGTCATATCATGTCTTTGAGACGTCTGACAGCACTTCACAGAATATACTGTAAAGTGAATTGACTGTATATTTTGTGGGCGAAACACGGCAGCCAAGTACGCACAGCAGTGTCCCACAAACAGTCGTGGATTGAGTGACCGATTTATTATTATTATTTTTTTTGAAGGGTTTATTACTCCCAGAAAAGCGATCCATCAATTGACTAACAACCGGGTTCCTACTTACTGCTGGGTAAACAGAGGAGTGCGGAGTAAGGAAACTTGCCCAATGTTTGCCCTGTCTGGGAATCAAACCCAGGTCCTCTCACTTGCGAGGCGAGTGCTCTAACCACCAAGCTACAGGATTTTACATTGCCGGACTCTCTACTTGTGTGGAATGTGGGGGTGGCCCAGAGAGCCAAAACACCAGGAATCCAGCCAGGAAGGGAGACCAGTTTCAACTGTTCGTTCAAGAGAACAATTGGCAGAAAGAAGAGCTGTGCCTTTAAGGGGCGGTGCATCGCATTCCGGGTTGCCTTGTTGGTTGCAGACCAAGCCTCAACCTCTCAACATTGCAGAGTGCCTCCGCGGGAGAGGATTGATTGTGTCTCACAAGCCACTGTGCCTGAGCTACCAGTGGTGTGCACTGTACACACAGTGTACGTAATGCAACTCCTCCAACAAGTGGCTGGAATCGAATCATTCGCCGAGGAGGACGGGACACACTGCTGACTCGGAACAAACTCTGATCAGGTAACAATTTGCCTTCTTAAGGTGACTTGTACAATGTCGTGCAGCTCTCGCTGCTGTGGTGAGAGCCACCACCTGCAAATGTGACTCATAACGAGTTTGTCCTGAATTGTCTCTCCCTCTCTCTCTCTCTGACACAACTTCATCTTCTCCTTGAGTGAGCAGGATCTCTTCTTTCCTTGCACTGGGAGACGTGTGGCCACAGGCACAGGGTTCCCCCATCGTATTATAGCAGCGATAATATTCCTTGCATTTGATACAGCGCCTTATCATGTCGTCGAGGTGCCTCAAAGAACTTCATCGGATATACCGTAACGTGTAGTGAGTATGTATTTTCTGGGCAAACTTTGCACGCAGCAGAGTCCCATAAAAAGCTGTGAAGTGACTGACCAATTTTATCTGGGGGATTGTTGGCCAACACCCCGGGAGAGAGAAACTCCCTTACTCCCTTCTCTTCTTGAATAGTGTCAGGGGATCTTTAACATCTACTGGAAAAGTCAAATATATCATCCAAAGGATGGCATCTCTGATCAGAACACCGCAATGGAATGTCAGTATCGACTATATTGGTTCCATGTCCTGACGTGGGTGGGGGGAAGGGGTGTCATTCACTGTCCACTTCCCTGCGCTCACCTGCTGGCCAGGTGTCAGTGTAACTCGCCCTCTCCCACCTCTGCCTATCCCTCCCTCGCTCAACTCACTCCCCCTCCCTCTCCTCATCTCAAATGACTGAATGCAAAGCCAGCCTGAACTTTGGAACTGATGAGTCAGTGGCTGTGCTTGAGTTCACTGGAAACCAGGAAAATACCTAACGCTGCAGTCAGCCAGAGATTGGGCAGTCATAGGGGTAGGCGGGTGCTGGGTGGGGTGGGGGTGGGGGTGCAGGATGAGGGTGAGCCGTGAGCTGGGAGCCAGGGAGTGAGTTTCTCTTGGTGTCCTGGCTGACAATCCCTCAAGTAAAATTGTCCTTCCCTTCCCTTCATGGCTATTTGTGGAATGTCCCTGTGTGTAAATTGGCTGTCGTGATCGCCCACAGGTACACAGTCACTCCCTTTCACAGTATGACACTTGAAGAGGTCCTCCCGACTACAACAACAAGATTTCATTTATAGAGCGCCTTTCACGTCCTTACATTTGACTATAGCAAATGTAAGGATTACTATCCCAAAAAGTCCAAAAATTGACCTATGACTGTTTGTGGGACACTGCTGTGCACAATTGGCTGCCATGTTTTGGCCACAAAAGACACAGTCGATCCACTTTATGATATATTCTTTTGGAGTCCCGTAGCACAGTGGTTAGCGCACTCGCCTTGCAACCGGGAAGATCCGGGTTCGATTCCTAGGCGGGTGAAACGTTGGGTAAGTTTCCTTACTCCACACCCCTCTGCTTACCTAGCAGTAAGTAGGAACCCGGTTGTTAAGTCAATTGGTGGATTGCTTTCTGGGGCTAATAATCCCTAAAAAAATTGTTGGTCACTCAACCCATGACTGTTTGTAGGACACTGTTGTGCGTATATGGCTGCTGCATTTTGCCTGCAAAATATACAGTCAATTCCCATTGTATATACTGCAAAACACTTTGAGACGTCTCAATGACATCGCAAACCCAGTCTAATCGCAATCTCCTGCACTCTCCCCCATGCCCTTTAATACAGTTCTTTTTGAAGTATCTAATTCCTTTTGTCTCCACCTCAACTAGAGTTTGTGGCAGGACATTTTCCATTCTCACCCTTCGTAATCTAGGAGGCTCTGTGTCAGTCTCAGTAGTCCGGTTCCTAAGACAGGTGTGTCTGCAGGACTCCAGGGCACTGATGACAAGCCAGCCTGGCTCAACAGCAGGACTTGGAAGGGCAGGGATTCTTCCCATTCAGCTCCTTGTTAGCCCTAATGAGTAGGGTGGTCCTAGCTGGACAAGTAGCGGGAAGCTTACCTGGCAGTGCGTTTAATGGCAAGCTATGCAGTTTTAGCTGGTGAACTCTTACCAAGCTCTTACCAACCAGGCAAGAGTGCATATTCCAGACGCAGGAATTTCCATGGCAGATTCTTCCCCCCCCTACTCCGTTTCCCCCCCCCCCACTCATTGTTTGCACAGTGCACCACACAGTGTGACAATAACAGCACGCACAGGGTTAAGGTCTTGGCGTTGTGTTTACAACGGGATTTCCCATTATAATTGCGCGGCTGTTAAAGGTCGCTTGACTCTTATCGTCAAGGGGAGAATCGCTCTCCTGTTTCTGTACAAATACTTCCAAGGACAAAGTGCTGGCACACGGTGCCTGTCTCCAGCTGCCTGCGTGAGGGTGAGATTGCACAGAGCAGTGCCAGCTCCCTGACTGTACGCCTGTCATCTCTACCCACTGAAGTCATTGGTCAGGAATGCCAGTCAGCGGGAAGCTCCATCTCGCTGCCCGCATACGTGCTTTTAAAGGGGCAGCGCCTACATCATCGGTTAACTTTTAAAGGCCAAAAGGTCTGTGTGTCAAGCCTAGCGCAGTGAGTCAGTGGGTTGTGGGTTCAAACCTCACGTCGGGATCTTGAGCTCACATAGCTGGGTGGCGGGGTGATGCATTGTCAGAAGTACCGTCCTTCGGATGTGACGTTAAACCGAGGGTCCCATCTGTCTGTTCAGGTGAATGTGAAAGATTCCATGGCGCTATTCGTAAAAGAGAAGGGAGTTTCTCTCTCTCTCTCTCTCCCCGGTGTCCTGGCCAACAATCCCGCAAATAATAGTGGCCGCTCACTCCACTGCTGTGTGAAGGTTGGCTGCTGTGTTTCGCCCACAGAATGCACAGTGGCTTCACTTAAGGCGCAAATATCGAATGCAAGGATTATTACGTTTATGAAAGGTGCAATGTGCTCACTCACCCTGTAGATAGTCTCGTAAAGAGATATAATGGCACGAAACAGCCAGCTGATATTCTCTTCGAGGAGACGTTTGTAGCTCAGTCATGAGATCGTCTTGAGACAGCGTCATCACAAAGCATGTCGATGGAAGATGAAATTTGATACGTGTGGGAGAACTCTTTCCCAAACAAGTTTCCCTCTCCAGCTACTGTAACTTTAAAAACCACAAAGGCAAATTATATTATCAGTTAAATTATTTGCTGTGAGTTATTCAAATCTGGAGCAACTTTTCTACTGGTTTCTTTTCTCTCTCTCTCTCTCTCTCTCTCTCTCTCGCTGATTTTCTCCTTGTGTTCCCCCCCCCTCACCCCACCCCACCCCACCCCAAGACATTTGACTCACCTTTGGCTTTCTAATGGGATGGGGGTGGGGTGGTTATGATGCTCAAGCCCCCTCTCAGATCTTGCTCGAGTGACCATCACTCATGTGTATTGTGAGCGATGATCTGAACACTTCTCGGGATTACTGTCAGTGTTAATATTAATCTGATACTTTGCATTGTTGATATGTTTGCTTTGGTGTTTCAATGAAAGAAACATAATATTGACATGTTTGCCCTGACGGACACTGTGCCTCTCTGTGTGTGGCAGACTGCATTTCCCTGAGTAAACCCTTGAGCACTGACAATAAACCCATTCACTGCTCTGTACCTACTAAGCAAAGCAGATCGAAAACACAATTGCTGCATTCCACTGTAGTTCACTATTTACACTAGCAATGTTTCACTGTAGCATTATGTGGTTTCAAGGAAAAAGCATCTCTTCGCTCTACTGCCTTCTCATTGCATCATCGTACTGGTTCTTCAATGAGTCCAGTGCCCTGACCTCGACCACCTTTCTCGATCCCCATTTTCAGCTCTGGTGAACAAGTACTTCCTTGTGTCCGATCCTAGACTGTACTGCATTACTTCCATGATCCTTAGCCCTCTTGTCCAGCACCTTCATGCACCACCTCCACCCCACCCTCACACACATACAAACATACACAGATATCCTCTCACTTCCAACCCCCCACTCACCCGTGCCTGGTCTCTGAAAGAGAATCCCTCCACCTCACCCTCTTCCTTGCCTCCTTCAAGGCCCGTCTCTTTGATTGTGCCTTCGGTCATCCTTCCACCTCCACACTCCTTACCTTCTACCCCTCTTGATTCCAACCCCCAGCTCAGGTGCAAACCCTTCACTGTCCTGGGATGTGAAAGGTGCTATATAAATGCAATTTGTTGTTTTTGTTGAAATTTCTCAATTCCGTTTATTTAAGATGGTTGACAGTAAAGCTCCCTCTACACTGTCCGTCCACACTCCCAGGTCAAGCTTAGAAATATAGTAAAGTTCCCTCTACACTGTCAAGAGTTTAGAAATATCGGCCTATACTTTGTCGGCTTTACTGCACACAATTGTATTGTTGATTTCCAGACCATGGTCTTATTTCTTGCTTGTGTTGTTCAGATACCTGGAGCTAAGTTTGAACATAAGAAATAGGAGCAGGAGTTGGCCATTCGGTTTTGTTGACCAAACTCGTGATCTCTTGAACAGAGAGTGGAACAACATGGGCGATGCACTGAGCTGCCACCAGGGGGAGAAGGACACAAACAGGCGGCAGCCGAACAGAGAGGGAAAGGATCACAAGAGACATCTCAGCGCCGTTTGCAATTTCTCCGAGGTTTTGGTAAGAGACAGCCGGATCAACATCAACACCGCCCGTGAGGAGGAGCTGATGACGCTGCCGGGCATCACCCGCTTCCTGGCCCACAACATCGTGGTTTACCGGGAGAAGATCGGTGGCTTCCGCAAGGTGGAGGACGCAGCTTTGGTGACTGGGGTCGGGGCCACCAAACTGCAGCTCATCAAGTCTGAGATCTGCGTGACCCGAGGGGACTCCTCAAAGGCCGCCCGCAATCTCTCCAGCTTCGATCTGGTCTCCTCCACCAAACTCAACATCAACGTTGCCTCCGAGACACAGCTCACTGCCGTACAGGGGGTCTCAGAGAACCTGGCGAATGATATAGTTCTTTACCGAACCGCCAACGGACCCTTCGCCCACGTGGACCACTTGCTTCGGGTGCCCGGGGTGGATGTGGCTTTATTGAATGTCATCCAAGGCAAACTCACTGTCTCCCTCCCCAGGCCCGCCTCTTCCAACTTATGCCTTGGGGGAGAATCCAGGTCCAATTTGAGATTGTCCTTCTACAGCCTCCAGCACCTGAACCTGGAAGGACAGAGCCAGACCTCGTTGGTCCGCCCGCTGCTGAAGCCCTTCACTGGCCAGCACAATGGAAGGCCAGTTGTCCGCATCGGCAGCTGGAACCTTCAGAACCTGACCTTGGATAAAGTCAACAACCCAGGAGTGCGAGAGGTCATCTGTCTGACCTTGCTTGAAAACGGGTACGTAGAAAACCATTAACCCTAACCCTCATACAGTAAGCTTGCTGAGTGTCTGACATGCTTAAACATCTGCAACCTAAATTATTGACAGATTCACAAACAGAAATTCCTGTTTTCAATATGGACTATAAGGTCTATCCCAACGAGATGCATCCTTGCTTATCTAATCCTGGAGCGTTTCAGCTCAGGTTGGCAACCGCCAAGGTTGGGGACCACTGGAGTGTACGTTAGGAATTTCAGTCTTCCCCATTCACTTTGTGGCTGTTTGTGAGACATCGCTGTACACAAATTGGCTGTTGTGTTTGCCCACATGTGCACAGTCACGATACTTTACAGTGAATCATGTGTATCTCTTTGAGCCTTCTTAGTGAGGTGATAAAGTGCTATTTAAATGTGAGGATTATTATATCTTTATTACTGCTGGAGTTTAATCAGCTAAAACACTGGCAAGCCTCCTGCTCCTTGTTCAGCTAGAACTACCAACTACTTTGTTGAATGTGATCCAGGGCAAACTCCCTCCCCTGGCCCGCCTCGTCCAAAGTTAGGACTTTGGTTTGCAGGATTAACAGGAGCTCAGTGGGACAAATCCCTGTTCCCAGGGACTCGTCTGGCCCTGCAACCCTTGCTGATGAACCTGGCTGGCTGGTTCGACCCACGCTCTGTCTGCTGTGCAGACAATGATAGATCCAGAGTGCCAAAATTCCACCTAGCCTTAGCTTGTGAGACCATCTCGGCTGAAAAATTTAAGACGACACAGAATTTCTGTCCACAAAAGATACACTTTACAGTACATCCTGTGATGCACTTTGAGACGTCCTCCCAATGCGAAAGCCGCTACATTAAATGCCAGGATTATTGATTTATTATTTATCATTGTGTAAAATGTCTCAATTTGGAAGTTGTGTTTTTGCAGTTAATAAAAAGTAACTGGCTCCCAAATTAAGACTGAATTTAAGACCGTTTTCGTTACATTTTGGAAAGTTCTTAAATTCAGACTGAATCAGTGTTTGCTGATTATTGACTGTGGTCTTTATACGGTGCCAGAATCGCGTGATTGTCTCCCATCCCCTTCAGTACCAGCTGCGGCAGCACTAAGCCCTTTTGTTCTACAATTTGGTATTGTTCAATGGCTCCGCATTATTTTCCACAATTACAACATCTGTACTTTTTCCTTTATCCCCTGTCTATCTCAAAGCCTCATTACCTCGAATATAACATCACTCACCTGAGTAATAATAAGGGTAAATTGTATTCTTATGGCTCATTGCCAAATGCCAAACCAGCCGAAGACTTTGGGAATGGCGTTGTGAAAGTCTGGTGAGTGAAGACAGCGCTCAGTATAGAGCGAAGCTGTTCAGATTGGAAGGCTGCAGGAACGAAGACTGCAGCATTTTACATTGATGTCGCGCTGAGAAGATGTCTCAAAGTGCATCATAGAACTGCCTGAGCCTGAACCAGGGTGTGGGGAGGGGAGGGGATAATAATAATCCTTGCATTTGATGTAGCATCTTATCATGACGTCTCAAAGCGCTTCACAGAATATACTGTAAAGTGGAGTGACTGTGTGTGTTGTGGACGAAACATAAGGCCGGTTGAAGTGAAGTGAAGGGTCTTGAGGAAGGCAGTAACTGTGTTAAGGGACATGCTCCCAAATATTATGTTACCCTTAAGAAATAAAGAATAAAAATATTTTGCGTTTTATAGTACGTTATAACGCCAACATGACACTAAAACTTTACAAAAACTAGTGACTGTATTTGTAGGCAAATTCAACAGCCATTTTGCTAACAGCAGGGTCTCACCAACAGACATGAGGTCAGTGACCGATTTATTTAGTGGATTGTTGGCCAGGAGAAATATTTTGACAAGCGCCATATTTAACACCCACCTGAACAGGAAGACAGGATCTGGGTTTAGCTATGGTTTCGTGGGCACTGCTAAGAGTCTGGTACCTCAACAACAAAGCAGTGTGTGAGCCAGAGCGATGGTGAGTGGGTCAAGTTCCTTGACCATGGAGGGAGGTATATACTATGATGCGTTTTGAGACGTCTCAATGACGTGATAAGGTGCCATATCAAATGCAAGGATTATTATTATTGTTACTATTAACAACACCTGGTGTTTTGGTTGTTGTGTTACAGGATTAAGCTGTTGGCAATACAGGAGGTGCTGCATGAAGATGCTTTAGACAAGGTAACGCATTACCTGTGATATTGTCAATCCAGCATTTGTGATCACAGCGAAACAATGTAGAAATGGTCCAACGATGGGCAGCTCTCCTAGAGCAGTTTGTCCAGCTCCTCCCTACACAACTCTGCTGCCCTCGACCTCAGCTCCACTGGCAACCCAGTGCATTGAATTCAAGATTTTCGTCCTCGCATTCAAATGCCTCCTATGCCTCGCCCCATCGTATCTCTGCGACCTCTTGAGACTCCACAGCCTTGGTGCTCCCTTTGCTCAGCAAACATCAACCTGCTTCAAATCCCCCACCGAAACCTGGATTTGCCAAAATGATCAAATTCCCCCAACTTCCCACTTGGGAATTCTGTTCCCACCCTCATCCCTCAGGACATGCTGCTTCTTCCCTGTCCTCCCTGAGGACATGTTTCGTACCCCGCACCCTGACTCAATTGGCATGTCATCTGAAAATGTACGGTGTGAAATATTTATCACCTCTGAACAATGGAGTGCAGTTAATTGACCTGTTGCCTGCGACAGGTGCGGAGTGTTCTCACTTTGTCTCTGGTATAAATTCTGCTCTTGGTGGGACAACAACAACAACAACAACTTGCAGTTATATAGCGCCCTTCACACAGGGTAGCCCTGGAGTAAAAATAATCCTTATATTTGGTACAGCACCTTTCACGTTGGGGGAACATCTCAAAACGCTTCACAGGATTTATTCTTTAAGTGTAGGGACCCACCTTGTATGGATGCTAAAATTACATTGCTTACCAATTTACTATACAAACTGATGAGTTAATTGCGACAAAATTCACTGAGATAAAATCACAGAAAATTCCAATGCCAGAAAGCGTGTGAGAGAATCAAGTGTCGGAAAGACAGGACCAGGCTCCGCTGTGATCTCTTTCTTCAACCATTCTTCAGTCAATCAATCTCTCTTGAGTAGATCATGCGTAGATCAGTGCCTCTCTTGGCAATAGCAACTCTCTGGAAATCAACTGCAGTTACATTGCACCAATCCTTCCCATTGACGTGCACTCCCCACCAATACACTGGAAACATAAGGTATATGGCCTCTGTTCGAGAGAGAGTTGGAGGGTCAAAGCTCAATTTGAAGGACAGGATTATCTGGATGCTTTGAGATCAATTCCAACTCCTTGTATTTTAGGGGATGAGACCAGTGATGGTCTTGAACATTCCAATCTTGCCTCGCTTGACTGTGAAATTCAACTCTCTACGTGATGAACCTCAGTTCATTCCCCTGCCCTCGACCTGAAACAGTTTTTTGTGAATGGGAGTGCGAGATGGAAACACCGCAAGCCACCACCAAGGGCCGATCTACAACAATTTGCATTTGTACAGCGTCCTTCACGCCAGACAGTGTCTCGGAGGAGCTTAGTCTGCTCTGGTCTGTCTGTTGTGTAGCCACAGCCATAATAATCCTTACAAAAAAACAGAACTCGCTGGGAACACTCAGCAGGTCAGGCAGCATCTATGGAGAAAGATAATAATCCTTACATTTGGTACAGCACCTTTCGCATTGGGAGACCATCTTAAAGTGCTTCGCAGGATTTACTATAAGTGTAGTGACAGCATATTTTGTAGACAAACACACCAGCCCATGATCAATTTTCTTTTTCTTCACAAAACACACAGTCACTACACTTTACAGTATATCCTGTGAAGTGCTTTGGGAAATGTCCTTCTGACATGAAAGGCACTACTGCGTGCCAAGCGTAAGGATTAATAGCTCCATCAGTAGAGGACGTTGGCTGCAAATGACATCTCATTTATCAGTCCACGTCAGCACCTGCTATATTCCATTTCAGATACCAGGAAAGTGGCCGTGTGTAGGTGGTGTATGTGTCATTCTGTCTGGTTTGGATGATTGTAAGCACGTTGAAGGAGTTTCTGCAACTTGTCTGATCGAAAAAAAATCACCCGCTCGCTGCACTGTTTGTTTGCCTTCAGATCTGTCTGGAGCTCGAGAAACCCACCATCGCTACAGTCCAGGAGTGGACAGGAGACCGGGGACGCTGGAAGTATGTGGTGCTGGACACCCCAATGGGAGAACCCAAAGAGGTAACCTCGTGGTGGGGGAAACACTGCTGCTGACGCAGCTGTGTTAGAGCGCCAGACTGGCTGAGACAGCTCTCTTCTCTGCGGTCGTGGGTTCAAGCCCGATGTCAGGATTTTAAATTCACAGTCTAGGCTGACGTCGCCAGAGGCACTATCCTTCAGATGAGATGATAAACCGGGGCCTCACGTCAAAGATCCCTTGGCACCATTCAAAACGAGGAGGGTGTTTCTCGGGATGTCCTGGCCAACAATCCCCCAAATAAGAGAATGCTTTTTGCGTCATCACTGGGCAATTGCTGTGCGTAAAATTGGCTGCTGGGTTTGTCACTTCACTCTACAGTGTATCCTCTGAAGTGCTTTGAGATGTCACAACGACAGCATAATACACCATATCAAGCGCAGGGATTAGTATATTTTATTAAATCAGCCAAGTGACCTAACTTGAATCAATATAATTTAAAATATAATTTTTGCAAAATAATTCTAATTGTATATTTTTGCCCAAATCACTCAAAGAAGCACTGTATTAAACTACCACACAGCTCTGAGTAGCTTTAATCCTGACCGAATCCTGTGGCTGTTGGCAAAGGTTTCCTGCTGCCCCCATACACTAGGTGGGGAATAACTCCTGCCTAACTCCTGTCTCTGAGTTTATTTTTATATTAAGAGATAAGTTTCCTCTAAAAATATCGCCACGGAATCTGAGCTCTTTCGTCCGATCCAGCACCTGGCCGCCTTCAAACACATAATAATAATAATAATCCTTACATTTGACACAGCACTTATCACGTTGTTGCAACGTCTCAAAGCGCTTCACAGAATATACTGTAAAGCGAATTGACTATATTTTGTGGACGAAACGCGGCAGCCAATTGCCCCACAAACAGTCATGGATTGATTGACCAAATTATTATTGTTGTTATTATTTTGAAGGGATTATTACCGCCGAAAAAGCGATCGACAATCGACTAACAATCGGGTACTACTTACTTCTTGTTATACAGAGGCGTGTGGAGTAAGGAAAGTTGCCCAACATTTCGCCCTGCCCGGGAATCAAACCCCGGGCCTCTTGCTTGCGAGGCGAGCGCTCTAACCAATACGCTACAAGACACCCAATCGACTTTCACCCCCAACCACACCCCCCTCAACCTGGGTATTTCTGGTGAGCATCAGTTAGATCTTCGCAGTTCCCTAAATATATTGTAACTTTTCAATGATCTGCAGGAAGTGGAGCGTGTGGGCTTTCTGTGGGACAGTAGCTTTGGGGTAGAGCTGGACAGAGCAATCAGCTTAGAGAAGCTGCTGGAACCCACCAACGGACACCGGCTACACAGCCCGGCTCTGCTGGGTCGCTTCAAGGTACAGTATGTTTAAAATAGTCTTCTAAGGATGTGCCAAGAACCTCAACTGATTCCCAGGAATGGGCTTATCTCTACAAGAACCTCTCGATTAGTTTCCAGCCTGTAGCTCACTCCCAGGCGCTATTTCTATATAAGAATTCCTTGATTAGATTCCAGGCTGTAACCCACTCGCGGGGCGTTACAGACCAGGCGCTCCGAGATATCACCCCATGTGAGGGACGCTTTGTAAATGCAAGTTGTCGTTGTTGTTTGTGAACAAATGGCTGACTTCCAGGTCATGGTCGGCTTCACTTCTTGTGTGCTGCCCATGGGCAAAGCAGTGACATCAGTAAATGACCTAAAGACCCAGATATTGGCCATTTCAGGGTGAGAGCCGGCTGGCCAGTGTGTGGAAGTGAGCAGGCAACGCAGGGCCTGAATAAAGTCCACATTACAATTGCGTTACAACTGAGATTTGTGCTGTAAAGAAGTGCATCCTAAGGGGGTTGCAATCGATAAACCACCCATCCCCTGGTCAGATTGCAGCCTGTGGCTCCCTGCTCAAACACTGGGTGTGATGCCCTCCACAGCTGCTGGGTGTTATCTGAATGGATGTTCCTCAATAACTCTAGATCGCCGAGCTCCCAATCAGCCTCATCAACGTGCATCTGAAGACCAAGCAGGACTCTGGGACGGCCTCGGGTGACCCACGCAAGCCCTTGGGAATCGAGACGCTCAGGCTTCACCTCAAAGGTAAGCTTATTCATTTCTTAAAGGGGTGAGGATTTCATCCCCCCAAAAATTGGCCAATTTTTGTTCCACCAGAATCGATTTGTTATTCACTTCACGACTGTGTGCGGGATCTGGCTGCCGTGTTTGCCTACAATATCCACAGTCACTACGCTTTACAGTGTTTACCTGTAAAGCACTGTGACATTTCAATGTTTTAGGCGCTATGATCATACGTCATTCTGTCGTGGGTCACGCCTGAAAAACAAACTTGTACAACGGTTTTTAACAAAAAAAGGAAAGACAAGACTGATTGGAGTCCAGCCCTTGTTAGCTCCCATTATGAGAATGATTTTAAGCGCTCTGAGACGCTACCATGTGTGGAGGGTACAAGTTGTTGTTGTTGATTCCACCTCCTACCACTGTGTGGCGCTGTGGACTTGTACACCGAAAGCAGAGATACTACTACTAATAATAATAATCTTTGCATTTGATATAGCGCCTTATCAGGTCTTCAAGACATCTCAAAGCGCTTCACAGAATATACTGTAAAGTGTGGTGACTGCATGTTTTGTGGGAGATCTCCCATCAATTCGTATTTTAGATAGAAACTTAGGTTTTTGATCCACAATAACAAAAGCTTTGCCATTCAGTCTGCTCTCCTGGGGAATAACACTGGCAATTCTTAATGCTTGGCTCAAGTTGGAGGTTCTAGCCCAACGTCGGGACTTTGGGAGCTCACAGTCCAGGCTGACACACCAGCGCAGGTCTGGGGAAGCATGTCACTGTCACTGGTGTCGTCCTTCAGGTGGGACGTTTGTGGCGAATGTTAAAGATCCTGTAACACTAGTGGGAAAAGAGAAAGGAGTTTCTCCTGCTTTCCTGTTCCTCATCCAAAATTCACAGAGAAACACACCGAATTGGGACGTTGTGGTGTCCCACTGGAATCAGACTGGCCTGAATGGCTCAGTGCTGTTCTGTCAGAGATGCTGACAGGCACAGTTCATTGTGTAACTGAGCCACACTATCCAGAATGGTTCCCAGTCCTCAGTTCTGGTGAGTGAGCTGGTTTGCTCTGGTGCTACAGTGGGTCTCTGCGCCCCGTTGGGTTTGGGAGAAGGAAGAAATCAGCAGGAGTTCCCACATCACTCGAATAGTGTCACTGGATCTTTAACATTTGCCTGAAAGGATGGCACCTCTGACAGTGCAGTGCTTCCACTGTGGGTGGGACATTGGAGTGTAGATGAGAGTCACCGTTTATTGCCCGTGAAGTGCTTGAGATATGTATTACGAGAAGCTGCTGGATCCAACACCATGTTTCTCTCCTGTCTTTCAGACAACAAGCACCTTGTCATCTTGGGCCACTTTGGGCTGCAGCCTGATGCCCGTGAGTTTGACGTACTGAGAGAAAACCACTTCCACCACTGCATCCCAGAGGACATATTCACCAACATCAGCACCAAAGCCGAGGTGGGCGGAGCCTCGCAAGACAACATCTGGTGGAATGAGCAGGCGCAGGGCACGCATACAGGTGAGAGCCGAGCCAGTTAGAGGCCTCTCTGATCAGAGTCACAGAGACCCAGAGAGTCCCTGTGAGGGAGCACCACATATAATATAGTAATAATAATCCTTGCATTTGATATAGCGCTTTTCACGTCGGAGGACGTCCCAAAGCGCTTCACAGAACACACTGTAAAGTGAATTAACTGTATATTTGTGGGCGAACGCGGCAGCCAATTGCGCACAGCAATGTCCCACAAACAGTCGTAGATTGAAAATGACCAATTTATTATTGTTTTGTTTTTTTGGAGGGATTATTATGAGGCTCTGTGTGGAGTAAGGAAACTTGCCCAAGGTTTCACCCTCTGCCTGGAATTGAACTCAGGTCTCTCACTTGCAAAGTGAGTGCTCTAACCACTGAGCTACAGGACTCCACATTGTTATAGGTGATGGCCTTTGGATAAGACTTCAAACCGAGATCCGTTTTCAGGTGGACATTAATTGCGCACGGCAGTCCACCAATTGCACACTACTGTACGCAATTGGCTGCCCCGTTTAGCCCACAAAACACACAGTCACTACAGTTTACGTGTATCCTGCGAAGAGCTTTGAGACGTCTCGAAGATATGATAAGGCGCTTTATCGAATGCAAGGATTATTATTATTATTAAATATCCCATGGCACTATTCAAGTGGAAAGTGGAAAGCATTGGAAAGTGCTTTGAAATATTGCCAGGTTATAGATGTACATCAATATGTAAGGATTATTATTATACACAGGGTAGATATGCTCACTCTGGGCAAGTGGGTGTTGGGGTAGAGGGGCATTGGGTTGACCTGTGATCCCAACATCTCACTGCTCAGTTTATTTCAGAGCCACACAGCATTGGCACATTGTACACATTGAGTCACTGACATCTTGAGCATCTCTCCCGCTCCCAGAACCCATTGTAATGAAAGTAATTCCTGTTAAGACCTAAAGGTGACAGTCGACTCAACTTTCGCAGCTCTGCCTATCAGTTAGAGGTTGCAGAGGCCTCCCTCCACCTGGTCAGCTTCTCACCACCCCCCCCACCCCTCTCTCTCTTTCTCATCACAGGGAGGAGCGGAGTGATTCGGCAGGGTCTCAGTAGTCCCTGGATACCAGATGGTTGGAAGTGGGGAGGGGTTGTATCTGAGCACTGCCCGGTGTGGACTGAGATCTTTATTGATTAGAGATTAAAACACATGAAGACCTCCCTCTGCACTGAGAACCTGAGGACAGGACAAATGGGCCTGAGGAACCCTGGCTCGGCATCGCTGTCACAACCAGGAGCTTGCCAGCTGTTTAGCCCATGTACAAGCCAACCTGGTGAGGAGCACAGGCACGGTGAGAGGACCTTCATTAACTTCCTTTAATCCGGTTGCCCTGTAGGGCAAGCAAGAGTTCCAAATCATTTGCAGGGAGACAGATGTTGAGTTTTGAGTTTCTCTGATGTTTGGCAGAGTTAATGACCAGACATGATGTAGTACTGTGTGTGCCAATGGGAGGCTGGAATGTGAAGAAAGACAACCCTGAGTTGCAGAAGATGTGAATTTCTCTCGCTGCCTGGATGGAGTGTAGAATGGATACAGCATCTGTCAGCACCAACATACATCACCACATCCTGATGCTAAAGAGAGCTGAGCAGATGCTAATTCCACGCAGAGACACATCCAAAGCTCCAGGTGGAGGTTGCGATGGCCCACAACACTGAAACAGGAAACCAAGAAAAATCCTTCAAATCTCAGGAGCAATGTTGGATGTAATATTATCCCGGATGATATTTCTACACAGTCAAAATTTCTCTGGATTTCAAAATAGGGTCAACTTGTCCTTCACGTAGGATCACGTCTCGGAGCACTATACATTGGTCCAACCTCCCTGAGCAAGGGAGAAAGGGAGGGGGAGGTGACCACAGGCACATTGGAAGAGGTAGGTTTTCAGATGGGATTTAAAGATAGAGTGAGGCAGAGGGATAGAGGCAGGGAGTTCCAGAGGTTAGAGTAAGAACAATGGTGTGTGGAGGGATTGGTGGATGCACAGCAGGCCTGTGTTAACTGTGAGCAAAGGAGGTGGGAAGAGGAGTGGGTACTGAGCAGGTCACAGCGGTAGGGAGTAACTCGGGTATGAAGGACCTTAAAGGCGATCCGTAAAGAGGCTGGAGCCTGGCGAGGATGGGGATGAAGGATCTGCAGTGTTTTGTGTTAGCTGGACCTTGTGGATGATAGAACTGGGGAGACCAGCGAGGAGTCCGTTTAAGAAATCAAGGCAGGAGTTGGTAAAAGCCAGGCCTTTGCTGTGAGATTGGGTAAGAGACAGGTCCCAATTAAAGGCAGTGGTGGAGAAAAACAATCCTGGTCAGGGTCCAAATGTAGAGTTGGAAGAACATTGGTCCAACGGCTAAGGACTGAACTGTACGGCAAGATTACACACTGACTTGGTAATTTGAACAAGATAGCCTGGAGAAATTGAGAAAGGTGGAGCCAGAAGTGAGGAGACATTGGCAAACATCAAGGAGAATGGCTTCCATCTTGTCCATGTTAAGTTGTAGAATGTTGGTGCTCATCCAGACCTTCATGTCTGATAGACAGGTTGACAGAACATCAGACCTTACAACCCACTCAATTTAACCCCAGTGTTCTCCCACTTTTTATTTCATATAATGAAATCAAGCCCTGAGGAAAAAAACTCCATCTTCCCTCATGTTTTGTCATATGATGCTGCCCACTGGCACCAAACCCAGAAACAAAATAGATGAACAAATATATATATATATAATTTATACACAAACATAAATACACAAACAAAAGCTGAATCTCTGACTAGCACGCATCCCAAAGCTGTGGCACGCTTTCTGGATTGTAAAGACTTTAGATCTCAGTTGATCCCTGGTTTTATGACATTAATTCAATATTCAAGTCTTCGTGCCTGGGGTGAGGGAAGGTGGGCGACTATGGATGTGACAATAATCACATCACATACTGTACGATTATTCTCCCCTCTTTTCTCCATGAGGTTCCCGTGAGAAGCCATTGAGATTGATGTATTTCAGGTCCCAATTAAAGGTCGGGGCTAATACTGAGACATCACAAGCACAGCACATAGCGTCAAACATTTGCACACAATGACTTTTCTTCCTCCACTGGATCCGATATGCTTTGTTCAGCTATGTTTTAACAATTAAATTATTGTGAGATGTGGGATCGATTGATTGTCACTCAGCTTCTGTGTTATCCAGGTCCCTGATCCTCTGACGGACACACACACACTGGGTTTCAGCACAGGGTTCTGGATTTGTATCAGTAACTTCAGGTCATTTTCTCTCCCCAACCCCCCACGCAGCTGAAATCCTCACACTTTCGGAAATTTCTCAGTGTCCTCCTCACTGACCTTCCCAGTCCCATCCTACACAAACTCCAGATCATCTAAAAAATAACCTCTTAATTTTGCTTACAGTCATCTTCATATCTTCGTCCTATCTACATCTCTGTGAAGCATTTGATATTATGTTTAACCATGTGAAAGATGCTGTATGTAAGGCAAGTTGTCGTTCGGGATGATGAAGACAGAAATAGCACTCCCACAGGGAATAATAAGCCTTGCATTTGATATAGCGTCTTATCACGTCTTCGAGACGTCTCAAAGCGTTTCACAAAATATTCTGTAAAGTGTAGTGACTGTGTATTTTGTGGGTGAAATGCAGTAGCCAATTGCGCCGAACAGTGTCCCAACAAACGGTCGGGAATTGATTGACCAGGTTTATTTTTGGAGGGATTATTATAACTGGAAAAGCGATCCACCAATTGACTGACAAGCAGGTTCCTACTTACTGCTAGGTAAACTGAGGCGCGTTTGTGGAGTAAGGAGACTTGCCCAACATTTTGCCCCGTATTATAATATATAATCACTGTAAACAAGCCCTGATCACCCCAGCCCGCTCTGCCAGTAATAGGTGTTGTGTTAGATCCAAATCCCTGACTTTCCAGCTCCTTGGGATGTCCTCCTGACATGAAAGGTGTTGTATACATGTAATGTTGTTATTGTACAGTGTGAAGTAAGGGCATCAATGGGTATTGAAACAGGAGGATAACATCGGATTAAAAGATCTGCCATGATCTAATAAACTGGTAGAACAGGCTTGCTGGGTGAATGGCCTCCTCTTCGTGTGAATACAGTACAGGAAATGAAACCAAGTGGCCTCAGTAATGACTTGACGGTTTATTTTAGGATTTGCCTTTAATATCTTTCGAGTTTGAGAAAATATGTTTGTCAGAACTTCCCGAATACCTGCCATGATTGTGAGATCTATGCTGATCTCCACCAGTAAAATTCTAAAAATGTTTTTTTGGTCACCCTGGTGTTGACACGTGTGGAAACCCATCACGTTGCTTAAGAGTATACAAACCAGACTGAAAGTTCCATGCATCCCACCTACACATGGAAATTCCAGAGACATGAATGGAATGCGCACTCTCTCCCTGGAGCGACGCATCCTGCTTACCTAATTCCAGAAACTATTAGGCGCAGGTTGGCGAGAGCCAAGGCTTGAGGACCCCAGTGTGCATTGGGAACACTGTTGGAATCTAAACCAGCTAAAAAAAGCTTGCCATTAAGAGCACTGTCTGGCAAGCTTTTCCACTGCTTGTTCAGCTCGGACCACCCTACCGATTAGGGCTTTGGCTTGCAGGGTTAATGGGAACTGAGTGAGAAGAGCACCTACCCAAGGGATTGGTCTGCCCTTCCAAGTCCTGCCACTGAGCCAGGCTGGCTTTGCTGTCACCAGATGTGCGCTGGAGTATAATTCTAAAGAGAAGGGGCCATGCACTAACATGCCAGAGGAACACTACCCCACGCCCATCACCTATATGCCCCAGTCATTCATAAATCTGGGTCTGTTACAGACTCAGCCTGTGGGAAGCCCTGAGTTAAGGCCACACAATGTCTCTCCCCATCTCCTTCAGGAGCAAATTCAAATATCTTGAAAGCCATGTCTTTGTAAATAACATTACGGGGTGAAACAAGTGCGAGGAGGTTGTTTGGCACACGGGAGAGGCAAGGGAGTGAAACGGAGGCTCAGGCTTGGCCTGGGATTAACAAATCGCCCTATCCTAGTGTCCACGGAGGGCAGCTGCACAGAGTTAAGGCCTCAGTGCCTTTGGGTGTGTTTTGTGACATCGCAGCAACACAGAACATCTCTTGTTTTTTAAAAACCTCCACAGTTTTGGAAAATAAAGAGAATATGAGCTTCCCCCTCCCGAGCCCCTGGGCTGACATGGTATTATTCCGGAATGAGCTCTGCCAGTTCCTCGTCCGTCAGGCCGTTGACCGCTCTGATGTGGTCCAGTTGCGCGAGGTAACGCTCCTGATCCTGCATGAAATGTGGGATCCGCGTGCGATCCAGAACAGCGTGTTTCTTCAGCTCATCCACGTCCTCAAAGGAGACCTGAAACCAACCACGCAGAGCTGAGGCTCACAGAGAGACAGTCAGACACTGAACACAGAGGCGGAGAAAGGGAGGGAGGATATGGGTGAATGAAAGAAGCGAGGGAGGGAGGGATTGACATTTAAACAGACTGAAGCCATGAGATTTAGAGAGACCTTGTGTCTTTTAGAAAAGACATCACTTGAGTTGAGGTAGAAAAGCACTTTAACAAAAGCTGCTTTCAAACTGCCTTCGAGGCTGCAAAGGAAGCTAATAGCAATGCTGGGTTTTATACACAGGGCCACAGAACACAAAACTAAAGCAATAATACTAGGTTTGTACAAATCATTGGTCAGACCCAACTGGAGTACTGATCCAGTTTGGGGCACTCACCTTAGGAGTGTTAAGTAAGGCCTTAGACAGGGAGCAGAGGAGGTTTACCAGAATGATTCCGGGGATGAAGGGGTACAATTATGAGTAGAGAAGGTTGGGGCGGAGGGAACCTAATAAGAGATGTAAAAATTCTGATGGGGTTACACAGGGTAAACAGGGGAAAGTTATTTCCGTCTATGTGGAGTCAGTAACTTGAGGACATATTTTGAAGATAGTCATTAAAAAAAGGGAAAGGAGAACTTAGAAGGATTTTTTTCACCCCCAAGAGTAGTTGGGATGTGGAATGTCCTGGTGAGCATCTGGTGGAGACGGATTCCATTGTGGCTTTCAGGAGGGAAGTAGACAGGCATATGAAGCGGAGAGGCTTGAAAGGGTGTGGCAATAAGACAGGGAAGTAGGATGTGAGCTGGTGCACACTCGATGGGCTGATTGGCCTCTTTCTGCGCTATGGATTTCTATGTTTCTATGAGCAGCACGTTTGGTAATGATTCAATGTTAAAGATCTGGTGTAACTCGGGATGGGAAAGCCAGGTGAGTGGGCCCTGCTCCCGGCTTTGTGTGGAGGAGCCGGCATCAGGACTGCTGGAGGTCACCCCACTGTGGACACCTGGCTCCCTGAGGTCACTGAACCCCCAGAACAGGCACTGACATAACACTAGCAAATCAGGACCTCAACAAAACAATGTCCAGACATTAAACAGCTCAGTGAGATAGAGAGATAAACAGACAGCTCTTTAACCCCCTGTACTAAATACTAAATATTGGAGCAATAGGACAGCAGCAAAGCTCTCCGAGGCTCCCCACAGAGTTCCTGGACCCAGCCGAGATCTTGTTATGTGTTGTTATCCTCTATTTGGGAAAAGAGCAGGGAGTTTCTACTGTTATCCTGCCCCATTAATTACCTTGCCCAGAGCCATCAGCAGCTTGAAGTCAATTGTCTTCCTGTATCGGAGAAGCATCAACACACCGTCCAGATACACCTGGTCTTTGCTGAAGCAGCCTGCACACAACAGAGCCAGGACACGAGTGAAACATACCTCTCAAACCAAAGCCCCTCCACATTGTACAGTGCCCAGCATTCTCAACTCACCATCAATTTGTCATGGGGGTGGTCAGAAATGAACACTTTAAACACTTAAAAGTAAACATCTCAAAGCTGACCTGGGAATGGACAGTGTAGAGGGAGCTTTACTGTGTCTCTAACCCTGACTTGGGAGTACGGACAGACAGTCTTAGAGGGAGCTTTACCGTGTCTCTAACTCTGACTTGGAAGTATGGACAGACAGTATTAGAGGGAGCTTTACTGCGTCTGGGGCTGATACTGAGTGCCTTAAATGAGAAAGCTGTTGTATTCCTTGGCGTGAACTCTCCTTAATAACCCAAACCCTGATGTGCTCTGAGAGCAGGTGCGTACAGGATGCACGTGTGGAGCGCAGTGACTTTAGAGCTAATGTCACCTGGTTGCGAAGTGTCGGTCTGGCCTCTCTTGGCTCGGACGCAGTACTCCCAGCGGGTGTTGGGATCCTCCACGAACCTCACGATGTCGTGGAACAGTTGGCAGAAGGTCATTTGACTGGCCTGCAGGACCGTGTAGTAGAGCAGGGCCGCTCTCCACAGGAAGGGGAACTTGCGGAACAGGACACTGTGCAGGCTGGCCAGCCCCTCCTCCGTGGGATTAGCTGGTTTGAGCCCATCCGTTTCCTGCCCACCGCGCCACACCAGGGCTGCCTCTGGTTGTTGGCACCTCGAATGTAATGTGTCCCTGGCGGAGAGGAAATACAGCAACGTTGGACCTGTGTTGGTGCCTCAGAACCAGGGGCTAAGTCTAATAATAATATTAATAATTATAATAATCCTTGCATTTGATATAGCGTCTAATCACATAGTTGTGACATATCAACAGCTTCTCAGGACATACTGTAAAGTGCAGTCACTGTATTTTGCTGGTGAAACGAGGCAGCCAATTGCACACAGCAGTGTCCCACTGTTGGCCAGAACACCGGGAGAGAGAAACTTCCTTCTCTTTTCGAACAGTGCCATGTGATCTTCAACGTCCACCTGAACAGGCAGAACGGGACTTTGGTTTTACATCTCAGCCGAAGGTCAACCCCTCCGACAACGCAACACTCCCCTCACCCAACGCTGTGCCAGCTTGGACTACGTGATTCCAAGCCCCGACCTTCTGACTCGGAAGGCGAGAGTGAAGGGCTAGCGCAATGGAGGAGAAATGGAACAAATAATAATCCTTGCATTTGATATAGTGCCTTATCACATCGTTGAGATGTCTCAAAGCGCTTCACAGAATATACTGTAAAGTGAATTGACTGTATATTGTGTGGGCGAAACAAAGGAAGAACCAGGTGGGGGGTGGGTGGGGAGATCTGACTCTAACCTATCTCGTGGCGCAGCATCCCCTCCAGCCAGTACTGACGGGCCCCCCCAAGGTTAATGGTGAGAGTCGGCCGGCTATTTTCCACCATCATCACTGCCTGGGACAACAGGTCATCACTGAGACGCACCACCACCTGCAAAGCAGACGAGAGAGAGAGAGAGAGAGAGAGAGAAGAGGAGTGAATTCGCTGTCTGTCGGCCTAACGCACGAGAGGTTCAATTGAAGGCCCTTCCTCCCATTTGATCTCCCACCCTACCGTCCGCCCATTACATCATCAAGCTGTTTCTTCAATGGATCCAGTGTCCTGGCCTCCGACCCACTTTCTTGTAACCCTGACCCAACTGTTGATCGTCTGCTTTGTAAAGAAATATATTTCCTGGTGTCACATCCCTGAACATGTGCTCTCTTGCCCTGCTGACACGCTATATCTGAAGTCAGTCCTTGAGGGTATGGGGAGAGATCAGACAATCGAGGTCAAGAAGCTGGCACAGGATCAATAGTCTCCTCGGGTGCTGGAGTATTGTTCCTCCCAGGGCTGCTAGTTCATCTCAAGATTCATGGAAAGTCTCTCAAGCTTGAACGTCCATTTGTTCATAAGACGGTGGATTAGCAGAGCTGACTAACAGAGATCAAATAATAATAATAATAATAATCCTTGCATTTGATATAGCGCTTTTCACGTCGGGAGGACGTCCCAAAGCGCTTCACAGAGCACACTGTAAAGTGAATTTGACTGTATATTTGTGGGCGAACGTGGCAGCCAATTGCGCACAGCAATGCCCCACAAACAGTCGTAGATTGAAAATGACCAATTTTTTTTTATTATTGTTTTTGGTTTTTTAGGCATGTGGAGTAAGGAAACTTGCCCAAGGTTTCACCCTCTGCCTGGAATTGAACTCAGGTCTCTCACTTGCAAAGCGACTGCTCTAACCACTGAGCTACAGGACTCCACATCATAGCCCATTGAGCAGTATTATAGCAAATTCCTGTCCTTTGCTGTGTCAGTTCTTCTGCTGAGAAGAGACCAAGGTACCCACCACACTGCAGACCATTTCCATGACGGAAGGAACATGAGAGATGGGATATATCAAGGATGGATTTTAAGGCTATGTATTACAGGAGCCAGAGTGACATGCTGTTCAACCTCTGAGTCTCACAATCTGAGTCGTACTTCCATGGCTGAGCAGTACATATGTGTCCTCTTACTTTTGCCTGAGGGCAATAAACAAGCCATTGACCAGCTCCTCAAGTTCTCTCCATGTGGAACAATTACAGGTTAAGGGATAGGCTCCTCTTCAGTGAGGGTGACATTGAATGTCAAACTCTCAAAACTCTGCCAATTCTTATATACAAATAGGTAACCACCAACCTATTAAGTCAGCTTGACCCTAAATCCATTAGACAGACCCATGTCCACCCTGCATGTCTGTTCTTGAGGCCAACACCATCAAAGCAACGACGACAACAACCTGCATTTATGTAGCACTCTTCATGCGGGGTAGCTTGCCAGAGTGCTTGACAGTGGCGGAGTCTGGCAACGAACCAGGGTGAGAGGGATGGGGGAGGTGACAGTAAGCACAATCAAAAAGGAAGGTCTTTAAGTGGCATTTGAAGGTGGGGAGGGATGGGGCAATAGTTCCAGAGTTTTGGGGCGTAATGGCTGATGGTGGAGCAGAAGGGCAAGGCACTAACAGGAGGCGGGAGCAAGCCGATTGGAGGCAGCGGGTGGTGGAGTTGGGGGTAAGAATGTCGAATAGGTAGGGAGGTGCAAGGGCATGAAAGGATTCAAAAACGAGTGAGAGGATCTTGAAATCGAAAGCAGCACTAACAGTTACTTCAACCACACAGAGACCCAAAAATTGGCACTATATTACTTCAACCAGTTAAGGAAGGGCAGTACGGTACCACAGAACCACCTGATGGTGCACTGATGCAGTTAACCTGTTCTTCCCCACATTCTGCCAAATGCTTCTACCAACGTTTCCAGCCCTTCAATTAACATTGGGTGAAGGGGCTTAGACAGGTTCAAGTTTGGCCATTATGATCAACCTGTATGTTTCAAATGATAAACTCTATGACTCCAACTCTGTCAATCACTTAGGACCCAACCACTGGGTGGCTCGTGCTGGTTCTGTGGAACGTATTTTGTGGTGTAGCAACAGAGTAAGGCTCATTTGCTATTTCGGCCAATTCTGTCCATCCTGGAGTGAACAGCGATATATAATCTCCCCTGTGGCCATGGTGCAGTCCAGCAGGTCCCAGGTCTCTGTGCTCAGTTAGCTGCTCAGACCAGTTGGACTACTGGTTAGGGAGGAGGAAATCCATCCAGAGTCCTCGCTCCGGGTCGCTGTCCAGCGCCTCCTGCTGGAATATGCAATTAAATTACGTAATGAATTGGAAATGCTGCTGGGAGCACTATACCCAGTGTAATGTAATGTCTTTTTGATTGTGCTTTATACAGAGGCTTACAGTTCAACAAGAAAACAACAAATTGCATTTATATAACGCCTTTCATGTGAGGAGGATGTCCCAACAATGTGAGAGGCGCAGAGATACAGAAGATTGATATACACAAAGCATTTTAATTCATAATCCCAGAAAAGCTACTACATTTCTCTAGATATGCCAGAGTGATTTTTCTCTCTCCCAATTCCTCTCCTCTTCTCAATCCGTCTGGCTGCTTTTTTCTTAACCTCAAGGATGATTATGTGGCGTTTTCCGTCACATTGTTCACGTGTGAGCCCTGACACAGTGGGTGTCAGCAGGACATACCCCAGTGGGTGGGGGGGGGGGGGGGACTGGTTTACAGTGAGCCTGGTCTGTCCGCAGCCGAGATCCAGATACCTGCACCTTCCAAGCAAATGCAGTAATGTGGGGCTGAGCGCAATCCCGAAGGAAATGAGAGAATTTTTAAAAAACAAAAACCATCTGCCTTTGGTTTGGATTATCGGAGAATGTAAATTCTTTGATGAATTATTAATGTTATGAAGGATGAGGAACACACATAATTATATAGGCAGCTCTGCCCATCCACAACGGGGGAGGGAGGGGGGGGCAACCTCAGCTTTCATCCTTAAAGGGGCACTGACTTCCATGAAAAAAAAGGGTTTGGCTAAACTTTTATCTTCTTGGTAAGAAACATATGATGGGATTAATGATCGATTCCCTAGAGGTGTGTAAAATTTTCAATGGATTGAAAAAGTAACCCTAGTCCAATATTTCAGGATGCAGCAAGACAGCAGAACCAGAGGACACAGGAATAGGGTTCTAAAGGTGCAATTTCAGGACAGACACCAGGAAGGTTATCTTTACCCAGAGGGTAATTAGCAGCTTGAATGGGATTACCATGAAAGCTGTTGAGGCCAGGACACAAGGACTCATTTAAAAAAACACATCTGGATGCTGTGATGGGAAGACAGTAAGGTGGGGATTCTGGAAGGATGAGATCAGATGAGGGCTGAAAGGCCTTCTTCATCAGAACCCGTTAAGCAGAAGCGATCTTTGTTAAATAATATTCCAAAAATAAAAGCCAGGGAGTCAGATGAGATGGTTTTCGGTTTTATTAGACCCTGAAGCAATGCATTCATAAACCAGCCCACTGTTCCTCCCAACAAACCTCAGGCTTGTGACAAACTCTCTCCCCCTCCCCCACTCCCGCTGTGAAGCTGCTCTCTTTCAATCTTTACTGTTTAATATTGAAGAAAGCCTCAGCTGTGTCAGCACAGGTCACTTCCTATGAATTAAGCTTCCTGCCTTCTTTTTGTGAAGGCGCTGACTCAAGCTATAGTGTGGTTCATCAGCCACCCTGAGGGCATAGCATGTCCAATGCTGTCCTCAACACTGTCCTCGCACATGCACTCTCTGGAAAGAGTGGGTTGAGTGGCTTTTCCTCACTCAGGGCTTTTTTTATGTTCTTACATCATACGCAAAGCTGTATAAAGAGGAGTCAGGCCCTGGGTTAGTGAACTGCTCTATTCCAGCATCTCCAGTCATACTCCAGCCTGAATCAACACCTCCAACTGTACTCTAGGCTAGCACATGTGTATTTCTCCCCATATACACATTACACCCCAAAACACATACACACTCACAGCCAGATATACACGTACATGCACAGATACGGATACACACATATACCTACACAGGTACATAGGAGCACAAACACTCCCAACTGCACTTTTTGGCCGGTGGGATGGGGGGGGGAATCAGCAGGGTGTCTGAGACATGCTTAAAAGTATCCAAACTAAACTGAGAATTCCATGTTTCCCACCTACACATGGAAATCCCAGAGATGGATCGTTGGAATGGGATGCACACTCTCTGCCCTTCCCCACTCAGGCTCACCTCTCCTGCACATCCTTCCTTCTGCATGTACTTCCTGATACTGGCCCAGATTTTGCTTTTGGCTAGCACACTCCCTCCTGTGGCAACCTCAAAGTTCTCGTAGCTGCCGTATTGCTTCAGGGCGCACTGCAAGATCCGCACGGCCTGAGGACAAGGCAGAGGCAAGGGCGTGAATGTAAGGCACTTTCCACAGCACCATCTACACACACAATAACAACCACAACAAATTGCATTCATATTGCGCCTTTCACATCCGGAGGACGCCCCAAGGCGCTGGACAATGAGGGGTTTGCACCTGAGCTGGGGGTTGGGATCAGGGTTGAAGGACAAGGAGGTGGTGGAGGAGGGAAGATGACTAAATGGCACAGTCAAAAAGGAAGGTCTTCAGATGGGCTCTGGACGGAGCTCCAGAGGGTGCAGGCAGAAAGTCTGAAGGCTCAACTGCTGATAGTGGAGCAGGCAGAGCGGGGGACATGGAGCAGGCCAGTGCCTGCAGAGCATAGGGACTGGACAGGTTGGTGAAGTTTTAATAGGTCGCAGAGGTGGGGAGGAGCAAAACCGTGGAAACAAAACACACATAGCAAATCCCTAAATCCTCGCCAGTTATTTCAGGCATGGAGACTGCAAAGAAGTCCACCAAAGAAGAATACTTTTTTCCTATTTACCCACTGTAAGGGTGTCATTTGGCAGAGACATTTCACCTTGGTCTAGATTTACTTTGATGTAACATTTCAGAGAGTCCATTATTTGGCAAGTGGGTGAATTCTGAAGTCGTTTTTCTGTAGTTTTTGAAAGAACTTAACAGAAATTCAGCGTGAAAATGAATTTGCCAAATTCTGGACGCACTGCAACCCGACATCAACAAGAGTAAAGCTAAACCCGGGTGGAATTTCTCTCTAACTGGGGCAAGAGCTGGAAGTGGGATTCATGAACAAGAGAGTGATGTTAGTATCAGTGTCGATATTGTCACAAAATCTGTGGCTAATGAGAATGTGCGTTTCTATGGACTTTGGGTGAGGATTGGGTTTAGCTGTAATGGCCACAGTCTGAACTCATGCAGGAAGGATACCAGTAGGGTAAGGTATTGGCTGGCACCTAGCATCTGGAATCATCTCCCAAACAAAACAAGTCTAAGATCAAGCAGAAATGTAGAAAATTGCTGAATCCAGTCTTATTATTGGTTTCTCTTTAGGGACTGTGGAAAACTGGCTTCCAAATTAATCCTGGATTTAGAATTTTTCACAATTCTGCACAATGTTAATTTTTTGTAAGTGTCTGGTTAATCACGAGCAGATAAACAAGAGAGCATGTGGGGGAATCCCAGTACAAAGCCAAAGGAGATTATAAACGTAATCTCAAACAATCATACAGTCTTGAATAAACTGAATACAAAATTATTCATAAGCAATCTTGCAATAAAAAGAGCTTCTGAACATTTGCAGTGAACCACTAAACTGCTGTAAATTAGCTTGAAGCAGGTAAACCCATTCTCCTATTAGTCCTTTCAGATCCTCGCAGGACAATGGTCGCTGTTGGTAACAGATTATAATTGAATTAGTGTGAAATTATATCTGGGCTCCGAGGTTCAGCTGCTGTGGCGTAACACAGGGAGCCTGGGATCTATGTCATTAGCTGTCGAACACACGCTTATTGTACTCTGTTACCGGGATTAGGTACTGTTTAGGGGGAAGTGAGGAAAGCAGGAGAGAATGGTCTGATTCGGTGCAGAACAGCAATCCTGAATCAAAGGGCAATAATTTACAAATGTTTCGATCCTCGCTCCCACAGTCACTCTTTCTCTTACTCATGACTGTTTGTGGGACATTGCTGTGCATATTTGTCTGCTGCCTTTTGCCCATAAAATGCACAGTCAATTACTTTACAGTATATTCTGTGAAGCGCTTTGAGACCCCTCAACAACTAGTTATTAGGTGCTGTATCAAATACAAAGATTATTATCCTAATTATATTTATATATACTCCTTCACCTCTTTTACTCCCTCACCCTTACGCCATCAATAATAATAATCCTTGCATTTAATATAGCGCATTTCACGTCTTCTAGACGTCTCAAAGCGCTTCACAGAATATACTGTAAAGTGAATTGACTGTATATTTGTGGGAGAAACGCGGCAGCCAATTGCACACAGCAGTGTCCCACACACAGTCGTAGATTGAAGTGACCGATTTTATTATTGTTTTTTTTTCTTGAGGGATTATTATCAAGTGTGTGGAGTAAGGAAACTTGCTCAAGGTTTCGCCCTGTTGGGAATTGAACCCAGGTATCTCGCTCGTCCACCCTCACTCTCCACGCTCGATTTAAGGACTTCCTCAGTGCGTAAAGTCAGACCAGACCATTTACCCACTTGAAGCCAATGTTGGAACTTGGCCGTGTGAGGCCGTGGGCAGCAGAGAGAGCAGTCGTCTGTGCAGAGCAGGTCGATGGAAGGCCGATAAAATCTCACCTGGTTGATAAAGCGGTCGGAGGCCACACTGTACCTCACCACCATGCTGCTGGCGTTGGATTCCACGTACTCAAACTGAGGGTCGTAGGTGAAGTTGGATTTGAAGAATCGTTCTTTTTCCTCCTCCACGTTGGCTGGTCTGAGGGCCACCAGCAGGCAGGGGCTCTTGAAGGCGGGGGGTGTCCTCGTGCCGCAGTTCCTGGGGATGTGAGGGAGGGAGGTGGCATTGCGGATCCCGCTCCGGAAGCAGGCTGATCCCGTGCTGTTCACGCTGCAGGAGCTTTCAGTCCTCCTCATCCAGCCGCTGTGCCCGTTACTGAGCGGCCGGCTGACCTTGGCCCTGCAGCCCGTGCCCCCCGCGTCCCGCCCCACCGGGGTGGTCTGCCGCGAGCTCCCGGGGGGCTGTTGCCCGGCCGCGCTCGCCTTGGGCAGGAGCCCGTTTTTCTCCGTCTCCTTCTGAAGGGTTTTGGACTTGTCCGGCTTCCTGCTTTTTGGAGCGGCTGGCAGGGTTGGGGGGCCGCGATCGAGCACCATCTCGGACACCGGGGGGCAGTGCTCTGAGCTGCCGAGCTCTCCGCTGCTCGTCTGCACAATAGAAAAGGAAGCACGTGAAGCTCTCTGTGGGATTCAGATCTCTCTCTCTCTCCTCTCTCTCTCTCTCTCTGTGTCAAACTCCATCTGCTGATGTGACACATTAGTTCCTGTCTGAGCAACAAACGCCTCCTCCTCCTCTTCCTCTTCTCAGCTCTTAAACCAGGGACCAGACACAGAAGAAATCTCCTCACCCACTCCCAGCGCTGCCACACACTCTTAACTCCACTCGTTGGAAAGAGATGCCATCAGTGCCAGCAGCCTGGGTCTGTCCCATTAAAGCTGACAATTTATTCGGTGTTAACAGCATTTTCCTCTGAACTTCCCACCCCCTGTCCGTTCGGTAGGCACTGACCGCGCTCCCACCCCTGCCCGCCCCACCATTGGCGGTGGGGCCTCAGCTTCTCTACCCCCACCCTCTGGACCCCATCCCTGAATCCCTCCACCTCGCCCCCCTCCCTTGCCTCCTTCAAGGTCTGTATTAAGACTTTCCTCTTTGACCGTGACTTCGGTCACACTCTCACGCCACTCACCCACCCACCCACCCTCCCCTCCCCACGCTCCAACCCTCTTCATTCCGACAGGTAGGCAGGGGACTACAGTGTGTGGAGAGCAGTGGGGTTAGAGATCAGCACAATAGCGGGGAGCAGAGAGGTTAGACAGTGCGGGTTAGGGGTGTAGACTTCTTCATGCAGTGTAAAGCGATTCTGTCCCCAGGTTAAATTACATTTCGGATCAATGTCTGCATTTTAACTCATAATGTAACAAGTCTCACAAAAAAATAAATTTCATTAAATGGACTAACATAGGCGGAGTCCTACAGTGTCGTGGTTAGAGCACTCGCTTTGCGAGCGAGAGGAAACCTTAGGCAAAGTTACCAAGCAGTAAGCAGGAACCCGGGTTCTTAGTTGATTTGTGGATCACTATTCAGGGGATAATAATCCCTCCAAAAAAAATGTAGTCACTCAATCCACGACTGTTTGTGGGACGCCGCTGTGCGCAATTGGCTGCCGCGTTTCACCCACAAAATACGCAGTCAATTCACTTTACAATATAATCTGTGAAGCGCTCTCAAACGTCTCAACAACGTGATAAGGCGCGATATCAAATGCAAAGATTACTGTTACTAATATAAAATAAAAGCAGAATAAACTCAGCGTAGAGTCTAAGTGAATGGGAAAACGACTGCAGAAGCTTGGTACCAGCTACGTGCTGACAGCTGTTTAACAAAAGGCTTGACCGACAGTTCTTGTCTGCACTATAGGGAACGTAGCAGCGATCCCCAGATCTCCCCCTTGTTACGGACCTGAACAGCCAACACGGGCGGAGTGAAACAGAACGTCTTTTATTTTTCTTTCATCTTAATTTTTATTTTCCGCTCTGCGCCTCAGTCCACCTCAATTCCACAGCTGTTTGTTTGTTTGTTTGTGGGACACTGCTGTCCCCAACCCAACCGGCTGCCACGTTTCGCTCACAAAATGTAACAGTCACTGCACTTGAGACGTCTCGACGACGTGAAAAGCCGCTGTATGAAATGCAAGGATTATGATGATGATGATGATGATGATGATGATGATGATGAGCAGAGATACATTGACAGTATGTAGATTCCACGATTCTATTTATTTCAGTTTGTTCATATGGGCACCACATCAGCTCACAGTACATCTCTCTCTAAATCACACAGATCTCTCCCTCTCCCTCTCTCCCTCTCTCTCTCTCTCTATCTCCAGACAAAGTGCTTTGCAGCTGAGCTGAGACTCAGTGCCATAATCCTTCCCGGACCAGAGAAATGCAAGAAAGCCACTCACTCCCTCCCTCCCTCCGTCACTCCCTCCCTCTCTTCGTCACTCACTCCCTCAGTCACTCCCTCCCTCCCTCCCTCAGTCCCTCTCTCCCTCCCTCAGTCACTCCCTCCCTCCCTCTCTCCCTCCCTCCGTCACTCCCTCCCTCCGTCAGCCCCTCCCTCCCTCAGTCACTCCCTCCCTCCCTCCCTCCGTCACTCCCTCCCTCCGTCACCCCCTCCCTCAGTCACTCCCTCCCTCCGTCACTCCCTCCTTCCCTCCGTCACTCTCTCCCTCCCTCCGTCACTCCCTCCCTCGTCACTCCCTCCCTCAGTCACCCCCTCACTCAGTCACTCCCTCCCTCCCTCCCTCAGTCACTCCCTACCTCCCTCCCTCAGTCACTCCCTACCTCACTCCCTCAGTCACTCCCTCCCTCCCTCAGTCACTCCCTACCTCCCTCCCTCAGTCACTCCCTCCCTCAGTCACTCCCTCCCTCCCTCCCTCCCTCTCTCCGTCACTCCCTCCCTCTCTCCCTCCCTCCATCACCCCCTCCCTCAGTCACTCCCTCCCTCCCCCCTTCCCTCAGTTACTCCCTCCCTCCCTCCCTCCCTCCGTCCCTCCCTGCCTCCCTCCGTCATTCCCTCCCTCCCTCAGTCACTCCCTCCCTCCGTCATTCCCTCCCTCCCTCAGTCACTCCCTCCCTCCCTCCCTCAGTCCCTCTCTCCCTCCCTCCCTCCCTCCCTCAGTCCCTCTCTCCCTCCCTCCCTCCCTCCCTCAGTCACTCCCTCCCTCCCTCCTTCCCTCCCTCCCTCACTCCCTCATTTCCTCCCTCCCTCCCTCTCTCCCTCCCTCCCTCCCTCCCTCAGTCCCTCTCTCCCTCCCTCCCTCCCTCAGTCTCTCACTCACACGACAGTCCTCCCGGTGGCTGATGTGCGGCGGCAGCACAGACGGGTGGAGGCGGCGGTGGTGCAAAACACGTCTTATTCCCTTTGGCTTTGCTTCCCGATCCTCTCCCACCGGCGGCCGAGAACCTCCCGGGGCGGGGGGGGGGGTCCGGGGCTGGGGGGGGGGGGGTGGCCCGGGGTGGGGGTGGGGGGGGGTCCGGGGCTGGAGGTGGGGTGTGGGGGGTGGCCCGGGGTGGGGTGTGGGGGGGTGGCCCGGGGTGGGGTGGGGCCCCGGGGTGGGGGTGGGGGGGGTGGCCCGGGGGGTGGCCCGGGGTGGGGGTGGGGGGGGTGTACCGGGGGGGGGGTGTACCGCTACCCTCGGCTCCTGGTCAGACAGCGCTGGAGCCTCAACATCCCACTGTCACAGCGCAGTGAGAGGACACTGTGTGGAGAGGAGCTGAGAGGCAGGAGGGGCCTGGACTGGTACCCCCCCTCACTCACTCACTCTCTCACTCACTCTCTCTCTCTCTCTCCCTCACTCTCTCTCTCCCCTCTCCCTCCTCTCTCTCTCTCCCTCACTCACTCTCTCTCCCTCACTCTCTCTCTCTCCCTCACTCCCTCCCTCCCTCTCTCTCCCTCACTCCCTCACTCTCTCTCTCTCACTCTCTCTCACTCCCTCCTCTCTTTCTCTCCCTCTCCCTCTCTCACTCCCTCCTCTCTTTCTCTCCCTCTCCCTCTCTCACTCCCTCCTCTCTCTCCCTCCCTCCCTCTCTCACTCCTCTCTTTCTCTCCCTCCCTCCTCTCTTTCTCTCTCTCCCTCCTCTCTCTCCCTCCCTCTCTCACTCCCTCCTCTCTCTCCCTCCCTCCCTCTCTCACTCCTCTCTTTCTCTCCCTCCCTCCTCTCTTTCTCTCTCTCCCTCCTCTCTCTCCCTCCCTCTCTCACTCCCTCCTCTCTTTCCCTCCCTCCCTCCCTCCTCTCTTTCTCTCCCTCCCTCCCTCTCTCACTCCCTCCTCTCTTTCTCTCCCTCCCTCCCTCTCTCACTCCCTCCCTCTCTCCCTCCTTCCCTCCCTCTCTCACTCCCTCCCTCTCTCTTCTCCCTCTCCCTCACTCCCCTTTTTGTGGAGGGAATGTTTGCTGATGGATGAATGAAACTGGTACCAACCCAACTCCTGTAGCAACTCTCTCTCTCCCTCTCTCACACACTGGGTTTCTCTGCTCACTCCACCAAAGCCCTGTCTGGTTGTTGTCATGTACTGTATTTCTCTGTTCATATATATATATAATATAATATATATATAGCACTTGTTCGAGTGAAAATAACAATGGGAGCAATTGCCATGTGAAGTTTCCATACTGTCACACACCCATTTCCCCCCTATCGAATGGAAAAATGATTATGATGAATTATTATTAGACTGTTGTTGATTCTTTTTTTATTTCCACTGTTTTGTGTGTGTGTGTTTTTTTCCCCCTTTCGCCCTCAATGGGAATTGGAGAGTCAGTCACCTGCAGTGATTCATGATGGAATCCACCATTTTCGTTTGCTCTCTGGATTAATCCTTTGTTCTACCTCATTCGCTGAGTTGGGGAGACCCTCCGGTGCTATATTACTTTACAGCACTAATTATTTTCTAATCCACGGCTGTTTGTGGGGACGCCGCTGTGCGCAATTGGCTGCCGCGTTTCACCCACAAAATACACAGTCAATCCACTTTGCAGTATATCCAGTGAAGCGCTTTGAGACATCCCAACACCATGATAAGGCGCTGTAACAAATACAAGGTTTATTATTATTGATAAAACAGTACAGCACAGTGCAATAATAATAATAATAATAATAATCCTTGCATTCGATATAGCGCTTTTCATGTCTTCCAGACATCCCAAAGCGCTTCACAGAATATACTGTAAAGTGAATTGACTGTATATTTGTGGGCGAACGCGGCAGCCAATTGCACACAGCAGTGTCCCACAGTCATGGATTGAAAATGAACAATTTTTTTTTGAGAGATTATTATTAGGCGTACAATAATTACAGTATAAATACAGTACAATGATTTCCCAGTTAAAATCATTTTGCTAAGTGTTTCTGGAGCATCGGGGTTGAGGAGAGGGTGAGAATTTTCTGTAGGATTACAGAGCACTCATTGATATTTCAGTCAGGTGCTCATCCAGGGATGTTAGTGTTGGCAAAGACAATGTTTTCTCATTCCACGTATCAAGCGTCAGCTTCACATGTGATCAGCCCGATCACAGAATAATAAATCAAGAGATAATACTTTTTATTTGCTATCCCCGCTTATGTCATTGTAACGTTAAAGATCCCGTGCCACCCATCTCTCCCGGCGTCCTGGCCAACAATCCCCTAGAGATAACACTGTTGATTCACTTAATGTCTCTTTATAGGACTTTGCTGTGTGTAAACTGGTTGCTACGTTCACCTACAAAATACACAACCACTCCACTCTACTGCGAAGGACTTTGAGATGTTTCGATGACATGACAGTTCAATTTCAAGATCCTCACTCTTGTATGTTATCCCTTCCCGCCCTGGCACCCCGCTATCTCTCCAAGCTGCTCACTCCCTACACCGCTACCCACTGCCTCAGCTCAGCTGCCTCCGCTCGACTGGCTCCAGCCTCCTCCTTGTCTCCTGGACCCTCCACCCCACCATCGGTGGCCGTGCTACGCCTGTGGAAGCTGTGGAACTCTCTCTTTCAATTCCTTTGCCTTGCCCCCTCTCTCCCTATTATCAGGTCGCGCTTGAAGACATTTCTCTTTGACCGTGCCTACGGTCATCTTCCCCCTCCCCCTGATTCGGCACCGGGCTCCACCACTGTTAAGCGCTCCGAGACACCGTCCGGCGTGAAGGGCGCTATATAAATGCAGGTTGTTGTTGTTATATCAGATGCAAGGATCAGTATATACGTAAGCTTCATACAATTAGTTACTTTGAAGATTAGTGACTGTCGTTATGGAGGCTAAAGATATCTAGCAGTTGATTTGCCGAATAGTTAATCTGCATAGGCAGATCCCTATGAACAGGAATGATGCAAGAACATATTTTGTTGTACGAGATCTTTAATATTCACCTAAATCATCAGGAAAAACAGAAATGATCCTCGGTTTAACTTCTCATCTGAAGGACAGCGCCTTCAGTAGTGTAGTGCTCCCCCCTCACTATCCTGGAGTGCCAGCCGAGAATGTGTGCTCATGTTTTGACATGGGATTTGGACCCAGAGCCTTTTGACCTGACAGGGAGACACTATCAAGTGTGAGCCAAGCTAACACCTTATACAACTAATACTTGAAACCAGCACAGAAAATGTTCCAAAAATACAAACCTTAAGAATCTACGATGAGGAACATGAAGCTGTAATGACTCAACAAGCCTATAAATACTTGAATGTTTTCAAATCAGCAGGTCAGGAAAGAACTGAGTGGGGACTGTGTCTGTGTTATCAGTGATTCACAGGAAAGCCACACTTAAGTTGTGCTGAAATCCATTTACATGTTACAGTAAATAATATTTCAAAATATCAAGGCACAGGAAACGATACCCAGCTTCCAGCAGATTGAAACATGTGTTGTGTTTTTCTTTAAATTTGAAGCCAGTAGCAGCAGGAACTTCAATACAGCAGATACAATCTTCAGACATTGAGAGCAGAGTTGAGAGCAGTTTTGTACAATATAAAGTACAAAGAAATGTGACTTTTTGTAATGCACCAAACACATATACAGACCTGACTGAAATGAAAAAGGTGCAGTAATGAAATAATACATTTTGCCTTCATCTGGTTTATAAGACTTTTGTAGGGAAACATCACTTTAAGCTTATTGAATGCACTCGGCAGCCTTTAAAGAGGAATAATTCCATCGGCATCTAAAGTAGCTGCTCTCGAGTCTGCTTGGTTTGCACTGACTTCCTACAGGGACCCAGACCCAGACTGTCCAGTTTGGACAATAGAAAACCAGGAGGAGCAGCGTAGGAGGTGTAGTGCAGTGGTGGCCAACATTTATGGCAACAATCTGGAAATATTCAATCAAGAAAAACTGGAAACACATTGTTTTGAAACAGACTCACCTCACCTAGTGGGAATGTTCTGTGGGACACTTCTTGGTGGCCCCTGTGGGCCACATCCGACCCGCAGGCCATTGGTTGACCACCAGCTGTGTAGTGTGAAAAATAATCAGACATAATAAATGTTAGAAAAAANGAAAAACAGGGAACATTGCACATTATCTTTCTCGTTCCCCCAGCACCTCACTGGAACGTTAGCCTAAACCATGGGGTTTGAACACACAACCTGAATACGCAACCTTTTGACCCAGAGGAGAGAGAGCTACCAACCCAGCCAGGTTGACACGCATTGGCCAAAGGGAAGAGTCGAATAATAAATAATAATAACATAATAATAATCCTGGCATTTGATACAGCGCCTTATCACGTCTTCAAGACGTCTCAAGGCGCTTCACAGAATCTACTGTAAAGTGAATTGACTGTAAATTCTGTGTGCGAAACGCAGCAGCCAATTGCACACAGCAGTGTCCCAAAATGTTTACATTTTTTTAAGGGATTGTTACCCCTGGAAAAGTGATTCGCCAATTGAATATTGGTTTCCTATTTACTAAACAGAGGCGTGTGGAGAAAGGAAACTTGCCCAACGTGCTCTAACCACTAAACTACAGGATCCTAAAATAATTATAACAATTTGGAGCAGTTCTAAGTAGTTCAATAAGATTGAAGGCATGGGATTGGGAATTTATTAGCTGATACTTTTTCCACTGTTGTTCTGGTGGCAGGAAGGCAACCCGTGACAAGCTGGACAGCTGTTGGGAGCAGGTGCATCCCAGACCACATAAGGAATGTGACCCAAGCATTGCTCACACCCCGGCTGCACACTGCCATCACATTTATGGTTTGCAGGGACAATCCCACAAGCAGCTGTGAGGAACTTTAAAAGGAGGAACGGAACTCAGGGCATTACGCTCCCAAATCTCTAATCAGACATTGGTTTTCCATCAGGTTTTATTTAAACTCGAGAACTTCTTTGAGCAGGTGAGAATGCAAAAACAACACAAATGACTGCATTCATAGAAAAATTCCATGAAACGCTTTGTGGCATCCTCCAGACCTGAAAGACGATATGTCAAATGTAAGGATTATTATTATTATGATGTTATTACATTTTAAATCACTAAGCAATTTCTAAGTGATTTTCAGTGATGGGTCAGTCAGACCAATAACATTGCTACGATACATATGAATGGATGTTACGTTTCCTAATATATTGGAGCTTCCTAAAATAGCTACTTTTTTCTATTTTGTTCATTAGGTATTTTGTCAAGCCATTTCTGACTGGTCTTATTAACAGTCCCAGCTCCACTGATGATTATAGGAGCTATGTTGAAATTAAAAGTAAATTTGTGTCTACGGCTCTCTGGGTTAGTGTGAACATATCCTCAGGGCTGTGAGAATGTGTGTGTGTATGTCTACACTCTCACAACTCTTTGTGAGAATAGTCATGCACTATTGCTATGGTACGGTTACACTGTTTGGATTCTCTTAAGCATAGAGATGGGTTTCCGTGTATATCAGACACCGGCCGATCAAAACAGAGCCAAGCTGACACACTGGGAGAAAAGTTAATAAAAAGACTATTAGGCATATTTGTCCTGGGGTGATGATGACCTGACAGATTTTGGTCTGATTGTCTTAGTAACGCTCAGCCTTTAGCACTGGAGCTGATCTTGTGTGTGGGAGAGGGGTGACAGCTGTTTGATTTCGTATCACGATTGGATTGGAACTGTCTCAGGGAAGAATCATATTTCACGGCTGCCGCCTCAGCAGCTGAACAATGCAAACTCACCCCAGTGCTCAGTCCAATAAGTGTTCCATCTAATTTCCCCAGTGACCCTGAGCACAACAACAACAACAACAACAACTTGCATTGATATAGTGCCCGTCCCAGAGCGCTAGACAGTGGCGGAGTCTGATCCCGAAATCATGGGTGGAGAGTAATAATAATAATCCTTGCATATGATATTGCACCTTATCACGTCTCAAAACGCTTCACAGAATATACTGTAAAGTGAATGGACTGTGTATTTTGTGGGTGAAACTTGGCAGCCAATTGCATGCAGTAGTGTCCCGCAAACAGTCGTGCATTGAGTGTCCATATTATTATTTTTTAAAAACTCCAATCAGATGTGCAAGCCATCTTCAGAATATACAGTAACTTATTCCTCAGTCCTAATTCAGTAAAGACATCAATCTCTGTGTACATCTCGCTGCACAGAGTAACATGCTGGAACTATCCCAGGAATTAAAGAACTTTGCTCACAAAATACACCCAGTATATCCTGTAAAGCACTTTGCGACATCTCAATTATATAAGGCGCTGTACAAAATGCAAGGATTAGAACTGTCTCCTTGAAAGAAAGATTTTTCACATGTTGTGACATTGCTGATTGAGTATGGTACTGTCTTTAGTGGGCAAACTCCCACTTCCCCCACCCCACCATCTCACACTTGCCCTGAACATCATGCAAAGTGTTAGTAATCCCCACCACCAGAATAAAAATAACAATAATTTGATCACTCAATCCACGACTGTTTGTGGGACACTACTGTACACGATTGGCTGCCACGTTTCACCCATAAGATACACAGCGAGAGAAAACGGGTTTGAATCCCGGGCGGGTAGAGTTTCCTTACTCCACACACCAGGAATCTGGTTGTTAGTCGATTGGTGGATTGCTTTCCAGGTGTAATAATTCCTCCAAAAAAATAAATTTGGTCACTCAATCCACGACTGTTTGTGGGACACTGCTGTGTTCAATTGGCTGTTGAATTTCACTCACAAAATATACAGTCAATTCACTTTTTTTTGCTCTACCTTGCTAACAAGCAGTTGGAAGCTGCTCGTGCCCACACTCTGGACTCCTGCTCACACAGCTCCACACATCACATTATAAGTGCTAAAATTCCTAAACCAACAGGAAAAAGCTGAGTAAAGGTGTAATCTAATCCTGTCTTCCAATGGCATTCATGAAGCAATCAGGCTTCTGTTTCACGGTTTATGGTATAATTTGACCCGAAATCAATTCCAACTGTGTGGAGCCCTCCCCAAGCGATCCATCACGATCACATCATGTCCAGTATTATTCACGACCAGGTTGCAAAAGCCAACTCAGTGACATCAGCACAATAGCGTTATTACACTCCAGCCAGGAGTTTGCAAAGCAAAAATGCCCAGATGCCTTTACATTTATACTTGGATAGCACAGCAAGCTGCTGGTTAATGTGCGGCAGACTACGTAGAGAATTGCTTGTAGCTTGAGATTGGTGAGACTGCTTCTTGTGTCCTCTAGTGGTTTGTGTAGAGACTGAGAGGTATCCGTGAAGAGAAGGTGTAGTGTTTCCATACGCTGCTGGCCAAATTCGATTGACCTTCAGCACAAAGGTTATTACAATGGGTTTCACAAGCCAATTGGTATCTCAAGTTCCCATTGGAATCTGTATTGCTGGCACTAACAAGGATCCACTTGGACATACCAGGTCTGAAAGATTAGTTATGTGGAGAGACATGGATTGGGCAGAAGGAGATTAAGGGAGCAGTCTAGTAAAGGTTTCCAACATAATGAATGGTTTGATAAATTAGGTGTGTCACCTCTGATCTGAAGGTTGTGGGTTCAAATTATAATGTTTACTGTTATTAGGATATATAGTTGTAGAAAAACATTAAAGGGTGGAGATAGAGTGGGGGAATGGAATTAGAGTATATGTATGTCCAGTAGGGAGTGAGCAAATACATAGAAAAGAAAGAGGCCAATCAGCCCATCTGTTTGATCAGATCATAGCAGATTTTTAAATTCTGTTTCTCCACCTTTTCTCCATGTCCCTCAATATCCTTATTTCCAATGTATTTATCTTCCCTTTAAAGCCTGGCTCGGTTGTTAGCTGTATCACCTCTGAGTCAGAAGCCTCACTTTGGGACTTTGAACTCACAAACTGTGGGTTGACATTGCAGTGTCCAGATTATTAGGAGTGGATTACATTGTTGAAGATGTCGTCTTTCAGGTGGGACGTTAAACCGAGGCTCCGTTTGCCAGTTCAGGTGGACGTTAAAGATCCTATGTCATTGTTTGTAAACAGAAGGGAGTTTCTCTCTCCGGGTTTCCTGGCCAACAATCCCCCAGATAAAATCGATCATTCACTTCATGGTTTTTTGTGGGACACTGCAGTGTGCAACTTGGCTGCTGTGTTTGCCTCCAAATTCACTACACTTTACAGTACATACTGCAAAGCACTTTGAGACATCCTCCTGAAGTGAAAGGCACTGTATCAAATGCAAAGATTATTATTAGCATAGCTAATTTAGTGATTGGTGTGTGAGCCTCCATGCCTAAGATGGAAAACGGACATTTTTCTACAAGTTGATATACTTGTGCCACACATTTGGTGGCGAATGGCCTGTGTAAGTGGGGGTTGAGTCAATGCATATCTCTGCTCCTGATAGGAGATGCTTTCAGGCCTGCTTCACCCTGTAAACATCTCCTGAGGAGACACAAACCTGAGGACATTCTTACAGGGCTAATCTTTTTAATACCATTGAGGAATAAAGACATGATATTGGTGTTCTGAGCACACCATGGAGCAACTCTACTGCTGGAGACCATGTTAGTCTGAGCATTACCGTGCTCCTGTGTCACGAGGCTGGATGAGGAACTATGGGGATGTCTCATGTTGTTGCCTCTCCCAATCTCATGTCATTGATAGATTTATCGCTCTCTCTTCATTGCTATTCTGGTTACAAACAACTGTTGACAGAGGTTAACTCTTTCAGCGAAGTGAGAGACCTATTTTTGTCTCTCCAGGTAGTATTTGGTGGCACAGTGAAATCTCAGAACAATGAGGTCCTTAGACTGTAATAAACACTTTTGTGACCTCATATAGTCATAATATCCAACCCTATCCACTTACCCTTATCCCTGATTCCTCAATGTGATGAGTGGATAGGGTTGGATATTGTAACTCAATTGAGACTTATTGCACTGAACTTCAGATGTGGAATAACAAAAACTAACTAACTAACTAACTAACTAACTAACTGACTGACTGACTAACTAACTAACTAACTAACTAACTAACTAACTAACTAACTAACTAACTAACTAACTAACTAACTAACTAACTAACTAACTAACTAACTAACTGTTAGTTGTTTTGCAGGTTTCCCGTGCTTATAAACACCTCGAAGGGCTGATATTGTATTTATTTCTCTGTATTAGACTATATTAGACTTACATTCATTCCTGAACGTAGTTTTTGATATGTGGCAAAAGTTGCACGTCCAGAATTGAGCTCCGAGACTCATGTTTTTCATGGTTTTAGGCTTAAGACCATTGTCTCAAATTCAGTTTTGCCCTGGACTGTATGCATAATCATTACCTGTGTGAATGGAGTCTTGCTAGTGGCCTTGTGTGAATTATCTGAATGAGTGCACAATCCCTGAGGTGATGCCACTTTGCATCATGTAAGATTGTTCGTTGTGTTCTCTCTCAGCTGCCTGATGCAAAATCAAAATCAGTTTCTGAATAAACCCTGTGATGGTACGATGGAGATGATTGTAATGTGGTTTGATATGTGTCAGTTGAGCATGCAACTGTATCTCTTCCCATTACGGTGATCTTCATGATTACTCAAAGCATTGACTGATTTGCATGAATTCTGTTTGACATTTTTGTTGGCTTCATTACTCCCCGTGTTACAGAATGAGGGGCCTATCTAGCAGCAAATCAATCCTGATTGCTGTCCACTTATTCCTGGTAGAATGTTTGTGTGTGGGAATGTCAGGCAAGGATAATATCGGGTTTGACAGTGATGCTCTCCCCATGCTCTCATAGATTGCTGACACTCAGCACTCGCACTCACACATGAAAAATGGCCCTTGGACATGGTTTGAGAAGGGTGGACATGGCCAGTGGTACAATATTAATAATAATAATCCTTGCATTTGATATAGTGCTTTTCACGTCTTCTAGGCATCTCAGAGCGCTTCGCAGAATATACTGTAAAGTGAATTGACTGTATATTCGTGGGCGAAACTTGGCAGCCAATTGTGCACAGCAGCGTCCCACGAGCAGCCGTGGATTGAGTGACCAAACGTTATTGCTTTTTTTTTTCTTGAGGGATTATCATCAGACCTGTGGAGTAAGGAAACTTGCCCAAGGTTTCACCCTGCGGGAATCGAACCCAGGTCTCTCGCTCGCAAGGGGAGCGCGCTAACCACTGAGCTGTGCAGCCCACACGAGCCGGTGGCTTGTGGAGACCATCAGAGTTGAAATGTGGAGTCCTGTAGCTCAGTGGTTAGAGCACTCGCTTTGCAAGTGAGAGACCTGAGTTCAATTCCAGGCAGAGGGCGAAACCTTGGGCAAGTTTCCTTACTCCACACAGAGCCTAATAATAATCCCTCCAAAAAACTAAAAACAATAATTAAATTGGTCATTTTCAATCTACGACTGTTTGTGGGACATTGCTGTGCGCAATTGGCTGCCGCGTTCGCCCACAAATATACAGTCAATTCACTTTACAGTGTGTTCTGTGAAGCGCTTTGGGACGTCCTCCCGACGTGAAGAGCGCTATATCAAATGCAAGGATTATTATTATGTGGCAAATTGCCCAAGGGACCCCCATCCCAAGCATCTCGGGTCATAAGAGTAGTGTTGGCCGGACACGACCCCAGTCTATCCACTCGCCCACTAGACTGGGCAAGAGCAACCGGGACAGTGGATTGGTGGGAGGGAGAGAGAGAACATACTTTTAAACAAAGGGGAAAAAACATTTTATCTCTGGTTCCCTTTTGACCCTGTGATCTCCCCCACACCCAATGACCAGTGTCAGCCTCAGAACAAAAGGACTGGCATGAGACGCGTTGACCGGTCCTCCACACGTGGAGCAGCGGCGAGGAGACAGACAGACAGACAGAGAGAGCGCGAGAGAGAGACCCATCTTGGCCCAGTCGTTCGCTCCTCGGCTGACATGCGCAGTGAAGCGCGCCGGAATTTAAACAGGAGAAGCGGCGGTTGGTGCGCGAGAGTCGCCTGAGGAGACGGCGGCGTGAGGACGGGAGAGGCTGTGCTCGGCAGCGCTGCACAGCTCAGCACCAGGGGAGCCCGAAACAGGCAAGTACCGCAGGCCCCGCGGCTCTCGGGTTTCCTCAGCTCCTGGCGTGGGTCTGACGCCCACCTCACCCGCCCGGTTTCCCCAGCTCAGCCTCGCGGGGGGCCGGGGGCGCTATCTCTGTTAGGCCCCGGTTCTCCGCAGAGGCCTCGGCTGCCCCTTCAGTTCAGGTCGGTTTCCTCGCTTCACTCGGCCGCCCGTGGCTGAGCTCCAGCCGCCCCGAGGAGCCGGTCTCCTTTGCCACCCCACCCACCCCACCCCACCCACTCGCTCCCTTCTCACTTTCGCGCCCACTCCGCTTGTACTTTGCTCACAGCCGAGTGAGTGTCTGACTGACTGCGCCCAAACCCCCCATCGAGAGTCCCAAGTCTTCAAAATTCTTCTGTTCCTTTTTTTTGTAAAAAAAATGGAGAGAGAGAGAGAGAGCCACGTTACACTCGGGTGTCTGTATTTACGTAGAAATAAAAACAAAAATGTATTGCCTGACACCAGCAATAAACCGAGTCAAAAGAGCAGAGCAGCGCAGTTATGTGGAAAATGCTCAACCGTCGGTTACACCAGAGATGCACCCAAACTGTGTTGTGCAATAGTGGAGACAAATAATAATAATAATAATCCTTGCATTTGATATAGCGCTTTTCACGTCGGGAGGACGTCCCAAAGCGCTTCACAGAACACACTGTAAAGTGAATTGACTGTACATTTGTGGGCGAACGCGGCAGCCAATTGCGCACAGCAATGTCCCACAAACAGTCGTGGATTGAAAATGACCAATTTATTATTGTAAATTTTTTAGGGATACGAAATCTTAACAGGTTGCTCATTCCGAGCAGTGGAGGGTGTGCGGGTGTGTGTGTGGGGGGGTTGAAGGACTTTTCAGAAGCAGTTGCAAAAAAAAACCTCACCCCCCCCCCCCACCCTTCTGAAACAGATTGTCTTGTATTCAGGGAATGTGCACTCTGTGTGCGCCACTTTCCAGTAGCAACAGAAGAAAAACTGAACTTGCTAGTTTTCCCCTGTGGGGCCTCAGTTAATCAGGTCTCACCTCTAAAGCAGCTGAAGAATTTCTGGGCTGGGCGGCTTGACTTGGTTTAAGTTTCTGACCTGAGGAAGGTTCATTGGACTGCATTTGGACAGAGTCCACCGGTCTGAATGGATTTTAAGTACTTATTCTTTTTCCAACTGAACCCTTAGATGACATTAATGTTTTAGTGCTCCTATATGCGTAGAAATAAATTAACTGCTCTGCCTTTCAAGTGTTATATCAGTTAATATGGATGGTGGCTTGGCTCAGTTTGCAGCAATTTCACCGCTGCAGCAACGGTTGTGGATACAAAAGTAGAAGATTGTGGATTTGCATCACTCCTCCCCTCTCTCACACTCACACACACACTACTTGAGCGCCTAATCCAAGGTGTTCATTCTGAGTGAAAGGAGCTATATAACTGTTCTTGTTGGTGACTCTTCTGTAAGTAGTGAGGAGCACTGACTGTCTTGTCTGCAGTGTCGGTCTTTCAGCTGAGACATTGAACTCGGGTCCCAACTGCCTGTTTTTGGTTATTTGAGAGCAGCAGGGAATTTTCCTGGCGTGCTGCCCAATGTTCCTCCCTCATAAAAATCCACCCTGTTTTACAGTTTAACAATGAATCACATGAGCTTTATTTGAAAATCTGCTGACAAGCTGATCTCATCTGAGCAAGAAGTGAGGGAGTATCAATTTACTTATTCTTAGGTTTAGGAGGGAAAAGGCAGCCGGGGCTCCTGCTCATTGCCAAGCTCTCCTTGTTCCCTTGATTCCCCCCCCCCCCATTCCCCTTTTCTCTCCACCCACTTTCTCTAATCCACATTGTTGAATAGCCTGTTAACACATGCTGTTGAGGCTCACACAAGACTAATGGCCACCTGGGCGAAGTTCCTTGGGATTGAACTCTAAGGAAGGAAAATATCTGCTGCATCCATACCTACTGGACCATTGGGGGTGAGGGGCAGGAGATGATCAACAAAATGGATCCTGGATAACTTCCTGATCCCAGTTCTGCAATAGCAATGTTGGAGGTCCGGACAATACAGTCCTTGCTGGGTGTCGGGGTGAAGGTAAGTGGGGTCTCCTTGGAACTGAAATGGCTCCAAGGTGCCTTGATTGCAATGGAATGTTGGAATCTAGTTAACCCCCTGTCTTGGTTGTCTGGTTCCTGAGGCAGATGAGTCTGCAGTACTCCAGGGCACTGCTGATAATTAACCAGGCTAGTCTGGCTCATCAGAAAGACTTGGAGGGCAGATGCCCTGCTGACCAAAAAAGGCCAATACAATTTGAAAGTGCTGATCTTGGGGTAGGGGGGAGAGATGCTGGGAGTTTATCAGTATCTTAAGTGGCTATTCTCCTGCTGGACAGCAAATGTCCCTGGGGTGTTTTACAATACTGTTTTGAGTATAAGGGAGGGATGATCATAACCAAACATTTCAACTTCTTGAATGCACCGTTTGCACCTCTATGTAACTATGTAGTAAATGAGTAGCTGGAGGAATTTTATTCATAGACTCATTGAGATCCAATAAAATGTGTGAAGCTGAGCGCAAAGTCTAGGCTGACATTCCAATGGAGATTGCTGGTATCCTTTAGATGAGACTCTAAACTGGGGTCCCATCTGTCTGTTCAGATGGACGTGAAAGATCCCATGGCTGTATTCATAACATACAAGAGTAGGCCATTCGGCCCTTCGAGCCTGCCCCGCCATTCAATCATGGCTGATCTTCTCATCTAACTCCAGCTAATAACCTAACCCTGCCTTATCCCCATATTCCTTAATCCCTTTAAAAATAGCCTGTTAACACATGCTGTTCAAAAATAGAAGGAAGTTTCTCTAGGTGTTCTGGCCAATAATCCTCCAGGTAAATTGGTCATTCACTTCCTGTGTTTGTGAGCCAATGCTGTTGTGGAAATTTGCAACTGGTTGTGCTGATAGTCATGGTTTACAATGCAATCCAAATTTATATTTATATAAATCTTTTCACAATGGGAGTCCCAAGGCCCTGAAACAAAAAAAGCTGAAGTGTTTTGGGATATTTCGACATGAAAAGGTATTATTTCAAATGCAAGGAATATATTATTGTTTATATAGTGCTTTTCATGTAATAAAGTCTCAGTTATGCAAACTATCAATAGAATGAAAATGTATTATATTGGCAAATGCAGGAACACAGTCTGTCATCAAAATCCGTTAACCAACAATTAAATGAACAGCCTATTCATTTGAATTTGGAGGTGAATTTGGATGAGCAGCTTTATATTCAATTCTGAGTAGTTGGTGAGTCTCAGAGTCAACTCAGATCTAGGATGAGTTGAAAGTCGATTTGGAATGCTAGGATTAAGAGATCATTTGTATTTTTTTCTTTCCCCAGCTTACTCAAACTGACTTGAATACCGAAGGGAAGATTCTACTAAAATGTCCCATCTTAAGGACAGAGATTTAATACAGGTCCGGCGTCCTCTGAAGAGGCTACGCGAGCATCCCCCCCACAGTGACAATCTGTCAGGACATGACGGTGGTGAGTCAGGCTGTCTGTAGTGGAGGCTACAGTACACTAACAAGTATCTTGTGATTGTATGTCCTGCACCATTTAAATCATTTCTATTTGGTGTTGGGAGTAAGTTGGGATTTATGGAGCAACTGTTCTACCTTCTGCTCTTGGCATACCTTGACACTTTGAAGGATGCATCTGTTTTCTGTTATTCACTTGCTTTGTGATAATGTTGATTTGAATAGGTGTGACCCTGAAATTTACTTACCAAAAAATTCCAGAATGTGCACTGTAAGCTGGTGATGTGATGACCGAGAAGTAGATCATTTTAGCTTTCCACTCTCTGGCTGGCTTCTTTCTCTCATGGGGAAAGAAAAGGCCATCTCCAGGTCATCAGGTGCTGCTGTCATCACTGTGCATGCAGGAGGTGATGACAGCAACCTGTTCTGGAAGCTGGGCAGCTTCTTGCACAGTAAAGCAGAAGCATTGTCTGGCCATCCTGTCAATCATAAAGCTTAGTTAGGATTTTATCGGCCTAACCCTTTTCCCCAACTACTGTGTTGTAACTGCAGTATTTAAAGTGAATGAAAATACTTTGGGTTCTGCTATTTGCAGTGGATCTCCCTCTGACAGCAAATCGCTGGTACTGCATTGTACTGTTTAAAGATCAGAAAATATATTTCATTGCCCACTGGGCATTGTCCGAACTAAATGGAAAATTGATTGGGATGTTTTAAAAGGGCAAAAGATACTTGGGAAGTAAGGGTATTAATGGGATTAAAAAATCTGCCATGATCTGATGGATCCACTTGGCTCAGTTCATGGCACACTCGCAGTGGGTCAAATAGTTGCGAGTTCAAGCTCAGTGCTGGAAATTTGAAATCACAGCCGAGGTTATACTTCAGTAATGCAGTACTGGGGAAGCACAGTAATATCAGTTGTCAATTACTGCCAAAGGGCAGTTGATTGATTGTACCAAGTAGTAACTGAATTCTCATCTACAGAATCGCCACAGGGTTCGCCAAAGAAACAACCATGTAAATCCTTGGAGGAGGAAACAGAAAATCTGTATCCTGAACCCAGCTTTGTATCCAAGAAATTTCGTTCCCAGGAGCAGGGGATCAAGCCAGACACTCCGGTGGTTGCATCGGTGAAGTCGCGGCTTCAAAGGCTTGCCGAGCAGAGGAAGGACTGGGATTCTGATGGTACATCTCTTCCATCTCTGCAGAAACAATTAGATTTTTCTCATCGCTTCTCTAATGGGGGGGGGGGGTGCAATATTCAGTGTAATGATCTGTGTTGGGTAACCAGGGCTATAGCTCTAACAAAGGAATGAAAACGTACTGCTCTTTCTTATAGTCTTATCCTTAAAAGGCGCAAATGCTGTAATCCAAATGTGCAGTTTGCCTTCAGAATAATCCCCAGATCACCTGAGATGGAATCCAGATTTGTCCATCGTGTATATCTTTATGCCCAGATTGCTTTGGCCCTTAAGACCAACAATTAAGATTCAAGAGAATTTGGGGCAAAATCTGCACGGAAGCAGTGCAATAAAACCGTAGGAGACTGTAACTGAAAGCAGTGCCTATGCCTACAAATGGTGCACTAGACAGCTGTGTTCATTCGTGGTTTCCAGATGGCTCATTCAATAGCCTATTTGGATACAACTTATTATTCTAAAATGTTGTGAAATATCATTATGGCTCAAAAGAAATGGTCTGATATTTCTTATTATACAAGTAGATCACAGAAACTGCTTGTGTTTGCTGACAGCTGTGACTTGGCAAAATAAATTGGGAATATAGGATATGATTCTGTGTGTACTGTTAGGTACAAGGTCAAACAGCAGCAACATGTCAACTGGCTGAGATATTTGCTTATTACAGGGGTCTCTCCCTTTAAGGTGATGTACTTTGGGGAGTAATCATTGTTTTAATAAAATTAGACTGAATTAATTTATTAATTCTCCAGAACTGCTCCCTGATATTGCACTAAGTAATGCACAAGCTTCTCTGGTGAAGAATGAACAGTCTGGAGCACTGACCAGCCGCTCCTGGAGGGATGGATTGGCCAGAGCCCCTATTAGGAATTTCCGGGATAAGATGACCGAAACTGCCCAGATTGTGGCTGGCTGTGAAGTAAGTGAACAGGAACTTTCAGCACAAGTGCACTAACGTAACTTGTATTTGAGGAGATAGGGTTGGAATAGGAAGGGAAATTTGGTTAGATAACAAAATTGTACTCTAGTGTGGCTAGGCAAGGGGATAGAGAGACCATTTGTGTCTCGTATGGCATGGATAGTTTTCTCTGGGGTAGACTTTTTCTCATCTGCTTTATTCAGTGTCGGTGGAGGATTGGTGTTACGTTAAGACCTGGATAATCTGTTGAATCAGATAATAATAATCCTTGCATTTGATATAGCGCTTTTCACGTCTTCTCGGCATCTCAAAGCGCTTCACAGAATAGACTAAAGTGAATTGACCGTATATTTGTGGGTGAAACGATGAAGTATAGCATGAACCCAGAACATATTCAACTACTAACATATACGACATACTGATCAAACTTTTTGCAATAAATCACTAGATTTGAATTTTATAACTTTTTGAGGGGGAGGAAAGAAACTTTTAATTGTTCCCATGTACATTTGGGATTACTTGATGCTGGATGATTGGTGTCTGTGCTTCAATGTAGGGCTTTAGGTACTTCCTAACAGGACATGTTTAAACAGGTTAGTCGTGAACTGGAAGGTGTGATGTCTGCTGGCTCGATGATGAAAACTATCCCTCCTGCAGTGGCTTTGAGTAAGTAGAGATGTTGTTGTATGCTGTGCTCTGTAATTTGCACCATACTTAAGAGTATCCAACCCAGAATGAGTGTTCCAAGCTTGTCACCTACACATAGAAATTTCCATATCTGGAAAGGAATGTGCATTCTCTCCCCCCAATGGATGCTCTGTGCTTACCTACCTCTGGAGGGTATTGGGTGCAGATTGGCAAGAACCAAAACTTGGGAACCCTAGAATGTATTGGGGTTTAATCAGCTAAAACCATGCAGATTGACATTGAAAGCACTGTCTGGCAAGCTTTACGCTACTTATCCAGCTATGATCCAGCTATGAGGAGGGAATCCCTATCCCTTCCAAATCTTGCTGATGAGCCAGGTTGACTGGTCTGTCAATACCAGTGCGTGGATAATTGTGGACCAGCTTGGCTCAGGAACTGGACTACTGAGACAGTAACAGATTAATAATGTGTTGTCAAACATGACATGTTGGAGTCACTTCAGCTCCAAGAAGAGCCCTCCCCTGAACTTCTGTCTTAATAATAATAATAATAATATTAATAATAATCCTTACATTTGATATAGCCCCTTATCACAGCTTTGAGACATCTCGAAACGCTTCACAGGATGTACTGTAAAGTGAATTGACTGCATATTTTGTGGGTGAAACGTTCAATGGTTGTGCTGTGGTTGCTCGTTTGAGCTGGAATGTGGTTTTCTAGAAAGAACAGCATCCAACTGGTTAGGTAAGAATAGAATTCCTCTTGGTGGTTTGACAGCCCCAGGACCTCTGCAATGCTTGACACTGGAACATTTTGTGAAGTTGAAGATGCAACACTACATGGAAAGATTTCTGGCTTAACCCACTCTGGCAGAAAAACAATTATCTTGATTTCTGCTATCCTTAGATTTTAAGTAATCATGTTTAAGTAGCAAAGGCTCCTCCTTTGCTGTGCTGTCTTCACCGATCGTGTCGCACTGGCAGATTTTTTTGGTGGGGCGTGGGGGGCTGGTTTGCATTAGGGAGCTGTCTACCTTAAATTGATGAGAAACTTGTAATGCCATTGTATTGAAGCCACACCCAAACTTTATTCAATGTCTGCATTTAGTTTGCTACTGTACATGAAAACAAAATGAGTAATATAACTGAGCACAAAGAAAAAGTGTCGCAAGCATGTGAAACTGCTTTGGTGTTTTCCGGTTAGAAGTTGTCCTGTGATACAAATGTAGTAGTTTCACCAACCTCCAGCACCAAGTTTTACCAAGTAAAACTGGTCAAGGTTTGCCTGATTGTGTTTAATGGAGAAAGAAAAGGCAACTTCAGACGAGAATCTGTAAATTTAAATTTTTTGTTGGAGTCTATATTTGCTGGTTGCAGTTTTTAGGAACAAGTTTGCAGTCTCGGCAAACTTCCTCTGTGCAGAATAATCCTGGTGTATTAATAACTTTTTCTTAAACTTTAAAAAAAAAGCTGCTGCCAATGCTGTGCAGTCTGTCCGAGGGAAGTTTGAAGAGATGAATCGTGAGAGAGAAGCCTATGAAGAAAGTGCAATCTGCCCCAAGATTGTGGCTGTGACCACAAATACAAAGGCCATTCAGGACCAGCTGCTCCGGCAGTCCACTCCCAGTGCGTCTCACGCTCTCCGCATCAAAAAGGTAACTTGCCAAACTGCACACGTCTGCTTGTAAACTGCTGAGCTGTTCCACAGAGGTTCGACTCCACCATTAACCATTTGTGCTTGCTCTTTCAAATGTCTGTACATGCAGTGGTTGTAATAATAATAATCCTTGCATTTGATATTGCGCTTTTCACGTCTTCTAGACATCTCAAAGTGCTTCACAGAATATACTGTAAAGTGAATTGACTGTATGTTTGTGGGCGAAATGTACTGTCAATTGAAAATGTATTGTATTCATTACTGGGATATTTTAAGTTGACCCTTTCAGCGTGTCCTCCAATTTCTTAGGAAAAGCTAAAGCAAAGCAGTACAGACCAGAGATGTTGCAGGTTTGATCCCAGTGCTGGGTTTGCTGATCTCGGGTGAAGCAGCAGTCCTGCCCACACCCATGAAGGGTGTAACTTGGCGCTGATTGCTGAAAGTGCTAGTCTTTTCAGTATAACTTTTTAATAGACTTTATAATGGAAGTGAAAGGACTATGCTACCCGATTCTTCCTCATGTGAGTTTTGTAGGTGTAACCTGGAGGGGAGGCTTCAACTAGGGGGATGAGGTCATTGGGAGAGAGCCAGGTTTTGGTGAGCCCAAGAATGTCAAGGTGCTTGTCCAGGATGAGATTGTGAATGGTGAAGGATTTGTTTGAGAGGCTATGGACATTTTGGAGGGAAATGCGGGTGGGTTTGCTGGAGGGAGGAGACTGATCAGAGAGTGATGCGGAGAGGATTTTTGGATGTGCAGGAGAGATGGTTGTTGTGAGTGGAGAGTTGGGGAGGGTATGTATGAGGGAGGGGGAAGTTGGGTTTGCCTTAAAGAGGTGGTTTGTGCGGAGGGAGTGAATGATTGGGCACTTGGGGTTGCTGCTCTGGGACAGCCAGTGCCTGGAGACACGATGGGCCCGGCAGAGGAGGCCCAGGCTTGAGCAGAGGGAGGTGGTGATGGGGTCGAGGAGAAGAGAAGACGGTGCGGTGGAAGAGAAGGACAGAGGGGGAGTAACGGATAGAAGGGGGTGGGAGGAGAGACACAGAGGGGGATGGGGAAGAGACAGTTAGAGTGGAGGGGCAGGCTCAGGTCGGGGCGGCAGCCAACACGCACACGCAGAGACAGCGAGCGACCAGTGGGATGGCATCAGCCGGCAGGCTGTGGGGTCATGGCTGGGAAGGCAGTGCCAGGCCATTGTTGTTGTTGCTGTTTTTTTTTAACTGACGTCACCCAACGTCACTTTGTGATTTGCGCCACCCCGTCACTTACCCAACCCCCGCAATCTCCTGACTTCACTCCTGACTGAATGGCTCCTGAATGGCTGGGCTTTATACCCGTAGCTAGGCTCAGCTCTGCCTCGCGCTCTCCAGACTTCGCTCCTGACCTCCTCCCCACCAACTTGCTGGTCACCCACTTCCCCTCCTCTGCCCACTACTGGCTGACGTCATCAACCAGTCCCTCTCCTCCGGATCAGTCCCTGCCCCCCTCAAAACTGCTGTCATCACCCCACTCCTGAAAAAAAACCCTCCCTAGAACCCTCAAACCCCAGCCACTACCGCCCTATTTCTAACCTGCCCTTCCTCGCAAAAGTCCTAGAACGCATTGTTGCCAATCAACTTTGTGCACACCTCCTCCCACTCCCTCTTCGAACCCCTCCAGTCCGGTTTCTGCCCACAGTACAGAGACTGCACTTGTGAAAGTCACAAAAGACATCCTCTATCTGTGACCGGGGCTCCCTCTGCCTTCTTGTGCTCCTGGACCTCTCCGCCGCATTCGACACAGTCAATCACGCCATCCTCCTCCACTGCCTTTCTTCCGTCATCCACCTCACTGGGACCGCACTCGCCTGGTTCAAGTCCTACCTCACAAACCGCCAGCAGTACATCTGCACAAATGGCTTCTCCTCCCGCTTTCACCCAGTTACCTGTGGGGTCCCCCCAAGGATCCATCCTGGCCCCCTCTTTCTGATCTACATGCTCCCTCTTGGGGATGTCATCTGAAAACATGGGGTACATTTCCACATGTATGCGGATGACACCCAACTCTATTTTTCCACTTCTCTTTGCGACCCCCAGTCCCCTGATCTTCTGTCAGCTGCCCGTCAGACCTCAGGGGATGGATGAGCGCAAATTTCCTTCAGCTGAACATTGACACGATGGAATCTCACGGTTCTCACCACCTCCACCTACCCGACCTCCCCCTAAAACTCTCCTAGGCGTCAGGTTCGACCCCCAATTATCCTCCTTCCCCACATTCGATCCTTCACCAGCACCGCTTTCCTCCACCTCCGATGCATTGCCCGTCTCCGCCAATACCTCATTCCAAAAGCCGATGAAACCCTGGTCCATGCCTTTATCAACTCTCGGCTGGACTATTCAAACGGCCTCCTCACTGGCCTCCCCTCCACTACCATCCATAAAATCCAGATTATTTAAAACTCTGCTCCCGCATTCTCACCCACACCAAACTCCGCTCCCCGATCCTCGCCAGACTACACCGGCTGCCTGTCCCAGAGAGGATTGATTTCAGGATCCTCACTCTTGTCTTCAAATCCCCCCCACTCCTCTGCACCCCCCCTACCTCTCTGACCTCTCCTCAAAGCAGTGCCCTTTGACTTTGTTCCTTCGGGTCTGGCCTCCTCCTTGTCCCCCGAGCCCTCCGCTCCACCCATGCCGCCGTGCCTTCAGCCACTGTGCCCTGAGGCTCTGGAACTCCCTTCCTCACTCCCTTCGCCTCGCCTTTTCCTACTTTCAGATCTCTGCTGAAGACCTTTCTTTTCGATCGCGCCTTTGGTCACCTTCCTTCCCCTCCCCCTGGCTTGGCCTCGGGATCCATTACTGTGAAGCACTCTTGAGACGCCATCTGGCGTGGAGGGCGCTATATAAATCCAAGTTGTTGTAGTAGCGGTGATTGCTGAAATAAAGTGAGGAATGTATAGATTGTGAGGTTGTCTCTATCCGACACCTGTAAATAAATACTGCAGGACTCTAGGGTTATGTTGTCTCTGCTGACAGTCATGTGAATTGCGAGCTGATGTTGGGAAGCTCGAGATGCAGCTGCTTGATGTGTGGTAGTAACAGAAACTGAGACTTCCTCTCGCAGCTTCCTGGCATCTGTTGGGAACTGATGAAAACAAAACCTAGTGTTCCAATAAGCAGGTAGGATTTTTATGTTGAATAGTCAACACTCAAATACATGACTCGAACCAGATTGTCTACACAACCTCCAAGGCAAGATTTCCCTTTTGATTTAGACCCATATACAGTCAGTTCACTTTACAGTGTGTTCTGTGAAGCGCTTTGGGACGTCCTCCCGACGTGAAAAGCGCTATATCAAATGCGAGGGTTATTATTATTATTATTATTATTTCCTTTGCATTATACGGAACATCCATTTTCCTTCTGCTGAACATTAGCCATGTTCTCTCAAACCAGTGTGAGTGACTGATGAATATTAGCCACAGGGATCATCAGGAACTGACACTGAATGAGAATCTACTTGGCATTCAAACGAATGTCGCTTTCTAAATCTATATCTAATTACTGAAGTGAATCAGATAAATACACATTACACTTAGTGACAAAGTACAATAAATCAGTACAGCTGTCAGATGTGACTGGACGATGCTCTGGGGTGGGGGGGTGGTGTTTGAGCAGAGTCTCCTTGGAGCAATAGGAAAGCTTGCCAACGCACACTCTGGGGTCCCCAAGCATTGACTATTGCCTAATACTCTCCAGAATTAGGTAAGCAGGATATGTCCCTCCAGGGAGAGAGTGCACATTCCATTCCAGTTCATGGGAATGCATGAAACACTGGGTTTCATAAGCTAATGGTCTTGTGATAAGAAAGAAGCCACTTTTTTCATATTAAAAATGTTTTGATCAGGCCAAAAGAGATGGGATATTTTGTGTGAACTAAATGAGTTTTAAACTCGTCTCCAAATAAATTGCACAACCATGCCAATGTGAAGGAAAACATGTGGGTCAGTGTTAACTGCAGTACGTTTCTGGTGTGGTAAGGGAGTGCTGCCTCCAGAGCTTTACCTCCTTGTGTTCTTGTGCTCCCAGGAAAGGGAGAAGGAGCTTTCAATGATTCGGGGAAAAACTGAAGAGAAGAATCTGTGGATGGAGAAGAAAAAAAGCACCAAATCCTGCAAGAGCATAGAACTCAAGGATGCTATAGTGGTAAGAGGCTAAAAGGCTCATGTTTCCCATGACAAATCACATCTGGGAAGGGTGATCTTGGTTTCTGACTAATAAAATTTAACGTGAAATTCTTTGAGTCTGTCTCCGGAATTAGACAGTGCCCCTTTCTGTTCAGTTCAAGTAGATTCAGAAATGTATCTTGGCTTAAGGACAAATGAATTCAAACACATATATAAGGTTCTCCTTGGGGAATGGTTTACAGTGAGACTTGTATCTTAATCTTTTCTGCCTTCATGTGGTTTTCCTCATTTTCACGTGTTTTTTATATTGCTTACAAGAACAGCTCAGCAAAAGGGTTATAACTTGTCATGCATATTTGCACTTGTAACCCTGCATTCACAGTATTCAGTAAGAGATTGTAAATCTTTGTCTTGAAATTCAGATTTATGTAGCCTGATCTAATAATTGTCATTACGTAGCGAAGCAATATTAGTACCATCAAGTTGCACTTATAGAGATTTTTAAATAAATTGACGTGTTTCACGGTGATGATGGGGATCACCAAGCTCAAAAGAGAGGGGAGTTTGAGGGTGAGCCAAAGGTGCGGTCAAAGTAGTTTTTGAAAATAGCTTCCAGAGAGCAAGGGCAAAGGTTTGACCTCTGATGGTGGGACATGAGCAGTAGATCAGAGCTGGAATAATAGTCCTGCAATGAAAGTCCTGAGTTTGTTAGAGTGAGATCATTCAAAAGTCCACTGTTTCACATGACAAGTCTGGCTGCTTGGTGTGGGTTGATGGTTGTTCTGAGGGGAGAGGGTGTTTTGGTGGTGGTAACCTCTTCAGTGAGGCCTGTTGCAGGTCATGTCTAATGTAATGTGGATGCAGGAAGAATGAGGAAGGGCCAGGGCTTGTGACCATGCCAGTGAGCCTAATGGATTCTGAGCAACTTCCAGGTGACAATGGAAAGGCAACAGTAAGTTTCCACTGGGCCCATCAGCTGATGCACAGTCTCTTCCTGAGGCCCCCCAATTCAATGTGGAACATAAACTGTTCTAGTTTAATAGTTTTTAAGGTTTTTAGTTTAAGTTCTGGTTGAGTCATTTATTCTGGATGGAAGTATTGTCTTCATCTTAACTAAGAAAATATTTGTATTTTTAAAGTGCCTTAAACATTGTCTCAAAATGCTTCACAGGAATTAGTGTAAAATGTATGGCTATTTGCGACACAGGCAGCCATGAGGGGACTGACCAATTTATCTAGGCAATTATTGGGATAGTTAATCATTTTATTCTCTTTTCAAATAGTGCTGTGGGATCTTTGACTGAACAGACAGGTGGGATCTTAGTTTAATGTGTCATCTAAAAGATGATGCATTGTGGCTTTTTTTTCAGGGTCAGTCTGGACTAATGAATACATTTGGTTCTGTGTTGCTTTGGACAAGATAACTTTCTGTATGGTCACTATGTTCAGCTACAGTATTTTTTTCATTTTTTTTTTCATGGTGCTCATCTTGTACCATCTGCAGATTTGAAGCATTCAGTTTGCCTGTGGCTGACACTGGAACTATTAGTAGTAAACTCATGCTGTTGGAACGTCACGTTGAGCTCAGAAGTGTTGCCTTTTTTTGTGTGTGTATGTACGTGCTTGATTGATCTTACTGGTGGGGAATGTTGCTCATGATGACTCTTCCTGTGGCAGACAATTCCCACTTGACTCCCAGGTAAATGTTCCCTTCCCAACTTGCTATGGAAAGAACCAATTGGAGTTGCGACTAAACTTTTATCCATTGCCATATTATCTGATGGGAGCTGGCTTGAGAAGATATTGTGTAGTCTGTTTGTTCATTGCAACCAACAGTTGAGTTTGTGAAATAAAACCCCAATTTGCAGCATGTTTACAGAACCATTATTGTTGTGCAGTTGTGGTGCATATGCTAGTGTGGAGCAACAACGAAGTAAAGAAAAAACATTGTGTCTGAATTCAGATGGTATCTGCGTGTCCTTTTCGCCTCCTCAACCTCTGCCTATTCCATGAGTTGCTGATCCAGTGCCTCTGCGAGTTTGCTTAACTTTAATTTTCTTCCCATTAAGGGTGTTGATCAACCGCTGGTGAAAGGATTGGTACATCAGGAAGAATTGGGGCAGGCAGACATGTATCCGGACACAATTGTGGCTGGTGATATTTGCGACAGCTCTGAGCAAAGTGAAAAGCATGAAGACCCTCTTACAATTACCAGCGATGCAGGTATGACATCCTGAACTTAATCTAAGCTGGTTCATTTATTCTTGTTTGCATATCTTGTTATTATACCGGAGGCGATTTTATCCAACACTGGCCCTTTAACACAATAATTCAATTTGCTTCAGTGTCTCTTCATAACTGAAAGCTGCTTTCTTAATGCATTACACTCATTCCATTATGGCACCACATCTTGCTTTACTACTGAAGAACTTGCCTGATATGGTTTATGCGAATGGTCTGCTAATAAGTTTGTTTTTTGCATGCTGAACAGCATTATGAGTACATAAGCTCCAGGTCTGTTTCTCTATTCACATTCTTTTGTTCTGCCCTGAAGGAATTCCAGGAAGCTCTGTGCTGTCTTGGTGGTGACTATCAACAGTAGAATAAGATCCAGGGTGGTCATGATATAACTATTGCTCTATGTTGCAGTCAAGAGTGAAAATCATTGTATTGGTATTTCACACTCAATAATATGCTGACTGCGGTTGCAGTCTGTCTTAGTTATAGTGTTCATTTTCGAAGGGAGTCAATGCTGCACCCCTCCATCTTCTAGTTACTAACTGATTCATCAGTGAAGCCTTTGAATGCTCACTGTTTAGTCCAGTGCTTGCTGAAATAAAACCCAACAAGTAGGATAATTAATAAACTTCACTAAAGTTTGAATCTATTGGAAGGCCTATAAACTTACAGGTTTGTGGGGGCTGATAAAGCAAGAAAAGGTACAAACCTTTTCCTCAATTTGATTTAACATTTTGAAATAAATGGCAGTGCAGATGGGAACAGACCTGAATTTTTGTTTCATTTTGAGGTCAGTGTGTACACTGTACTTTCTGGGGAAGTATATCATGTTACTGTGTATTAACTGCACATGAGGTTGGTTGGTGGTTTTTATATAACTTATATTTTGCCCACAATAATACTATATAGTATATTCTGTGAAGCGTTTTGAGATGTCTCAAAGACATGTGAGATGCTATATCAAATGCAAGTATTATATATTAGCTTTAATATTTTAGTGTTGCATTTCTTGTCAGGCAGAAAACTAATTGATGTTACAATGGTCTGAACGGATGCTTGTGATGGGCAGCCCTTTAAGTATCCTGTTTTCTCCTGAATTCAGATGATTTCAAAGGAGAGGAGCCTCTGACTTGGTCTACTCCTGTCAGAAAGGTGACTTTTGCGTTAGAACCATCAACCATTCCATCTCTCGAATATGTAGAAACTGAAAGTGAGCATGAGTACATCACTGAGACTGGTATGGAAACTCATGTCCTCTATAAGATATTTCAAAATACAAATAGGTATTTTTTGTACTGAAGGAGCACTACTATTGAGATTTGTGGAATGTGCAGATCAGCTACCTTGTTTGCCTGCATAAATCATGAGTCTTCAAAAAGGTACTTGTGTGTTGGATATGACGAAGGACCACATTAATTCCAATGTTTAAGAGCAGGACTGCATTGTTTCTCCAGTGTGGGTTGAGCTAAGTTTCAGTCTCTGAATATAACTAACTAACTTCATGGCTTCTTTCTGTTTCTCTGTTGCATCAGATCCCCTTAACTTACATGCCTGTTGCTGATCTACCCTCCCCTTCCTCGCTAACCACAGTGCATTCCTAGGCTTCACTACTCTGAGCTGCACAGAGCAGGAAGTTGCTGGGTTTGATTCTGGCCTATGCTGATTTTGAGCTGGGGCTACAATGGGTGGGGGGAGCAGAATGTGATGTTGGGTTAAAAAGGGACAAGGGTAAAATGGTCGCTATGTATCAGTGGATTCTTTTGTAATGGTCATTAAGTGTGCATAAGATATTTAATATCCAGCATGCTGATTCATTATTGTTCTCACCTCAGATATTGAGTCCAGCTCACAAGAAACTTTGAATAACTCAGAAATCATCGATAAACTATTTGAGGGCGTGTTTAACGCAGTGGAGGGCGAAGAGGAAGAGGAAGTGCAGGAGAAAGAGTTAGTGAAGGTAGAGGAAGCAAAGGTTGAGGAGGAGGAAGCAATGAAAGTGGATGAAGGAGAGCCTGAGGATCAGGAGGGAGCTGAGTTGGTCTCGCTGGAAGCCAAGGCTGTGGAACAAAGTGAGGATGAAAAGGTGGAGCTGAAATCTGAGGCAAAACATCCAGAGGAGGCAGATGGACTCTCTCTTCCCCATACATCTTTGTCTCCACTTGTTACATCCGTCAACTTAGACTCTGCAACTCCTTTGGTGAGTACCTACAATCTTCTTGTTACTGGACCTCCATAAGGTATGCTCTACCTCCATAAGGTATGCTCTACCTCCATAAGGTATGCTCTACCTCCATAAGGTATGCTCTACCTCCATAAGGTTTGCTCTACCTCCATAAGGTTTGCTCTACCTCCATAAGGTTTGCTCTACCTCCATAAGGTATGCTCTAAGGTATGTACTATGTTCTGATGTAATTTGATGCTGCATAAAATATAAATTAAGTGATGTATAACATGTGGTTAGATATCAATCGGGAACTGATTTATAAACTGTTCATACAAATAGAATGGACTTTGCATCCTCTCTTTTACCAGCCAGTTTCAGAGCAGCTCTGGAGCTCACAAGGAGGTGTGTGACTGTTCCACAGAAAGCTTGTTTTCTTTGGTTCCCCCTCCCACCTATGATGACGTTTCGAAACATCGAAAGTGCCATATGAGGAAGGCTTCCTTCCTACTTTTAACCTCCTGTTATCATCTGGATTTCCTGAAAGGACAATTGAATAAACCAAGTCATGCAGGCCATGAATTTATTTACTTGATTTCCTGTGTTCATTTGAGCTAGAACACACTTTTAGAGGTGCAAGTTCAGCTCCCAATCTGGGGCACAACCATTTGTTTGCCTTCGAATGAGTGTCTTTAAACCATTTGATTGTGAGATGAGTATTGTCCCTGTTTGCTATCAGGATGGCACACTAAATTCACAACCAATGACGCTTGAATTGTAACTGGAATCCTCAAATGCTTTGCAGTTGTCACAATTTTGGGGATGCTTGCCTTTAAAGTTCTTTTTTTTATATGTAGGGTGAAGTCCTTTCCTCATTAAACAAGTTAACTGACTCTACCTGCTCACTCTTTGCGTCTCTAAAATCGGACGCTCCTGAAGAGGAGAAGAAAGCAGCAGCTTCCAGTCCTCCAACAGTCTTAGAGAGTGAACCATTTTACAGGTAGGAGACCGACCGGCTGGATTCCTATTGGAGGAACCACATCAATGTGTCTTGTTGGGTGTTTGGCTGTTATTGAAGGATTCTAACTGTTGCAATCAGCTTATCTTCAGTCCTAGCGAAGGGATAATCTCTGAAGTCTTGAAGTCTCAAATCCTCCACTTTTATGTATGTGTGTGTATATATTATATGTGAAAATGTAGCTCTTTGAATCATTTCTTTCTCAAGAGAGTAAGTGAAAGAGGGACAGACTGTGGCTTAATATGGCAACACATTTACATTATGTGTATGCAGATAACACCCAACTCTATTTCACTGCCTCCACCCTCGACTCCAGGACCTCTGCTGTCCTGACAGAATGTCTGTCAGACATTTAGTCCTGAATGAGAGCGAACTTTCTACAGTTGAACATCAACAAGACTGAGGCCCTCCTGATTGGCTCCCATCAGTGCTTCCACATCTGACAGCATCACCGCCCATGGTTGCACACTCCACCTCACTGAGCCAGTCCATAATCTTGGTGTCTTGTTTGACCCTCAACTGTCCTTCCTACCCCACATCTGTGTCATGACTCGCTTTGCTTTCCCCCATGCCTTCACCCACCTCTGCAACATCGCCCAGCTCCTCCACTGTCTCACACCGGAAAGCTGCCAAAATCCTCATTTATGCATTCATCACATGTAGGCTCGACGAGACCAACTCCCTGCTTGTCGGCCTACCCAACTCTTCCCTCCACGAGCTGCAGATCTTCCAGAACTCTGCAGCTCGTGTCCTCTCCCTACCAGGTTCCGTGACCCCATCTTCCCTACCCTCGCCCAGCTCCACTGGCTCCCCGTACCCCAGAGAATAAAGTTCAAAATCCTCGCCTTTAAGTCCCTCCATGGCCTCGCTCCTCTCTACCTCTGTGACTTTCTGACCCCATATTAACCTGCCTGCTCCCTCCGCTCAACCAGTTCTGGTCTGCTCTTCGTGCCCCGCATGACCTGCCCTACCATTGGTGTTCGGGTGATCAGCCATTCTGCTCCCACCCTATGCAACTCCATCCCACATTCCCTTCGCCTCCCTCCCTCATCTCCTTCAGAGCACATCTCAAGACCCTCCTCTTCGACTGAGCCTTCCCCACCCTCCACCCATCCCGATCCCTTGCACGGGTCCAAAACTCTGCCTGTCCAGCGCCTTGGGATGTCCTCCTGACATGAAAGGCTCTATGCAAATGTAATTTTGCATTGCATTAAGTTGACTCTCCAGGAATCCGCTGTGAGCATCAACATGGAACTGGAAAGTGCTATTCAACACGTTCTTGCAGTTTTATGGTACATTAAAACTTCAAAAAGCATGGAGATTCCTATGTATTTGAATAGAGGGATGCATCCTAGTTAAATAAACTTGGAGAGTATTTGGCACAGGCTGGTCAAGCCTTTTGAGCCGAAAGTGCGCGTTGGGGTTAGTGCTGAAGATTAACCAGGCAAAACTGCATAGCTGCCATTAAACTCTGGTTTGGATACTCGTAAGGATTGTGATGGGATTGACACAAGACAGCCCCCCCAAAAAGGAGAGAGCACCATCGCCATAAGGACTAAGGTGGTTTAAATATATGATATTTTATTTATATATATTTTATTTATTTTTATATATATATATATGTCTTGTATCTACCACAGCAGTCCTGCCTCCCCCTCCAAATCAATCATATGGCTGCATTTCAGTATATTTTGTTCATACAAAAAGCAATATTACTACACTTTGTTTCCAGTATTGATGTGTACAGAACTCAGCGACGAAACAGTAAGCAATGGGCAAGTGTAAAACCGGGAGAAAGAAACCAATGCAATCGGGATCCAGTGGGAAGAGCTCACCAGGCAGCTCAGCAAGTAGCCACTAAAGACAAAGTAAAGGTATGTGACAAAGCCTGTTCCCCTGCGGGGGATTTAAACGAAAGGTCTTCCTACACAGACATTGTCTGCAATTCAATTAGTTTCAGTGTAATATTATCTCCCTGGTTATCCCCTCAAGATGTTTAATGATGAGATTAACAAACTGCACAACATCATGCATCAAGCCAGCCAAGCACTGAACTGCTGCATCGATCAGGAACATGGGAAAGGCTCACAGGAGGAGGCCGAGGCTGAGCGTCATCTTCTTATTGCTTGTGAGTAATATTCAGGTCATTGGAAAACTACAGAATGCTGAGCAGAGAGGTACCAAGTGCTGAGGTGGCCAGGCAGATCCTTCCTGTGTTAATCCAATCTGTTAATGAAGCATGGAAGGAAGACCTGGACAAAGACCATGGCAAATCTATTACTACAATGCTGAATATACATACAAGTGCATAGTTCATCTATTTTGTAATGCTATAGCTGATCATTTGATCCAGTGTTAGTTTATTGGCCCTGATGTGATCAATGAGATGTATAAATCTTGGCTGCCCACTTCACATCATTACTATCAGATGTGGTTACTATCTTGCTTCCCATTCTCTGGAGGTCCCTTCACCTCACTTCTTCCCTCACCACTTTCATGGTCCATCTCAAGACCTTCTTCTTCAACTGCACCTTTGGTCAGCTTTTTTTCCCTCCCACAGCTTGGGTGTAAACCCTCGACTGTCCAGCTCCTTGGTGCATCCTCTGATGTGAAAGGCGTTATAGAAATGCAATTTGTTGTGTGATGCCTAGCATTAATGTTGCATAAACTTTTTTAGTTTTGCCAACCTGAGCCAACAATTTGAAATTCACATCCAAACGTTTTGATTGGGAAATAGAAGGGTATGCGAGGGAGTAAGGAGTGGGTGGACACTCATGTGGAGTGTAAACACCAGCACAAATTAGTTGGGCTGAGTGGCCATGCATTTGTGCTGTATGTTCCATGTACCCAAGTTTGCTTCAGTGACATTTCATTGTTTTCTGATTGGAAGCTGAGAAGCGTGCCTCTTTACTGGCTGAGCTGAACCGGCTGAAAGGAGAAAGCAGTTCATTGTGTGGAGATGGGACCAGCCAACCAAGAGAGGGACTTGTACCGTGTCAGGGCACTGTGTCCATCTCTGACCTCCGTCTTCCACTGAAAGCAGATTTTGTGTGTTCAGCACTATCAAAGCAAGGTATGGCTAAACCTTTTGATTCTGATGGTGGGTGGAGTAATCCAGAGCTGGCAGAGGGGAGGGGGGGACCAGAGGAGTAGGATTGTAGAGAGACCGTGGGGCCAGATTGTAGAGGCATTTGAAGATATGGATGGCCTTCGGATGATGACGGATTTTGATTAGGGAAAGTGTGAAGTCCACAATATTAGTTGTACGAAAGCTCTTTGGCATAAAACGGAAGCCATGAAACCAGTTTCAATTACCATTAACTGAACGTAAATCCTATTCCAATGAACAAGTTTCTATAGCAGTTACATGGTAGTTCAGTTTGTGTCTTATCTGCTGCTAATTTCAGTGCTGATTTTGAAACCTTTGTTCTTTCAGAAAAACCCAGTCACTATTTCCTGCTGATGATCCGATATGGACCACACAATATTGTGGCTTCTCCACTAGCAACAGCGGAGAATGCCCAGAATGGTGACACGATTCCTTTCCCTACGAGTATCACACTGTGAGTTTTCATCTCAGTGTGGAGCGTTCTCTCAACACGAGTTTCAGAGTACTGCACTGAAGCTTTTTCAGAATGGTGTCTGAATTTTTGCAGCCAAATTCCAATACAAAATGTAAAAAAAATTGTCTAGTGTGGTTGTATCTGGAGTGAGCTTTTCATAATTTTTGTTTTGGATGCAAAATACTCTTGTTCGCAGTTTAACATAAAGTGATTCAGGTGAGGCAGAGATTTCAGAGATCCCACAGTACTTGTCCAACTAGGACTACTCTACCCTTTAGAGCTTTGCCTTGTACTTACTGGAGCTGTGGAAATCCCTGGCCCCAGTGACTGGTCTGCCCCTCCAAGTCTTGCTGGTGAACCAGGCTTGCTGGCAATGTTATCAATACTGTACAGTACTTGAATACTGTAGACCTGACTTGCTCAGGATCCAGACTACTGAGACCGATCGCTAGGAATGATTAACTCAATTCCAACATTCTGTTCCCAAACATGGTGCCTTGGAGCTAGTTCAGCTACAAAGTGACTAAAGGCTCACCCAGCATGGTGAGATGGAGTAGAGCAGAGCTGGGGAAGTAGAGGGAGAGGCCATAGGGCTAGGATCTTAGAGGTGGGTGGGCAAAGGCTTTGGAAGCATTTAAAGGTAAGGATCTTAAAATGGGTCTGTGAATTAAATGCTGTATTTTTTAAAAAAATCAGCTTCAAACTAATGGCAGTGTAATGCAAAAATGATCTGAAACTAAATGTCCAGGTGAGTGTTTAGGAACTATCCTTGCTCTGAAATTTTGCACTGCTCCCACCTGCTTGCTGCTTCACATACTGGTGAAGGAGGAGGGAGAAAGAGACAGATGTAAACTGAAAGATATTCACAGATTGTCTTGCCACTTGTGGCTGCAGTAATTGGTTTTCATTGGCTGCTTTAAGTCTGGGGATCCAGCAGTAACCTCAGAGCTTCGGATCAAAACTTGACACCAACACTGAGGAGGGAACTTATTTGTTCTTTTTACCCACAAGTTTATTCTGCAGTTTAACGGTGCATATCCATTTCATGGACTTCTGTAAACTGGACAAATTTCCAGAATGCTACGTTTCATTGCTATAGTTGTTAAAAGAAACAGGGAGGTGAGGAGAAATGTTTGAACAGCGAGTTGTTCAGATCTGGAATGTATTGCCTGAAACGGTGGTGGAAGCCAATTCGTTAACACTTTTAAGGGAGAAGACAATTATTTGGGGAAGACAAGTTTGCAGGGCTAAGGGGAGAGAGCAAGGGAGTGGGATTAATTTGGATAGCTCTTTTCAAAGAGCCAGCACAGTCCTGTTGGGCTAAATGGTGTCCTTCTGTGCTGTATAATTCTATGATTCAAACATCCCTCAAGTTGTCCAGGGATGTGAAATTTTGATAACCAAAATAATACTAAACTTTCCTGTTCCAGGTATGATATCCACCATGCGTTTGAAATCGATGTGGAAGTGTACAGCCTGGTGAGAAAATGGGCCTTTGGCTCTTTCTTCCTTTGTTTCTCATATTGCTTCAGTTCTAAGTATTTGGGGTTATTGAATCTACCTCTCACCCATAGACTCACACTGCGAATATAACCATTCCTGAAAAGAGAAGAGGGTCACGATCGAGCTCAAGATCAAGATCTAAGGTAGAGTTACACTACGATGTAGGGATTTGTGAGTTGGAATCTGTAAACCTGTTTACAAATTGTCAGCTGTGAAGTTGTTGGTACAGGAAATGATTCTCTTAAGCTAGGGTCATCCTATGACTTTATAATGTGTAAATATCTAGCCACTTTCAACGCCAGTTGAAAGCTGAACCTTATTAAATTCTGGTGTGCTTTTCTCCAGCTAGGGTCTTATCGGTTGGAATATTTTTTGTACACAAAATATGGAATTTATTCTACTCCCATTTCACGTGGGCAATTTCCCGTGTCAGCAGCTTGCTGGATGACTGGATACTGTGCTTGCTGCTCTCCACGTTTGAGCCATCTCTGTGCTGCTTTGCTATACTCTGCCACCGACCAGGCAGATATCATCAGCACACTAACCTCTAAGAGAAAATCCTAGGGGACTCGATCATGGATTTTGCCCTCCACTCCTGCATTCTCCTTATCTACTGTCACATTGAGAAGTGAAATTCAAAGTACACAGTCCTGCACTCAGTGGATCTGTAGAATGTTTGATTTTTACTGAAGCTAATATACAGCATGAAAGGGTTGTCAAGAAACTCCTGGTTAGTATTATGTGTCGATCAGACTTCTGGAATCGATCTCCAAAAGAATAAAAACAAGGATTATTATTTGGTAAAGCGTTTTCTCCTCATATGCGTTTGCTTGAATTGTCCAATATATGGAGGCTACAAAATGTCCCTACAGGTCTGAAATATTTAAACACCATTACATTAAGTGCAGTGTTTCACTTCTATACCCAACTCCTACGTCTCGTATTTATGTATCTTTTTAATAGTTTCACTGTAAAAACTCTTGCATTTAATGTGCGTCCTGTTTTGTTTGATAGCTTAAGTTAAACTAATAAGTGAATGTGATGTATTTGATGTTACACAGGCATTGACCCCGAAGAAGCTGTTAACCTCAATTACTGTAAGTACAAGTTCACTGATGTTTCATGTTACTGCAGTCAGGATTATCACACAGCATTTGGCTCAAATATTCTTGGATTAAGATGGTGAGAGTACACAAACCTTCACAATATATAATAATAAAATTGGAGTTAATCCAGATAAAAGCAAATACAGGAAAAGTTTACCTTTCTTCACACAAAGGGTTGGGTGAATGTTAATTGCACTGCCCCAAAAAACATAGTTGCAGAGTTGGTTGAGAGGTTCAAGAGAAAGATGGCTAAAATTAAATTAGTCACCCACTCCATGGCTGCTTGTGAAACATTGTGTATTTTGCTCACAAAATACACAGAATATCCTGTGAAGCGCGTTCCGTTGTCTCACTGACGTGATAAAGCGCTATATTAAATACAAGTATTATTATTTTCTTGAGAAGAGGAATAAAGATATGGAGACACAAAGAAATGAGATTCAACAGATCACTATTGAACCTGCTCTGCCATTTTATTAGATCACAAGTTCAATGCTCTGAATGGCCTGCTCGTATTCCTATGTCCTGAAATAATGTGCTATAAATTCTTGGGTATATCTTAGCTAAGATGATTGTAAATCATTGCCCAGCATTGTAGTCGCATCTTCAATATCGTTTTGTTCAAAACAATATTGTTTGAAGTAAATTGTTGATTTTTTTTTTCCTTTCAGAGATCCAGTGTACATTCACCAGGTAAATTCTTCCATAACTTGCTAGTTTGCTATATTTAAGGCTGTGTGTCCTAACAAGATAGGAAACTGCTTTCGAAAGATCAGAAGCTAAGGTGATGTTATAAAATATGACTTATTTTGAGGTATAGGTTTTAGAGCAGTTTGTGTGTGAACCAGGGTGGTTAATACTAGAAATGTGTGAGGATCATCGTATCCTGCTAAGTTTGTGTTAACCGAATTGGGGGGGGGGGGTGGGGGTACAGGCCTTCAAATTTCCTTTGCTGAGGCTAATTGTAGCATCTGCCCGGCCCACACCAGGTATCTTTATGCTCTGTGTTTTACTATAGGATGTGCTTACTTCAGCATGGTTACCCAGGGAGGTTCATTTAAATGCTTTTTAAATGCTTTATACATTCACCAATGTAAATATTGTCTGTTCCCTACATAATTATTCTTCCCCCCCCCCCACCACCGCTGTCTTGTGTTCTAGCTATAAGTCCTGCTGTTCGGAATTCTGTACGGGCTAGTAACTTCGTTTTGGTTGGTTCGCACAAAATCACTCTAGCCTCTTTGGGCAAGAAGAAATTTCCCCTGGATAAAGTAAGACATTTTATTCTGCATCAGGTTAGAAAGTGTCAGAACAAGCATCCTATCCATTCAACTTGAGGCTGTGACAGTGAGGGCTGAGTTTCATGCAGTTGTACTTTGAATCAGTGCTGGGAGTAATGAGTCCCAACAACAACAAAATTACATTTGTGTAGTGCCTTTCATGTAGCAAAGACGTCCCAAGGTGCGGTCCCATGGCATAACAAAGCTGAGGATTCCTCCTCCAATCTGCGCCAGTGGTGAATATTTGAATTCTAGTGATGGATTTCAGGGTTGGAGGGGGGGGAAGCATCTCCTTTGCTGAGGCCAATTGCAGCACCTTCTCGAATGTGAAAGACTCTATACAAATGTCACTTTGTATTGTATTTTCCCTGTGGAGGTGCCCATTTGAAGGATGTTGCTCTTTTTTATGAGAGCACAAGCTGCATAGGAAATCCTGTCACTTAGATGTGTGAGCAGAGAGCTACATGCTGGCCGTAGTTCTATATCTGCATCTGCTACATCTTGTTAGCACGGCTCCTGATCACAATACAGGAAGACCATTCTAAATATAGAAGTTTATATTGTAAATGTTACAATTAATTGTACCTGTTTTTTTTACTGTAGATGAAGTTTGATGGAAAAGTCAGGCAACTACTTGGAGATGAGTTTCAGGACAAGGTTGCTATAGTAACTAATACCAATGTGTACAACTAACTGAAGTTTCCCTGCCTAGTTTGGGACTAGAAATATTTTGTTGTTGGTGTGCCTCCATGGAATATGATCAGATGCCCTTTGTTTCCTCAATCTTTGTTTCCTAATCGTCATTTCATGGAATGGAATGGCTGCCTCGTGAGTGCTGTGTTGCACAAAGACCTATTCAACTGTCTAATACCATGGCTATCACTTGCAATCCATACTGCTGTGGTATATGATCCATTGATTATATAGCCGACTATACATCGTCCAATGAACTATTCTCTAGTCCAAACTACTGCTTTTATTGTGTAGTGTAGAAGCTTGTGTACACTAGCTTGGTTTTCTTGCATGGCTTTTAGCTTCAGTTCACAGGAAGCTTGCAGCTTAATGCTTGTGCTGTAGAAGTAGTAATCTAGCAGAGTAATAGATCTCTGGCATCTCTGGAGTATATATTCAATCAATAACGTGCCAGTTATTGCTGAACAGAAGATCCCTCTGAATGTTAAACGCTTTTCATTCAGGTTTTTGTCTTTAGTAGTAGTATTTGTACACAGTACAAATTCAATATCAGTCTTATGTTATGTCAGCCTCTTTCCTTCACTCAGTCTTCAGGTAGTAAATATAACTGGGATGAATTGCTTTACTGAGTGTTTCAAATATCGGTAAATACTGCTTCAAGCCGCTCTGGACTGAAGAAAAGGGATAAATGATCTCCACATTCACTGATGCAGTGTTTTTTGACTGACCTTACTTCAGGTTCCATTCTTATCTCCTCTGGAAGGCAATATCTACTTGAAACTTGAGTGTCAGATGCATTCCACTGTGGAGCACTCTGGATTTCTGGTAATTGACCTGAATTATTTAATGATTGCTTCACCAATAAAATACACATTCTCTATCACTGATTAAAAACGCTCCCATCCTGGATGGGAAGTTCTGTATCTAGTGATCCCAATTTAATGCTGTAAGATAGAGTAAAATGATTCTATGTTGTTTGTGTTAGTTATTTGGAGTCCTGTAGCTCAGTGGTTAGAGCACTCGCTTTGCAAGTGAGAGACCTGAGTTCAATTCCAGGCAGAGGGCAAAACCTTGGGCAAGTTTCCTTACTCCACACAGAGCCTAATAATAATCCCTCCAAAACCAAAAACAATAATAATTGGTCATTTTCAATCTACGACTGTTTGTGGGACATTGCTGTGCGCAATTGGCTGCCGCGTTCGCCCACAAATATACAGTCAATTCACTTTACAGTATATTCTGTGAAGCGCTTTGGGACGTCTTCCCAACGTGAAAAGCGCTGTATCAAATGCAAGGATTATTATTTATAGCCCTGTTACTTCAATCCTATCTTTTGCTCAATCGCTTGTTTTTCTGCAGACTATGTTTGAAGATGTCAGCGGATTTGGTGCCTGGCATCGTCGCTGGTTTGTCCTGTCTGGGAACAAGCTTTCCTATTGGATGTACCCAGATGAAGAGAAATTCAAGGTATGATTGGCTTCTCTTAATCTTATTTATGAGGTGGGAGCTGTCCTTTGATCCAGTACAATGCTTAGTCACAGGCAACAAGATGCTAGACTGCAGAGGTCTTGATGGTAAGGCTTGTTCTAAACCATTGGCCAAAAGATTGTTTTTTTGGTGGGAGCCTGAATAGTATGTGTACAAGTTATTGCAATAGTATTTGGTAACTAATCCAATATTATTATTATTGTAATGTCTTGTATTGTATGTAGATGTTTGCTGTAGTTCTGTTATCCTAATCCTCTATTTTGCTCAGATGCCTGTTGGTTTAATTAACCTGACCAACTGTACCAATGACCAGATTGAACCTGCCAGCCGTGAGTTCTGTTCTCGATCAAAAACGTTGGAACTGATTACAGCGCGGCCACAGTGTAAAGATGACCACGAAACCCTTATTGTTCAGTGCAGAAACAACCTCTGCTTTACCAAGTGAGTATTGCAGCTTGCTGGGTGGGAGGGGAATGTATCAAATGTAGATCAAGTTGAATTTCACTTCCTCAAATGATGAGGTATCCAAGATGCAAACTTCATCCACTGATACCTTTTATTTTAAAAAAAGCAAACCATAATAAATATACTTAATAAACAAATATACGGTCAATTAACTTTACAGTCTATTCTGTGAAGCACTTTGAGATGTTAAGACGTGAAAAGCGTTATATCAAATGCAAGGATTATTATAACATAACCCACTCTTACTAACTGGCTGTTCACACAGCAATAATCCACTTTAACTTGCTCTCTGATCTGAGCAACTTGTCCGCTCAGTTAAAAGTTGAAATATTAGGACTAGTATAATATATGTGGAACTGCTTGGAACTGAACTGGGTCTCAGCTGGTCAGGACTCCAGCAGTACCTAACGCACACTATGGGGTACCCAATCCTTGCATCTTGCCAACCTGCACCTAATACTTCCTGGAATTGGGTAAGATGGATGTGTCCCTCCAGAGAGTGTACATTCCATTCCAATATATCTCTCCATGTATTGTGGGATGCTTGGAACTCGGTTTTGGTTTGGATTTTCTTAAGCAAGGTGATGAGTTTCCACATGTATCAGAAACCTGGCTGACCAAAAACCTTTAAAAACCCAATGTCTTTTTTTGGGGTGGGGGAAAGTAATTCTATGTCTTAAAATCTGTTTAGTAATTTTGCTTTTATTTAAAATGAGCCTTTTGCAAAGACTTGGACTTCTTTATGATTCTTATTCAAAGCACGTCTGTCAATTACTGCAAAAGTACCTGCATTTTCCAGCAGGGGACACCGAATCTCAATTTAAGTGGGAATCTTAGCTACTTTTCCCCAACTTGATTGTTGAAGCCAGTTGATCATCTATAACGACATAATCTAGGCAGCAAACAACAGACTTTAATCTCTGTGTTCGTACCACACAATGTGGTGTTTTTACACAAGTCACAATGGCAGTTAGTGTAATGAATATAAGGGGAATCATAAACAGTGCAGTGGTTTAATCTTGCACTTGTTTCATTTTTGCGCAGGAACTGGCTGTCTGCTGATACAAAAGAAGAAAGAAACTTGTGGATGGAGAAGTTCAATCAGAGTCTAATAGACCTGAAGACGTGGCAGCCAACTTCATGTGATACAGCTAATCTGTACCTGGGGACTGAGGCTGTGAAAGAGAGCAAATGCTAGCTAAAAGAGCAAGTGTTTCATTGTGCCTTAAAAGAGACTTCCTGCACAAACTTTAAATTACTTTATTATATTTTAATGGGATATGAATGTGCTGCTAAGCAAACTTACTGACTTGGGATTTGAAGACTAATGAATAATATAGTGGGTTCAAACTCCTGCCCTCCCTTTTTTTTTGCCCTTTCACGAATATCTGTGGTTCTTGCTGAGGGCAGTGCACAAATGTGCAGGTGATTATTGACACATTGGGGAGGCTATATGCTGAATCTGCTGTTATCCTCTCCTGATGTCTGTAAGTGACAATGAGGTTCATTTGATAATGATTATGAGCACAACTCGGCTTTGGCCTCCTGAGGCCAATTGTAGGTTCCATATCACCAAACTGGCTGTAATAAGCAGATGTGGAACCTATCCCAGTACCTTTTTGGGGGGAGGGGGGGAAATCCAACTTGTGTACTGCATACTCTAAATGCGAAGCTCACATATAACTATGGGGAAGACTTTTTCCAAGGGCCAATTCAAAAATTGATTCAGTAGTGATGCTTGACGAGGCTGTTTTGCTATCTGCTGCTGTGTTTTTATCCACCTTGAGACTGACCATAATAAAGTGGTCTCTAAGGCTAGGTTTTTCTGTACCTGTCAGTTTTGATGCAAGCAAACATTTAATTTAATGCACTACAATGGAATATTGTTACTCGCCAAAATCTAATTGTCCCTGTCTTTCAATTTTTATGTGAATCTTTTTACTGTCCTCTGTATCCTATTACCCATGTTAAACACAAATGTAACTTTTAAACAAATAAATATTCAGATTAAATTCTGTGTTCCTTCCATTTCAAAATTACAGTAGCCTTAAGTTTTATATACATTAAACATTGCAGCACATCTATTTCCCCCACATACTCGATGTTAAATGTACAATTTATGAAATAAAATAATAATCCTTGCATTTGATATTGCGTTTTTCACATCTTCTCGACGTCTCAAACCGCTTCACAGAACATACTGTAAAGTGAATTGACTGTATTTGTGGGTGAACGCGGCAGCCAATTGCGCACATCAGTGTCCCACAAACAGTCATGGATTAATAATGACCAATTTATTATTGCTTTGCTTTGGAGGGATTATTATTAGGCGTGTGGCGTAAAGAAACTTGCCCAAGGTTTCGCCCTGCCGGGAATTAAACCAAGATGTTTTGCTTGCAAGGCAAGTGCTCTAACCACTGAGCTACTGGACTCCACAAAAAAAAATGGTGTGTATATTGGGTTGTGCATGACTGCTAAAGTAGAAACTTGTGCCTTTTTCCTTATATGGTTAAAATGTTAATATTTCTTTCCCACCCCCCAATACACACTGAGCAGTAGAATGAGATTCCTCTCCAGATTGATTACCCATCCTGTGATTGCTCCATAATTGGCACAAATTTTACATTTCTGTAAATGTAGATTTTACCTTATTTTCTGTGATGTTTATTGGTTCAATGCAAAAAAAACCCCTAATCTTTAAATGGCTTTACATGGCCATTCTGTGTACCGTTAAACTGGATACTCCTAGCAAAAAGTTTTTTAAAAAAAAAACTCCAAAGCATTCGCAAGAAAAGTCTTTGTACCTTTGATAGGTACATGTGACATTTTTAAACTAATTTTCTTAGCTATCTGTTCTATTTGACATGAAATTTCTAATTAAATTTCACTACCCAATTGACATTTGGTTATTTGATGAGCAGCCATAAAAGTGGTTTTATTGTACTGTAGTTATAATTCCATTATTAATCTGAAAGTTGCACTGGATGTGTAGCTTAAACTATAAACACCTTGAAAATGTATACACAGGGTAGGAGAGCCTTCTACAGACTTTCAAACTGCCATCAGTAACTGTTAATGTCTTGTGACAAAAGCTAGATAACAAATAAACACTTAGACAATTCAGATTAAACATTTTTATTGTCAAGAATGGATTTTAAAGTTATTGTAATTGCATATGGATGAATCAAAAATTGTGTGAAGGGCGATGTTAAATCCCTTAACATTGAAACACCACCATGTTATATAGGTGGCATTCATTAACAATATATAATTGGTGGATTAAGCCACTTGAATATCAACTTGACATGTCTCGAAGATCTGACATTTGAATGACCAGTAATGTGTCTGTCAACACAGCAAATCACATTTGTAAAGTGCCTTTCATGCCAGGACGTCCCAAGGCGTGGGCAAGTCGGATCCACACATGAGCTGATGGGGGGGGGGGGGGAGTAGGTGGGTGACCGAAGCTGTGGTCGAAGAGAAGGGTCTTGAGATGGTTCTTGAAGGGAGTGAGGCAGAGGGACTGGGATGGCGTGCTAGAGGGCGAGGGCAGAAAGGCTGAAGGCCAATGGTGGGGCGGGCAAGGTTGGGGACGTGAAGCAAGTCTTGTAGATATTAATTTATATATTGTGGTTAAAAACTGAATTTCAGAATCCATAACCTGCACTGCGTTTAAATTCACATTCCGAGCCACAGCTTGTTCATGCTCCTGGGCTCCGTGCACTTCAATCCCCAGCTATCTGTAAATCATATTGAGCAGGCATCCTCTGTCACATCCAGTCCGTATCCTTCTGTTAGTCCTTTGCTGCTGTCAATTACCATGACCTGATCAAGGATAAAATATTCCAATGAAAAATGGTACTACCTAATACGTATAAACATCGCTCCCTCATCTAATTAACAAGTGTCAAAACATCCTGACAATAAACTTCCAGCTAAAATTCACTTCAGGCCTTGTGTCAAGTAAGGAAACTTACCTGGCCGGGAATCAAACCAAGGTCCTCTTGCTTGCATAGCGCGTGCTCTAATACACTACTGAACTGCACTAATCTCTAAAGTATAGATTGGTCTGTAGCGCTTAAACCTAAAAAGTTTCTTAATATGTGCTGAGGTGCAGGACTGTGTCAAACATGTGCCACATTTTGACTACTTTAATTGCATTGTAAAACAGGCTATCGGCAAACAAAGATTTAAAACATTTGCTGCTCAAACAAGTCTAAATTGATCCAGCAAATTATGAATGTGCCAAGCTCTCAGAGTAATGTCTCTACACTGACTGTTCAGGTAATACATGCGAAATATTGCTCATCACTGAACTTGGGCTTTTAGGGGATGGGAAAGAGGACAAAGTTCTAAGAATTGACAAAACATTCAGTTTGTGCAGATAAAACATTTCTAGTTACCAAATAAGTCAGTAGTTGTAAATATTAAACATTCAGTGCAAGTTAACATGCGGCAATCATTTCCTAACATTTGTGTGACATCTGGAAAATGACGCATCTTCACCTGACAGCAATAATAATTATAATAATCCTTGCATTAGATACAGCGCCTTATCACATCTTCGAGACATCTCAAAATGCTTCACAGAAGATACTGTAGTGAACTGACTATATTTTGTGCGCAAAACACAGAAGCCAATTGTGCACAGCAATGTCTCACAAACAGTCGTGGATTGAATGATAATTTTTTTTTAAAAAAGGGACCATTACCCCCGGAAAAGTGATCTGCCAATCGACAAACAACCAGGTTTTACTTACCGCTAGGTAAACAGGCATGTGGTCTAACGAAACTTGCCAAATATTTTGCCCTAACCGGGAATCAAACCTAAGTCTTCTTGAAGGCAAGTGTTAATCAACTACAGGACTCCATTCTTTAAGTTAATGTCCTTCCTGCCTTAAGTTTCAGTGACTGCAATTCTAACCTTGCATGTTTTCACCTACTGGTGTTGATTTTTTCTCAGTCAGTCGAGTTCCCATTATCTCAACATTATTCACTGCACATATATAAAACAAATGCAAACTTTCATGAACATTGTGTAAATTTCATGAAACAATACTGAAGTGATAAGTCAAATATTCTCACTTCTCAGTGATAAACTGACATTCTCATGTTATCAAGTGTGAATCAGGCGCTGGATTCTTCAAGACAACTTCACAGAAATTGTCCGAATAAACAATGGCCTCTGAGTAATCCTGTACATCAGCCCAGGTTTAACCCATTATACCCTATTGGACTCAGTTACATTATGAGCATGTAAAGCTATCAGCAAGGGGAAGGGGAAGGGGAGGGGAATATCCTCACTGAAACCCATTTTGCTTCCTGTATCATTGATTGAATTTGTAAAATGAACATGAGAAATTTGTTTCAGTGCTTTTCACTGGCTGTTCAGATAATAGTGGCAAAACATTACTTGTTACTGACCTTTCACTGTGCACTTCAATCCATAGCTGTCTGTAAATTATTAACCTTGGGTGCATCATATTGAGCAGGCATCCTCTGTCGCATCCAGTCTGTATCCTTCCGTTAGTTCTTTGCTGCTGTCAATTACCATGACCTGATCTAAGACAAAAATATTCCAATGACATTTTTTGAACGGCAAAACATCCAAGCAGAAAGTAATACGTAAACATCTCCCCCTCATCTGTCTTAACAAGTCACAAAACATCCTGCCAATAATCTCACCGCTAAAATTTACTTTGGGGCTTGTAGGACATTGCTGTTTGCAAGCTGCCTACACATTCAGAACACTCAAATGTGAATATTTATCATGAACTGATGCATTCTGTAATATCACTGTGATTCAGTAGAAATAATGTTCTGCTCAAACTATTTGGTCCCCAAAATCAGTCACTATTCTCTAAAGTACAGATTTGTCTGCAGTGCTTATGCCTAAAAGGTTTCTTAGATATACACGAGGGTGCAGGATGTCAAATTATGCTAACTTTTGACTACTTTAGTTGCATTGCAAAACAGGTTAACAACAAATGATTTTAAACACTTGCTGCTCAAACAAGTCTAAATTGATCCAGCGAATTATGAATGTGCCAAGCTCTCAGAATAATGTTTCGACATTGACTGTTCAGGTAATACATGCGAAATAATGCTCATCACTGAACTTGGGCTTTTAGGGGATAGGAAAAAGGACAGAAAGCTCCAAGAATTGACAAAACATTGAGTATGTGTAGATAAACCTGTACAGAATTACATCTCAAGTTACCAATTCTTCAAAATAATGCATCCTCGCCTGACAGCAATAATAATTCTTGTGTTTTATACAGCACCTGATCACGTCTTCGAGATGTCTCAAACTGCTTCACAGAATATACTATAAAGTGAATTGACTGTATCTTTGGTGGGCGAAACGCAGAAGCCAATTGCGCACAGCGTGTCTCACAAACAGACATGGATTGAGTGATCAATTTTTTAAGGGATTATTACCTCCGGAAAAACGATATATCAATCAACTGATAAACAGGTTCCTACTTAATGCTAAGGTAAACAGAGGGGTGTGGAGTAAGGAAACTTGCCTAATGTTTTGCCCTACCAGGGAATCGAACCCAGGTCCTCTCGCTTGCGAGGCGAGTGCTCTAACCAGTTGACTACAGGACTCGATTGGTTAGAGCAATCAATTGTAGAGTACATGACTACATTCCTTAAGTTAATGTCCTTCCTGCCTTAAGTTTCAGTGACTGCAATTACTAACCTTGCATGCTTTCACCCGGTAGTATTGATTTCTTCTCAGTTAGTCAAGTCCCCATTATCTCATCAGTTTTCACTGCACAGACAGATATGAAACAAATACAAACTTTAATGAATATTTTGTGTACATTTCATGAAACAATACTGGAGTGATGTCAAATATTCTCACAGAGGGTGGGGGCAGAGATGCTGAAGGAGTGACCGCCGATAGTGGGTTGGGCCGGGCGGGGGATGTGGAGCAGGCCAAAGCCTGTTGAGCAGAGGGAGAGAACAGGTTGATGAGGGGTTAGCAGGTCGGAGAGGTAGGGAGGGGCAAGGCCGTGGAGGGACTTGAAGGCAAGGACAAGAGTTTTGAACTCGATCCTCTGAGGGATGGGGAGCCATTGGAGCTGGGTGCGATGGGGTCAAGGAGCCTGGTACTGGAGAGGACAAGAGCTACAAAATTCTGGATGATCTGCAGTTTGTGAAGGAAAGAGTAATCCTGTATCTCAGCCTGGGTAGAACGCCGCGAGGGCAGAGCAGTAGGATTTGATATGGTCCAGCCAGATCTCCCAATGGACCGTTAAGTTCGATTTAAGCCAGCTGTGTTCAGCGGCACTGACCTGTGTTTCAAGGGAGTGGAGGTGGCTGGTATACCATGGTGACTTTCGTGAGTACGAACCGGCCAAGCTCTCAGAGTAATAACTCGACATTGACTATTCAGGTAATACATGCGAAATATTGCTCATCACTGAACTTGGGCTTTTAGGGGATGGGAAAGAGGACAGATAGTTCCAAGAATTGGTAAAACATTAAGTGTGTGCAGATAAACCTCTGCAGAATTACATCTCAAGTTACCAAATAAGGTAGCAGTTGTAAAGATCAAACAGGCAGTGCAAGTTAACACGCTGCAAACACTTAAATCTCAACATTGTTTGAAATATTTCTGTGCCTTCTTCAAAATGATGAATCCTCACCTGATAGCTATGTCCTTCCTGCCTTAAGTTTCAGTAACTGCATTACTAACCTTGCACGTTTCCGCCTAGTGGTATCGATTTCGTATCAGTCAGCCGAGTCCCCATTAACTCATCAGTATTCACTGTGCAGATAGATATAAAACAAATGTAAACTTTAATGAACATTTTGTCTATATTTGATGAAACAATACTGATGTGATAGTCAAAGATTCTCACTTCTCAGTGATAATACACTGACATATTCATGATATCACTGGTGAAACAGATCTTGGGTTCTTCTAGACAACTTCCCACCCCAATAAACAATGGCCTCTTTTTAAAGTACAGAGTAATCTTGTACCTCGGCCTGGGTATAACCCAATATACCCTATTGGGCTCAGTTACATTATGAACATGGAATATCCTCATTACAAACCGTTTTGCTGCCCAGTTTATCAGTTTGCAAATTGATTTAGTGAAAGGTGCATGAACATACCAAGCTCTCAGAGTAATCTGTTTAAGTGCTTTTCACTGACTGTTCAGATAATACATACGAAACCATACTCATCACTGAACTGGGAGAGGAGAGTTCCAGTTAATAAGAGATGCAAAATTGGTCTTGTATGTAGAATCAGCTAAGGAAATATTTGACTGCTTACTAAATGTTACCTTTAGCATTTACCTTTTAACAAATTAAAATGATCCTGTATTGTAAAGTGTTGCTAAAGTTTTCTTTTTGGTCAGCCTGGTGTCTGAAACATGCAGAAAGCCATCACCGCGCATTAACAGTATTGAATACCGGACAGAATGCCACGTGTGCCACCTACAAACCTGAAGGACATAGCTATCTGTGTCTGGTACAGAATGCAAAATCTCTCCCTGGAGGATGAAACCCGTTGACCCAATTCCGGGGTGTTAGGAAGAGGCTGACAAGAACCCAGGCTTGGGGCACCCCAGAGTGTGCGTTGGTGTAACCGTTGAGAGCTTAACCTGCTAAAGCTCTGTAGCTGGCCATTGAAAGCACCGTCTGCCGAGCTTCCCCGCCACCAGCCCAGCCCACCCCACCAGCCCGCCTCGCCCAGCCCCACCCCGCCCAGTCAGCCCAGCCCACCCCACCAGCCCGCCTCGCCCAGCCCCAGCCCGCCCAGTCTGCCCAGCCCACCCCACCAGCCCGCCTCGCCCAGCCCCAGCCCGCCCAGTCGCCCAGCCCACCCCACCAGCGCGCTCAGCCCCGCCCCGCCCAGCTCCGCCCACCCCACCAGCGCGCCCCGCCCCGCCCCAGCCAACTTCAATCCAGCGAGAGATAAAGACGTGGACTTTCCTACGTATTTCGTTTTGATCGCTCTTCGGGGGATAATTAATCAATCAATCAATCCCCGAATAATTTTAAAAATGATAAGAATTTGGGTCACCGTTTGTGTGTGTGTGTGTGTGTGTGGGGGGGGGTGTGGGGGGGAGAGGGGGAGACGCCGCTGTGCGCAATCGGCCGCCACGTTTCGCCCACAAAATACAGTCACTACACCTTGCAGGATATCCTGTGAAGCGCTTTGAGACGTCTCGAAGGCGTGTTCGGGGCTGTGTCAGATGCCCCGATTACTATTATTACTGTTAGTATTATTACTTATATCGATGTAGACCTGTCCTCACGTCAGAGGCCACGTGGCTGTGGCGGCGCGGCCTGTGACCCGGGACTGCCTGACCCGCTCTGCTCCTCCACACTCACTGCCTCAGCCACACCTCCCCGCGGCGGCGCGGATTACCTCAGTCCCCGGGCCGGGCCGGGCCGGGCCCCGGTCTCCCGAACTCCTGAGGCGCCGACACGAGGCCAACCTCCTCGCCGCCCGCCATCCGTCCATCCGTCCATCCAGCCACCAGTGCGCATGTCAGCCGCCGCCGCCGCCGCGGTGCGCTCTGGGAGCTGTAGTCCGCTGCTTCTCCGGGAGCGTCACCGGGGGCGCGGGCGGGGCTGGCGGACTGCAACTCCCGACAGGCTGTGCGCCCACCCCGGTCGGTCGAGCGCTGATTGGCGGAGCTGCCAGGTACAGGTGCGCTGGCTGGCACACTGCGCATGCGCTGGGCTGACTGACTGGCAGGTGAGCGGAGGAGCAGCTCCCGTCACTGCACTGCCCATCACTGCCATCACTGCACTGCCCATCACTGCCATCACTGCACTGCCCATCACTGCCATCACTGCACTGCCCATCACTGCCATCACTGCACTGCCCATCACTGCCATCACTGCACTGCCCATCACTGCCATCACTGCACTGCCCATCACTGCACTGCCCATCACTGCCATCACTGCACTGCCCATCACTGCACTGCCCATCACTGCCATCACTGCACTGCCCATCACTGCACTGCCCATCACTGCCATCACTGCACTGCCCATCACTGCCATCACTGCACTGCCCATCACTGCCATCACTGCACTGCCCATCACTGCCATCACTGCACTGCCCATCACTGCCATCACTGCCCATCACTGCACTGCCCATCACTGCCATTACTGCCATCACTGCACTGCCCATCACTGCCATCACTGCCCATCACTGCCATCACTGCACTGCCCATCACTGCACTGCACTGCGCTCAGGGCTCACAGCCCAGAGAAAACAGTTTGCAATTAGGGGGAAGGCAGACAGACAGACAGACAGACAGACAGACAGAAGCAAACACAACTTTTGGTTAAAGGACAGAAAACAAACGAAGACAAGTTTGCGCAGTCACCTGTCTCAGGTGTGCGGCTCTCCCGGGATGAGGAGGAGCCAAACTGCGGAAGAACGAGCCGGAGGCTGCTGCACTCCCACGGTTTTAGCTACTTTTTTTAAAAAAAAATTGTTCCCGTTGGAATAATTGAACAATAACTGTTCTGTGTTGTTTTTTTTGCCTTTTATTTCGGTCATTTGTTTTGTGGAGGGTTCACAGCCTCAGTGCTGCCGCTGCTGCTGCTGCCGCCTGTGCACATGGACGTGGACACGATAAGCTGTCATTCACATTAGTTCAGCAATTTTTTTTTCTGCATTTGAAAATAACCTGGGGGTTTGGGAGGTAAGTCAGAGCGTCTGTCTCATTTATTCTGATATCTTGTGTTTCAGTGAGTCTTATCAGAGCGAACTGGATGTGTCCTGCACAAGTGCAGGTTGTCTGCACAATCTGAATGTTTAGTTAATTCTTGCATCAAGTCATTTAGTTAATTCTTACCTGACATGCACACGACATCTGGTGTAAATATACCTGTCTATATGCAAAGATTATTAGATGGGGAAAACTCACTGAGCGATGTTTGGAGTGTGCCTTAGTTGATGCTTCTCTCTGCACCTTCACAATACCATTAACATTTATAATGTATCTGAAGTACAGCTTTACATTTGTAAAGACTATGTTTGAGAAGTTCTGCCTTTAGGAAAAGAGGGGAATCTTCCTGATGGTAAAACATAACTGGTGTTTTGTTGTATCCACCCTCCTACCTCTCTGGCCTCCCTCATCCCAACCCTACCCCCCCCCCCCCCCACCCCACCATGATGCTTGGGTCTTGATCCCTGACTGTTCAGCGCCTTGGGACTTCCTACCGGCGTGAAAGGCGCTTTATAAATGTAATTTTTTTGTTGTTATCATTGTGCATTGCGATAAAACAAAACAAATCTTTTTTCGTCAAAATACAAAACGTGGGACCACATAATTTCTTTGAAATGTTTATGTCAGCCTGGCTCAGTTTGTTGCACTCTTTGCCTCTGAGTAAGAAAGTTGTAGGTTCAAGATCCATGTCTGGACTTTGAACTGGTAGTTTAGGTTGACACTGCAGTGCAGTGCTGGGAGAGAGGGCTACAATTGTCAGAGATGCTGTCCTTCTAATGAAATGTTACACTGAAGTCCTGTCTGCTGCTCAAGTGAACGTTAAGGATATAAATAATTCTTGCATTTGATATAGCACCTTTTACATTGGGAGGATTCTCAAAGTGCTTCTCAGAATTTACTGCAAAGTGTGTATTGTGCAGGTGAAAGAGACAGCTCCTGACCTGAAAGGCTTTATACAAATGCAATTTTATTACCAAGTACAATTTTTATGAGGAACCAAACTGCATTGTTATTATTACTTTCTTTCCCAGTAGATTAGTAATTAATGAGCCTTACAAAGGTCTGGGTTTTGTACTCCATAAAATACAGCAGTTCCTGTAAGCGGTCTCAGTTATTTCCTTTCATAACCTGCTTCCAGATCCTGTACAAGCAGAAGCAGGGCTTTAGCATCACATGTGCCATTAATGAAGCTTTCAACATTTGCGGATGTTCAAACTAATACCATCAAATAAATTTATTTCAGACTGAATATAATGCATAATTTTACAATGAAAATATTATACACGGTGAACAATGGTGCACAATCTAAATAGTAAACGAGGGGGAAAAGAAACACTCAAAGTGTGGATTTACACTTTTATGTTGGAATAGGGCTTTAATGCTGAAAAATCCTGGTGTCCTGGCCAACCTTTTTTTTCTTTTGTATGTTTGAAGTCCATGGCAGGATTCTCTAACCACCATTAAGAACTGTATTGGGAGCTGGGAAACTCCAACCCATTCCATATGGCAACAGTTCCTTGAATTACAAATGTTGACTCAATTATGTTTAATATTTAAAAACATTTATCTCCATGTTTGTTAAGGTGAATGACCACAGCCCAGGCTGCGTTCCTTTCAGCTAGAAGCAGGGTCGCAGTGTTGACGCCATGATCAATTCAAGTCTTTACGCAGTGCGGAAGAGGAGGAGACCCATGAAGCAAATGTAAGTCTTTGTAAAAGGAGTCCAGTGACTGGGCACGATTTTGGACCTGCTCAACTTCAATGTCACAACAGCCGAACACACTGCACAGTACTCTCTGTGTGTTCCCTTTAGTAAAGTCGCAATGTGATCAGTCAGGGTCTCAGCTCCTGATTTCTGTCCCGGGAAACTGCCAGCTCTCTTTAGAGACTAGAAGGAGGAAATAATGAAGACCTAGGACTTTGAATGCTAATGACATTATAGACCCTATCAATGGTCCAAATGTGCAATGCTGTGGTATGTGTAATAATTAATATTGACAATTACAGCCATTCACAGAGCCTTTATTCGGGAGTTTAGTAAGTTTTCCTCTTCTGGTGTCGAGTTCTGTCTATCTGACTTGTTGGTCTGCAATGCCATGGCCACTATTTGGTTACTCTGCCCTCAATGTACCCAGGTTAGGAGTTGAGCTGAGCAGGGTTCAAATCTCACACTAAACACCAATGAGTATCCAAACCAGACCCATCATTTGATCCATCTGCACACCACCTATTGTTAACCCAAATCCTCACAATATCTCCTGTGACAAATTCCTCATCAATACTCTTTGATCCTCAAGGATAGTCATGCAAACACTTTACTGCTTTGTGCAATTATCTACTGTTGAATTATCTCTCCTGCCCGAGCAAAACCAAAATTATTTTGTCAATGATTTGATAATCTCAATCTCCACTTTTCCCATATGCTCTGATGCTGTTCTGAGAGATGTATCCAGTTCAAGCTACCATATTTAGGTGTTTATATAGATCTACGTTATTATTTGCATGCTGATTGGAGCACTTTGATTTTAATTGATTTAGTTGTAAAATTCTGTATTGTTTGTAGAGCTGAAATTACATTGTCCAATTTTCTCCTGCTTGGCAGAAAGCCCTCATCTCCTGAAGGAGCCAAGTCTAATGCATCCAAACGACACCGGGAGCGGTTGAACGCTGAGTTGGAACGACTGGCAGGTACGCTGCCATTTCCGGAAGAGGTGATCTCCAGACTGGACAAGCTGTCCATCCTCCGGCTGTGCGTCAACTATATGCGAGTCAAGAGCTTCTTTGAAGGTATGGTCTTTGTTGTTCTCCCCTGGGCTCGGCATTTGGCTCCTCCACTGTTAAGCCCTCTGAGGTGTTACCCTGCATGAAAAGCGCTATGTTAATACACGTTGTTGTTGATCCTCAGCTTTTTATTTTTGCGCTGCATTGTTGGAGGTGCTGTCCCGTGGCTAAGGCAAAACTTCTCAAAGCGCTTTATAAAATGTAATTAATTATAAATGAAGTGGATTTATTTGTGACAGCGCCATCCCATTGTGAATTGACTTATGGTGATTATACTTTTGCACCTTTGCATGTGTCTTCCACCTGACAAACAACACGACTCAGACTGCCTCTAGTTCCAGGGAAAGAGTGTTTTGTTCTCTTAGATAAAATCCCAATTATTGTTGTTAAACTCGCAAGGAAGATTGAGGAAGTTCCACACATGCCTTCTGTAATCTACAATCAAAGCGGACTGGTCAGATAAGTGTGTATCTTGGCGAGTGGTCCCTCATTGCATGACTGCCTTGTTTATCACAAAGTATTGCTCATTGATGTTTTAAATCTTTTCCCCCTAATAAGTGGATATTTTGTTTCACCATAAAACACACAGACAATCCACTTTACAATATATTCTGTGAAACGCTTTGAGACTTTGCAACGACTTGATAAGGCATTATATCAAATACAAGTATTATTACTATTGACGGGACTCTCTTGCCTCTGCCTGACTGAAGGCTGTGGAGGGAGAAGATGTCTTGTGTAATCCCAGGTAGGAGTGACCGTCCTTTGTGTAACAGCTGTGATTACAGTGCAGGTCACAGACAGTGTGCGAGCAGGTGTGCAAGACACTCTTGTGTGGAAATGGCACAGCCGCCCTGCTTTCTTGTCTCCTTTCAGTAAATGCATTCAATCAAATAGTCACTAATCCTATAATAATAATTATAATTAGTATAATTATTGTTATCTCTGTCTGAGGATTTAATCTATGCCCTCCTCTGTGAAAATAAAATTTTATTGTTCCATTCTACCAGCCGAGGGCTGCAGTGTAGAACTTATCATTGACAGACCAGGATGGGGCTAGCCTCTATCCATGAATTGCTGAGTTATCATGTTTCAGCTGAAGACAGTGATGGTGGTTTGATGAATGATCAGTTGTCCTTCATGCTCACTCAGTAACTGCAGTGGAGGTTTGACAAAGTTCAGTGCAGGCCATCTACCGGTTGGTCTATATTACATCTGCTGCCTGTTTTGTCTTGCTTGATGTCCTTTCGCTATCCATTTTGTTTGGGATGTGGACATTTATTAGCCTGAGAAATTATCTTCCATTGTCCTGGGGAGGTGCTGGATGAGCTCTTTAAACCTCTGAAGTCCTTGTGGCATTATGCTCCCACAATCATGGTTCAGTAGGGATTCCACAATACCAAATAATGGTTTATTTAGCCACAAGTTCATTGTAAATCAGTTGTGAAGCAGAACTGGGTCTGACTATTGCACATTGAGCTTTGAAAATCAGAGTTCAGATCAGAGGTGACTCGCTCCCAATATTGCTAAACAGGTTTGGAAACCAAACATTCCCAGATGTGTATATTGGAATACATTGATGAAACAATCACTGTTCTTGGCTCTCTAATCATCTGTAAACAATAAAGCAGTTTTTAAATAGCGTCAGGGGGAAATTATCAGCATTTCATGATGCATTCCTGGTGATAGTTAATGAAAAATGTGAAAATGTGCTGAATTTCTTCCTGTCAGACAGTAACCACCAGCTTACACTCGCCCATCAACCTGTGGCCAGCAACTTGACATTTGCACTTACTACCATGTGCAGTCATCGAGACAGATCATTTGATTTAAAGTTGGAAGTGTTAACCAACTTCATTCAGTGGGTTTCCTGAACTGAGTAGTTGAAATACAGCTGTTCAACCAAGCAGTGCTGCTCTGCTCTGAACCCCAGGTTTGGACCTAAAAGTTGTGGCTGGCTCGGACTGTTTGAGGGGATGGTGGGGAGAGATGTAGGAAAATTCAGTTTCTATTTGTCCGACTTGAGGCTTAAATGCGGAGGGTAACAGGAAACCAAAAGCCTCATGTGCGTGTGAGAGACGTGTTTATTTATCTCTTGCGTGACTGCAGTTGATTCAGACTGCACCGAGCGCTTAACAAGGGAATGTGTTGATGCGTCATCACCTGGATGTGGTGGGAGGGTCTGACTCTTGCCCAGGGATAGGTGAGGCAGTTTGAGTGCTGGCAGTCGGCCAGGGTTTTGGTGCCATGTGAGGAGTACAGATATGAGCCGCACGCCACTTTCATTTCTCTGTTAGCAACTCTGAACCAGGCATGTTTTGTGGAAAGGAATCTGCTAATTGAGCAATCGGATGCTGTTGCAGGTTTTGCAAAGAATGATTTTTTTCCCCTGGCACACAAATATGAGTGAGCCGAATACAGGTCTCACGAAAGGTGGACTTCAAAAATTCCATGATCCTATTTGAAAAAGGAAGGGCGTTTCTACTGATGCTCTGACCAACAATTCCTCAGATAAAATTCATTGCTGTTCGTTGGACTTTACTGTGCGCAAAATAGCTGCTGTGTTTGCCAAGAAATTGAGTAGTTACACTTCACAATATGTGCTGACAAATTCCTTTTATGCGTTTTAATGCTTCGGGTGATTACAATAATTATTAAGCTAATGCTACACTCCTAGTCTCTATCAGAAGATGGATCCACCCCAAACTGAACGGCTTCAGTCGTTTAAACCAGGAATGAGTTTATCAACCGAGTGATTAAATAAATCAAAATTAGAAACAAAAAACATTTCGCACTAGTAAAATGTAAAGGGGTCTTCGATATTTAACTACAAACTGATTAAAAAGAAATGGAGGTATTGAAGAAATGCACGGATTATTACAAATGGTGGTGTATGTGGCAAGCTCATTTTTAGCATTCTTTCAGGAAAGCGATGTGCCTTTAGGAGTAGCTCGGTGTTGTGCACAATATTGGGGTAAAAACTAAGTGGTAAAATATTTGCTTCTCTCTTAAAAAATCCAACTTGATGTTTGTTTGATGTTTTTAAAAATTCGTGGGCGATTTGTTCAAAAACGGAATGCCCTGGTCCAATACCAGTGAGCCTACCGAGGCCCCACTTACCATCGCTCAACCTTCACACCACCGTAGGGCAGAGATTTTCATCGTAGGGAAAGTGGCCCTGCAGAAGCCACTTCCTCTCTGGGTTGGAGGAAGTTATTATGAGGAGATAAAACTTAAATGAGTGTTACTTTGGCTATTGCGAATACACAAACTTTAGAGATAACAGCCACATGGTTATTGTGCTACTTTCAAGCCAAGGATTCCACCTGCACAGTGTTTGTACTGCTTTATGGTGCTGCACTAACTGATATTTCCTCCTCTGTTCAATTGGCCTCATATTTCACTGTTTACTGGATGTTGCTGCTCAGATTAACTGCTATTTATCAGCCGGGCTCAGTCAAAAGTTGTGGTTTGAAGCATTGGACTTTGAACTCACGTAGTTGACATTTCAGCAGTGTTGGGGGTATACTGCATTGTTGGACATGCTGTGCTTCCGATGAGACATTAAACCGAGATCCCGTCAACCTGCTCGGGTGGATGTTAAAAATCGCAACGCACTACTCAAAAAGGGGAGGTTCTCTCAATGTCCTGGCCAGCAAGCCCCAGACAAAATTGGTCATTCACTTCATGGCTGATTGTGAGATATTTCTGTATCAATTTAGAAGTCACAATCAGCTACAAAATATACTGTCACTACAGTAAATCCTGTGAAGCGCTTTGAGTTGTCTTCCTGATGTGAAAGATGCTAAATCAGATAGATTACATTTGTGGGTTCAGGACAGGATGAGCTGAGTCAGTAAACAGCCACATCTGCTAACAGGAGAAGCCTGGGGTGGAACCGGTTAATAACTAACTGGAATAGACACAATACTTCACAACTGCAACCGGAGCCTGAATATCTACCTGGCACGGGAGTCGAAGGCAAAGTCCGGAGGGGCTGCTGTAACGTACAACAAAGGCAGATCGGTGCTCACATCTGTTGTCTCAGACATGCACTTCTTTATTGGAGGTTAGTTCCTGGGATGAGGGGACTGACCTATGAGGATAGGCTGAATAAACTGGGGCTATATTCTCTAGAGTACAGAAGAATTAGGGGAGATCTTATTGAAACATATAAGATTCTTAAAGGGCTGATAAAGTAGACACTGAGGGTCTGTTTCTCCGGTAGGAGAATCTATAACCGGGGATCACAGTCTGAAAATTAAGGGTCAGCCTTTTAGAACAGAGTTGAGGAAACATTTCTTCACTCAGAGGGTAGTGAACTTATGGAATTCACTCCCCCAGAAGGCTGTAGATGTCAGTCCTTGAACATCTTCAAGGCTGAGACTGATAGATTTTTAAAAAACAGAGGGATTAGGGGATATGGGAATAGGGCAGGTAATTAGAGTGCGGTCTGAAGATCAGCCATGACCTTATCGAATGGCGGGGCAGCTCGAGGGACCGAATGGCCTACTCCTGCTCCTAATTCTTATGTTCTTATGTTATACTAATGGGTTTGTATTAAATCCATCTCATCCGTCTATGTGAGAGGGGATTAGGAGGAGTGGAGTCTTGTGTGGAGTATAAACTGTTGGAGGCTAATTGGGCTGAACTAGTATGTATAAATTTTGTGTATATATATATAATATATAAATACGTATGTGTGCCTTTCTATGTGATTTTGCTAATTCTGACTCGTGCTTAACCATCCTTGATTTGATATAGCGTCTTATCATGTTGTCTATCTCTCAAAACCCTTTAGAGAGTATACTGTAAAGTGGCTTGACTGTGGATTTTATGGGGCAAATACTGCAGCCAGTTGCACACAGCAATGTCCCACAAACAGCCATGGAGTGAGTGATCAAATTTATTTGGAGAATTGTCGGTTAGGACACTGGGTCAAACTCCCTTCTCTTTTCAAGTAATGCCATGGGATCTTTGACATCCACCTCAACAGGCAGACGGGACCACGGTTTAAATGTCTCATCCGAAGCATTAACCCTCCAACATTGCAGTCCCAGCACTGCATTGGAGTGTCATCTTAAAGTGTGTCCCAATGTAGGGCATGAACCCACAGCCTTCTGACTCGGGTGACACATCGTGCAGGCACCCTCCACCTCCACTGTATCTGATCCAAGTGGCACCTATTCCTTTGGAGCCCTGTTAATGGATTTTGGCACGACATTCAACTGTGGAGGGGATCAAAACCGAGTCTGATCCTGTCCTCACTCAATCTGCAGCCTCCAGACGCAGAGAAAAGAGTGCTACAGACCGGTTGAAGGGATATGGAGAGAAGATTTGGCGGAAGGTTGTAGTAGGCGGACCATGGAATGGTCTGTGATGGAGTGGGTTTGATGGGTTGAAAGGCCCCTGTTCCTATATTGCTATTGTACAATAAGAAATATTATCATTTGAGCTGCGTGCATCGCATAACTGGCCTCTGAATTGCCCTGAGCTTGGTTTAGCTGCTGTCCTCATGCATTCTGAAAGAGCTTAGGAGACTTTGATAACTAGGTTCAAACAGCTCTCTTTGTCACGCTATCTACATCTGTTCTGACTCACCTGGCAGGCATTCGTGGTCTGATTGCACAATCATTCTGAGAAGCTCGCAGAATTATTGTGAAGCTCGCAGGCTTTATAGTTCAGAACTGCTGACATATTGTCTAAGAATTTGATTATATCTGAGGATTCTCGTGAGAATGGTTGGAAGGTATTTTCTGGTCAGCAATACGATATAATAATCCCAGTTCAAAACCGCCATAAGGTTTGCCTCTTATCGATCAGACCACGCTTTCAATCGTCTTTCCCCTCCCACCCTCTTCAGCTCCCACCTCCCTCTTTGAGTGCCCACCCAGCAGTGTAAAGCTCCTTGAGATGTCCTCCCAACGTGAAATGTGCTGTATAATGTATTTTATAATTAAAATCTGTGTGAGCGAGGTTAATGCTGGCTAAAATTTTAACTCCCTCTGCCATACCCCATGCCATAAACAGCCATGACGTGAGTGACATGACCAATTTTATCTCAGGATTTGTCAGCCAGGACACCAGGAGAAACTCCCTTCTCCTCAAGTAATGCCATGGGATCTTTATCATCCACCTGAACAGGATGTTTGAAGTTGAGCTGGCGCTGGCCAGGCTCCCTGGGTAGGATGAAGCTACTGTCTCTCTGTTAAGTATCTTTTTTTCCTGCTTCTCTTTGCAGTTTCTCTACCGAATCCGGCCAGAACGCCAGCGACCTCTGTTAACAATGGGCATCTGGACTCCACCACAAGCCTGGCACCGGCACCAGCCCCTGGCCAGTCTCCAGACGTACCTGAGGGAGACCTTCTGTTGCGGGTAAGCTTGGGTCTCTTCAGCCTTTGATTCAGCCATTGTAATGGTGTCATGCATTGAGTTATTTTGGAATGTTGAACCATTAAGTGTCCACTATCAGCACATGGCCATTGCTGTCTTGTGACCACTTTTCAGTGAGTTTACTTTGGCCTGGTCATGTTTGTCCACCCAGTAATAAAGGGGAGTGAACATCCACACATAGGGCTCTTCTAGTCTCTGTACCTTCATCTAGAAGGAGGTACTAAAGTGTGAGTAGGGTGCTGTTTTAGTAGAGATGTCCAATTCCAAGCTACAGACCGAGATTACCAAAACGGAAAGAAGTTGAGATGGTCTAACCAGAGACTAGTAATGCTCTACGGAAGGGTATCCTGCTGGTTCTTCTTGCACTTTAGGGGACTTGCCTAAAGTGAACACAGTTGGATGACCTTTTGGGAATTCTACACTTCATTGATTCACTCTTTTTCTGCAGGCCCTGAATGGCTTTGTGATGATCATAACTACAGATGGGCTGGTCTTCTACGCTTCATACACCATTAAAAACTACCTGGGCTTCCAACAGGTGAGTGCCGAATCTTTGTCTCCAATAAGGAAACTGTTGCTCTTGTGGGAGTCAATCCAAAGCATCTTGTCTATACCGCTCAGGGCTCTGAGATACTTCCCTTTGGGAAGGGCACTACATAGATGCAATTTGTCATTGTATATTGTTGTAGGTCAACTCCAACACTAGATACCTTGGACTGAGATGCATTCTCTGTGTAGCTGCGACATATAAATCATTCCTCCTGAGACATGTTTCTACTTTGCATGTTGCATTTCTTTCTGGTGAATGAAAATGGCATTTGTTTTGTTTCAGTCGGACGTGGTTAATCAGAGAGTGTTTGAGCTGATCCATGTGGAAGATCGTGAGGACTTTCGCCGTCAACTCCACTGGGCGTTTAATCCACCTCCAACTAAACCTGGACCAACAGGTAGGGAAGACACTGTCCATTTTATGGCACCCTCTTCACAGATATCTGGCAGTGTTTTCAATCCAAGGTGTAGTCATTCCCACCGAGTTCAAAGTCCTGATGTGGGATTAAACCTGATTAAACCCAAAACCCACAATCTTCTGACCCTGAGGCAATGGTACTACCAAGCTGTCACCTGTAGAGACAGGAAAGGCTGGTTTAGGGTTGGTAATAGATCTTCTGGTCAATAACTTGAAGAGCTATTGATATTACTTAAGATTTTAATTGAAATGAGCTATTAAAGTGAGATCACACCTGCGTGTTCAGGTGAATGTTGAAGATCCAATAGCGCTAATCGAAAAGGGAAAGTAGTTTCTTCCGGTGCCTGACCAACAATCTCCCTGATAAAATTGGTCATTCTCTTCATGGCTGTTTGTGGGACAATGCTGTGTGTAAATTGGCTGCGTACAAACAATCGATGCACTTTACAGAAAAATCTGTGAGGTGCTTTGAGGTGTTTCGATGACTTGATATGGAAATATATTAAATGTAAACATTATTAAAACTGGAACTGTGATTTGAAAAGTGTGGTCTATCCTGTCCTCTGAACTCTCAGCCTAAACTGCACTGCAGAACCTCAGGGTGCAGACAAAGGGAGGCTTTTGTTGTAGGCAATTTGAACATTAGCTGATTCATTGAAACTTAAATTGCCTGGATTTGCTTTGTTCCCTTTAATACATGCTTTGACAAAGCAGGGATTGTACCTAATCTCTCATTGAGAACACAGATGAGATGAAAGCTAATGTGCCTGGACACGAGTTAGTCTCTCCCAAATGTACCAGTGACTTTTTAGTGACCCTGCTACTATTTACCTTTTGATCTTCAGGCAGTTTTTGCCAATGCACGAAACATGCTTGACTTGTTTTTCTCAACTTGCTCCCAAATGGATTGTGTGAGCAAATGGAGACGGAGCCACTGTTGACCTCTGTGTTTTCAGAGCAACAAGCAATCTGTGAGCTTGGAGCTTGTAGATTGTATTTTTGTCTGCATTTGAAGGACTTGGGCTTTAAATTTATACCAGGCATCATACCAGGAGCAGCCAGCTTTAAATTCTGACTGCTCCTGGTATGACATTGCATTCTTTAAGTAATGGCATTTCACATCTTACAGCTATGTCTGGGGCTAATCTCCATAAAGTTCAGAATGAAACCAGTCCTGCAGCAGGTCTGAAGTCTCAGCTCCCATGAACAGGAACCAATGCTCTGATTCATACCATAGCATGGGTTATTCAGCAAACAAAACGCAAAATACTGCAGATGCTGGAAATCTGAAACAAAAACCGAAGTCCCTGGGAACACTCAGCAGGTCAGGCAGCAACTATGGAGAATGGAAAGGAAAGTGTACCCTTCAAAGAGTCGTGGACCCGAAACATTGACTCACTTTCCTTTCTCCATAGATGCTGCCTGACCTGCTGAGTGTTCCTAACGACTTCTGGGTTATTCAGTGTTGACATCTGTCAAGCTGCTTCCCGCTTCCCATTGGGACTTTGGCTTGCAGAGTTAATGAGATGAATGCCCTCCCATGAGAAAGTGACTCACTAGCAGGCTCACAAATTCTCTAATGTGTATGGATTTGGTGAAGAGTTGGCTGTGCGAGGAAGCATATCACAGGAAAACTAATGGGCAGACACTCAATTGCAAAGTCAGGTCATTGGCATTAAAACCATTTCTTGTTGTTTTCTGTTGTCTTTTAAAATAATCCTCACGTTTGACACAATATCTCGAAACATCTTCAAGGGCTTCACAGTGACTTGCTGTCAAGCGCAGTGACTGGGTATTTGTAGAGAAATGAAACAGCCAATTTGTGCACAGCAGTGACCCACAAATGGCGATGAATGGAATGATCAATTTATCATAATAAATAAATAATCCTTGTTTTTGATGAATCTCCATGCTCATCAGGATTATGTTTCAAAGTGCTTCACAGGATATACTGTAAAGTGTAGTGACTATGTATTTTGTAGGCAAAATACACAGTGATGTCCTACAAACATGGAGGGGATTTCTTACCGAGGTCAGGTGTAGTTTCAGCAAGAATTGTGCTCATTGAATGTCCATGTGTACAATTACCATTTTAGACGATTGTACAGCAGCCCTCAATATTGTTGCTCTGCTAATATTTTAACGTCTTCATGCATTGCTTGTAGGTGCAGGTAATTCAAATCAACCGCCAACTTTGTACGAACCCAATCAACTTCCACCGGATAACTCCGAGTTTCTGGACCGCAGTTTCGTCTGTCGCTTCCGCTGTCTGCTCAACAATACCTCAGGATTTCTGGTACTGTATCTGCTGGTTTATTTTATCAACGTTTCCACTGGTTTCATGTTAAAAGGTGCATGTTTTTCAATCCCAAAGCGGAAGATACAAAAGCAAGGAGGCAAAGTTGTATTTTCACAAGACCTAGGCTCGTCCCAATTGGAACATAGAAACGTATAATTTGTCAGATGAAAAAATACCAAGGTCCATCTAGTTCACCTTCTACATCCTGGTAGTCACATGCATCAATAATAATGGAGATGTTGACTGATCATGGCAATCAATCTATCGATTAGGCAACAACAGACTCAGGCATGAGGTGAGGAAAGCCAACCAGTGGTGGAAATGTTTTGGAAACCAATGTTCCAAAGTTACCTGTTTCTCCCAAGCAAACTACATGTTTCAAGTTACTCCTATGCTGTATCTGACAATATTTTCTGAAAAATCATTTAATTTGCATTTGAATAAATGACAATGTCTGCTTCCACCATCTCCCTAGGGAGCCTGTTCCCTAGATTTACCACTCTCACTGAAATAATGTTTCTGAAAGTTAGTTTTAAACTTAACCCCCATTGAAGCACAGGCCTTGTCCTCTGGTTTCACTGTTCTGGATAAGCTGAAACAGCTTGTCATGGTCATTATCCAGGCCCTTCAGAATTTAAAAAATAAGTATCATGTCGCCACTCAACTTCTTTTCGAGTGTGAACGTACCCAGTTTACTTAATTGCTCCTCATAATCCAGTCCACTGTATCTTCTCAATCGTGCAACATCCCTCTTGTACTGGATTATAATGTTCGGATAAAGAGAAAATATGTTCAACCTTTCTCTTGTGGTAGCCTGGCTCAGTTGGTATCACTTTTGCCTCTGGGTTAAAAAGATTATGAGTTCCATGTCACTTTGAGCTCCGAGTCTTGTCTAATGTCTAGTGTAGTACTGGGAGAGCGCTTACCCTGTTGGAAGGTGTCATTCTTTGAATGAGCCATTAAACTGAGTTTCTGTCTGCCCGTAAAACAATGTAAAGAGAGAAGGGAATTTTTCCAATGTTCCTGCCAAGACTACTCGTTAGTTCACCTCAAGGATGTCTGCAGGACTTTCTGGTGTAAATTGTTGCTGTGTTTGCAAACAAAACCATCAACAACAAAATTACATTTGTGTAGCGCCTTTCACATCGGAGGACGTCCCAACCTGCTCACTCTCTCCACTCACCGGGCTCCGGCCTGCTTCGCGTCCCCCACCTCACCGACCATACCAGTGGCAGATGGGCCTTCAGCCACTATGCCCCCACCCTCTGGAACTCAATCCCGCAGACCCTCCACCTCGCTGCCTCCCTTACCTCCTTCAAGACCTTTCTCTTCGACCGTGTTTTTGATCACCCTCCTTTCCCCCCTGCCCTCCACCCTCCCCAATCCCAACCCCCAGCTTGGGTCTGAAACACAGACTGTCGAGTGCCTTGGGAAAACCAGTAACTGCACTTGGGCAGGGATGGGTTGGATAATTACTTGCTATAAATGTGCAAGCTGCTTCTTGTGACGTGCAACCTGTAACTGTTGTTTTTAATACCATCAGGCATTGCATTTCCATGGAAAGCTGAAATTCCTGCACGGACAGAACAAGAGTTCGGAGCTGGGTGTCTCCCTGCCGTCCCCTCTGGCCCTGTTCACCATCGCTGTCCCTGTTCAGCTGCCGTCCATTGTCGAGGTCCAAGAGAGAACCCTCATCTTCAGGACCAAACACAAACTTGATTTCACACCTCTGTCGTGCGACACAAAGTGAGTTTGGCTCCACTCTTGCTTTCACTTTCAGCTCCGGTTTCTATCCTCCCCGTCATAAATCTTCTAGCAGCTTTTGTTTGAAGGTGCAATGTGGCATCGTGGAAATCAGCACGGAAAGAGGCTGGTTATGTGTGCGTGTGCGTGCTGTGCTGGCTTTCTGCTGGAGCAAGCGTAGAACGTGAGCGTGGATATTCTTCATTTTGTTTTAAAATGTAAGATCGCCCTAGAAATGCACCAAACACTTGTTGTCAATTTTGAATCCGGTTTTCTTTAAAAGCCGTGTATGGAAAACCAAGCTTTCAAATTAAGACTGAGTTTGAGACAATTCTGCATGATCTTAAATTTTAGGATGAAATGGCCTTGCAGGGTAAGACAAGGAGAATTTCAGTGCAATCTAATAATGGGCTTTGATTGCTCACTGTACCTACAGAAAGTCTTTGATAAAAGACCTACTACATACTTTGTAGAACAAACATGATGAAGATTTGAAAGTACTCACTGGCCGTCTGTTCTCCACGACCTGCTCAGGTTTCCATGATAATAAGAATCCTTGCATATGATATAGCACCTTATATGTTCTGGACATCTCAAAGCGCTTCACAGAATATTCTGTAAAGTGGATTGGCTGTGTATTTGTGGGTGAAACACAGTGGTTGGTTGCGCACGGCAATGGCCCATAAACAGCTGTGGAGTGACTTTATTCTATCCAAATTTATTAAGCCTTGGAGCTTTGATTCACCAATGATGCAATATTCTTTCTGGCAAATATAATGTCATCCAAACCCCAATTGGTCCTCGTCCGAATTACCTGTTCTATATTTCCTTCTCCTGAAGACTTGAAGCCAATGATTGTGTTGTGTTTTTTGAAAACTAAAGTACTTCCTAATTCTTCATTCAATAGTTCAGATCAACTCATGGTTTGTGCTATTGTTTGACCTATATTCACTGTTGTTCTAGCATTGTGCGGCATTGTACTGTTCTGATGTTATTTCCAGAAACAGACTGCTAAGTACACCACCAGTTGTAGTGATTGCAAGGCTCCAGCGCCTTTACAGAGTGAATTGATTGTATCCCTGTGAGCTTGGTACATTGTAATCACTGACTCTCACTCAAGCTGCTCTCAGTTTGAATCTAACTTTCTTGCTTTGAATTCTATGTTGTGTAATTTGAAACCATTAGTCGATTAGTCTCTTTGAAGTCTTCAAGCCAGTTTTTGCATCCACACACAGTAAGGAAAGCCAATGTTTTCTTATCTACAACTGTACTGCAGCAACAACAGCAATATTACATTTGTATAGTGCCTTTCACATCGGGAGGGCGTCCCAAGGCGCTGAAAGCCGGAGAGTATTCGAAATGTGAAATTTACCTTGTGACAACTCAAAAAATATAAATTTGGATTTTTTTGTGCTCATACATTTAGACTCTTGTTTCCAAAGTGATGTATGTGTGCCTCCTCCTTCCTGCACTGCTGTGACCACACCAAGTATATATCTGAATGAAAACCTTTGATAATAGGACCAATAAAATAGTCTTTGATATAGAATCTGACATTGAAATGGCTCAATGTGCTTTACAGTAATTACTGTAAAGTATAGTGACTGTAGTTATAGGTGAATGTGGCAGTCAATCAGCACACAGCAATGCCCCACAAACAGCCATGAAGTGAATGACCAATTTTCTGGAGGATTGTTGGTTAGGATACTGGGAGAAACTCTTTTCTCTTTTAATAGTGTCATGGGATCTTTAACACCCACCTGGACAGGCAGGTGGTTAATGTCTCATCTGAAGCACAGCACCTCTGACACTCCCCCAGCACTGCACTGGAGCGTCAGTCAAGACAGTGAACCTCAGTTCTTTCTGTGCACAGGTGTAGGCAATGGTTCTGGTGCTCTACTTAAGTGACTTTCATGCAGTATGCGGGACATTTCATGCTCTTGCGCATTTTTGGAAGGTGACTGACAGTGAATTGTGGTGTGTTGTGTTAACTATGGAGCTGTGAACATTCCCTAACAGTCTTTAACACTGAGGAAAGGCTGACATTAGTGAAGTTAGACAAATGTGGGAGTTCCTACTCCTTTGGCATTGGCCCAACAACACACGTTAATGCTGGAGCTCTTCTCAGATATACAGTACAGCCGATTCTCCCCACATTATGTGGCTGAAGGCAAAATTGCCCATCAACCGTATTGTATCTGGAAGATCATCTGGCTGCTGATCTTCTAGATAGGGAGGGCTGACAATGACCAGGTCTCTGCTCCTGATAGGTATCCGTAGCCCCCTTTCCAAATGGAATGAACTTGGGTCCTGGATGTCTGGAAGATTGGACCTCGTTTTGATGTCCCTCAAACTCCTCAATGGTCAAACAACCTCCTGACTCTCTGTTTTAGGCTCGCACAAGAATGATCACTTTAGAGAGATACAAAGTGCCCACTTTCATCATTAATCATTAAACCTCTAGAATTATACTTTGTAGCCCACAGCGAACAGTCTCATTCGTGTGTAGTCAATGACTGATAACTGATGAACAGAATCATTTATTTTAAATAAATTATTTAATACCCCCTTCTTCTCCTCCCCCCTATGAAATATACCACAATAGTTCTTTGAGATAATGTACATCTGCCCACAAAGATAAAGAGGAATTTATTAGTGACTCTTACGTATAGCTTGCCCACTGTTGGACAAAAGTGGCTTAGGTGACAAAGGTGCTTTCGTCCATTTGATCCCATCTTTCTGGAATCTTAGGTCTTTCACCTTCCTGTTACAAATTCAATCTGCTTCTTAAACAACCGTTCAGTATCCTTACTGGTAACCCTATTCCACCTGTTGATTATACTCAGTGTGAAGAAGCACTTCTTGTAATTCAGGTCCTAGTGTCTGGCTTAAAATTGCCCTTTACAACTTTAAACCTGTGCCCTTCTTATCCTGTCTTGTCACAATATGAAGCGAACAGGACTTACCTCCCATTTCCCCCCCATCGTTCATGTGCACATAGATACACAGGTATACTGCACAGGCCATGCACGTGCAAATGTATGCACACATATTACATGACGTGTAATACTGGGGAATTTTCAGGCGGTCACACTGCAGTCTGTAATTTCCCTCTTCCTGGATCGTGATAAACATTTTCCAAGTTTTTAAATCGACTACTTCTCTAGCTGGATAACTGATGGGTTTAGGGTTGTAAAGGATGTGTGGATGGATACCAGGAAGTATTCTATTAAGCCAACTCTTAATTTGTCAGAAAAAAGACGCTGTGACTGTTTTTTTACCAAAGTTGGGACTTTTGCTTTGTTTCCCACACCTCAACCTCTCTGGGGATTTTCTTTGGGATTTTCAGTCCTGCTGCTTCCTGGAAGACAACTACAGTAGTTGTTGTGTGATTCTGAACCTGTGACAATGGGTATCAGTCATTGCTCCGTGTGAATCTGAGAGATTAATAATTGGACCAAATCCTGTTCTTGATTTACATTTCCTCGTGCCATGTTGCCATCTAACAGCATGGAAATCACTACACTGATCAGATAATAATACAGTATGTAAACTAGCTCTGCTTTGGCACAGTGTATCGCCACGGTGCCAAAGAAACATTGCCCCTTTAAACGTCTCAGCCCTCTTTTAGTTGTCTTTGGACTGAAAACCCTTTCGCAGCTTCACTTCTCGCTGCTTTTCACTCTTCATTCATTTCCCAGTTCTGTTACAGGAGGACTGTAGACCCCCCCACCCCACCTCTTCTCGAGCAGGATAAACCTGATTCACACAGTCTGGGGGCTACAAATCTGCATCCCTCACCAGTTAGCGAGCAGAGTCTGGCTCTCTTAGAGTTGAATCTTTCTACCGAAACATAATATTCAATCAAATTACCTTTTTATCCACTTTTCACATGTCTTGGACATTTAACTCCTTCCCCTCCCCCCAACACCCTCGGAAACCTTGCCCAAAGTACCATTGCTCATAGGTGCACTTGGTCAGCAGGGTATCTTGCAGCCTGCAGTTCCCTGGATACACTCTTGAGGGTGCTTTAGTTCGAGCCAGCTGGGCGTGGAGAAGGAAAACATTCTCAGAATGAGAAGATGATTAATGGAAGACCTTTACAGAACTCATTACTGACTGCTCTCAACAGTTCCTGGCAAAAAGAGTTAGACCTTTCTGTGTATTTACTGTGTGTGTGTGTGTGCATCTTAATGGATGCTTTTACACACTGATGTGTGTAATTGGCTGCCTCGTTTCTCCCACAAAATATACATTCACTTCCCTTTACAGTGTATTTAGTCTGTGAAGCGTTTTGAAATGTTTTAATGATGTGATAAGGCACTATATCAAATGCAAGGATTTTTGTTATTTTACCCCATGGCAACTGAGCAAGAACGCACAGGTTCAGGCATATGAAGGTCAGTTTTAGGACAGAAAATTCTGGTTTACTTTTTCAATCCCACTTAAAATTTCTACACCTCCTATCAGGGCCCTGAGCTTGATCCTGTCCTCATATCTCAACATCCCACTAAACATACGGTCTTTACAGTATTTCACAGTGTATTCTGTGAAGTGCCTTGAAATGTCTCAAAGACATATTAAGGCGCTATATCAAATGCAAGTATTATTATTATCCAGCAGGGGTCTAAGACTAGAAATCATCGTCTGAAACTGTCGCTGAGTTCTGCACTTCCCACCCCAGTAGCATTGAGACCCACTCACCCTCGCTTCCCAGTGCACAGCACTGAGACCAACAGCAGTGAACTCAGCTCGGGCAGACATTGAACTCAAGCGACCCGATAGGCAGTTTGACTGAATTTACAACATAATCACGATAGAAGCTCTTCCTAATTTTCTTAAATCCAGTGAAAATAACTTGCCCCCAAAACCAAAATATAGCCTAGCCTTATCCTTAAAAAAAACTAGAAGAAGCATTTTCACAGTGCCTTATCACACCCATCGCAACATTGCAAAAGTACTTACTGTTAAATGAGCAGTGACAAGCAGTTTTTTAGGTTAAAAAAGGCAGCCATGTGTTGTATAATTGATTAACATAGTTACAGGGTCCAAAACTACTCAGAAACCTGATTCTACAAGTTCAATTTCAACGTAGCAACGGCTGATTGATTTACTGTCACCGTGTCCTTTTCTCCCCAGTGCTGAACAGTCTGAATTCTCTCTTGCTGGTACAGGAGGCAAATGACCAGTGTTGGTGCTGCCAGTGTGGCTTATTAGAGTGACGCTAGCCTGCTGTCATTTAATACCACACCCCCCCGCCCCCACCCCAGACCCACATGCCACTTTACTCTGTCCGTGCAATTTGCTGTCGTGCGAATGATTTTGCAGTTGCGTGCAGGATGAGACTGTCAATGAGCTGTGGTCAGAGGCAGTTTGGAGCCCACACGCAACAGTCGTCTCCTGTTTCTGCATCACCTCCGTGACACACCAGATGTTCGTGACTGGAGATGCACCATGATTAGATCAAATATTGCTGCTGCATGTCCCTTTCCCCCTGCTCCCCACAATATGAGTGTAAACTCCTGGTCTGTGCTAATTAGCTTCTCTTAACCCGGGCAACAAAGATTTGTTACCATTGTCCTAACTATACATCAGCTAGGAAGAGGGGAAATCAATTCTGGTTTCTGATTCTTCTCCACTGACTCTGGTGCCCTTTCAGTGGTTGTGATGTGAAGACCCTGAGCAATGGGGAGGGGGGGGGGGGGTGGGGGGGTGCGCTCTGTGCACTTCCTGAGCTGACAGAAACTTAGATGTAAAATCATCTTGTCCTTCACAGAACCCGGCTGGTGCTGGGCTGGACTGAGGCGGAGCTGCAAGTGCGCTCTGGATACCAGTTCATCCACTGTGAAGACATGATCTACTGTGCTGAGAGTCACATGAGGAGTAAGTGCTGTGATTTTTTTTTGGTTCTTCTCATGTGTAGGAGCAGTCCTTACCCTGTGGGGTCAAAAACTTGGAGACTTCAGAGTGTGTGTTGGGGTACCTGCTGGAGCTTAACCGGCTAAAACCACTGCATAGCTTGCCGTTGAAAGCACTGCCTGGTAAACTTCCCGCTGCTTGTCCAGCTAGAGTCACCCTACCAGTTGGAGCTTTGGCTTGCAGGTTTAACTGGACAACATATGTGACGTGTTTTAAATTCAGTAAGGAATTTCCCTGTGTTAGGCAGTGGTGTAGAGAAGCACCATGTTCTTTTGGGAGAAAACAATATCACGTCAAACAGCAAACATGAGCAGTTCTCAATTGGTGAGGTACTGGAGGGCACCCATTGCAGCCTTCTCCTGGTCTTTATGTTTGGGGGAAAACGCATGTGTTGTGATATTGTTCCCGACTGTTCTCTCTGCTCCTCTGCTGTCAGTGATCAAAACTGGGGAGAGCGGCATGATCACCTTCAGGATCCTCTGCAGGGATGGCCGCTATCAGTGGATACAGGCTCTCGCCAGGATTGTGTACAAGAACAGCAAGCCGGACTGCATCATCTCCGACCAACACCCTTTAACGTAAGCTCCGCAGGCACGTGTGTGTACGGGGTGAGGGGAAAGTGACCGGGAGAGGAGGTGGGGGTTGTGCACTATCCAGGTAAATGAATTGGATTCCAGGAAAAGGCGAAGCTTCTCTTAAACTTGGTATTTGGTGCAGCGCCTTGTCATGTCTTCAAGTGCTTGTATGTTACTCTGAAATATAACTATTGCTTCTCTGTAAGATTCAGACAGTTTGAATTTACTGTATTTCACAATCAAATTCTTGAATAAGAAATATGAAACTACTGAGAATTTCTAATGGTTTAGAATTTTGATAATTACACATTTTTTGTTAAGAAATCTATGTAAGAGTGGAGCAACTGAGCCCACTCTCAATCTGCCCATCTCGTCTTGTGTTGCAGAGAAGCAGAAGGAGAAGTACAGCTGCAGAGAAGGCTGAAGCAATGTGGTGTGTTTGCGTGGCCCAAGGCAGCCTCACTGTATGCGACCCCCAGTGTCGTTCCTCCTCAAGCCCATCTCAGCCACAGTCGGGGCCAAGACATTAAAACTGAACAGGGACAATTCCAAGAAGAATGCACCCTACATTCCATGGAGGAGAAAATCCTGGATGAAGTCACGGACATTTTGAGAACTTCAGAACTGCTGGAGCTCCCACATGGAGAGGAATTCCCAGCTGCACCGTGCAACAGAGGAGTAGCTAAAGGAGTTATCAGACCAATTGATGCAGGGAATTACGGGGAAGCTTATGTGGCCACCAATACCCTTGACACTGCATTGGGCTTGGACGCTGTTGTTTTGGAGATGCTGAATGACTATGGAGTGACTCAAAAGGATTTGGAAGCAATTCCTCAAGATGAACAGACAAAACATGTGAATTTTGCCACTTTGAATGGTGACGATTCTTTTCCCAGTGACATTCTCTCTGTGATTGAGTGTCCAATGTCATCCTTCAATTCATCCACAGAAAGCCTGAGCTCCTACACTGAGGACCCCTCGTTTCCATTGGAGAGTGGTGGGAAGCAAATTGGTGAGTCTCGTTCAAGCCTCAGCACAGGTTGGGTGAGCTCAGGTATAGGTTCTTTGGACAACAAGTTCTGTCACCTGTTTGGCCTCCAAAAACAGAAGCAACCTTCTGCTACCAGTCACCTCAAGTCTCCAACCTCTCGGACACACACCTGCAGATCAATGCCTCAGATTACATTCCTAATTCTACATATTTCATGTCTCAGTCCAGCATGCGGTTGACCAGACCAGTTGAAAACAGCAGCCGATCATATATCCATCCTCCTGCTCTGAACCTGCCATCCATCAAAGTAACCAATGCAAACCCCCAGCTAAACCTTTTCAATGGCCAAGCGAGTTGTTTGCATCAACCAGGAATTGTAAAGCCACCTTGGTCCTTGTCTGGTGAAGATCCACAGGGGTCTGACATGGTCATCCCCTCAGGCTTCCTCCCAAAAGATGTCATGAGGTTCATTGCCCCTACTGGGGCTCAGAGTTTGCTGTGCGCAGGTCCGTCATGGGGTAGCGTCCAGTGAAAGGTCAGAGGTCACACCCATTACGCCTTTGTGTCACCAACTCTTTAGCTTCTCAGACTTTCAGTTGTCCAAGCTTTCACTTGTCTAATACAATTGCAATCACTCTTGAAGAACCTGATGGCTATCAGTTAATAATGGGCCAAGTTTATATCTCCTGTGGTACAGACGTGGAACAACAACCACAAATTACATTTGTGGAGCGCCTTTTACGTCGGGCAGATGTCCCAAGGCAACAGTGGACCTTGCCAAAGGCTGTGGAATCACAGATCTCTAGGACCACTGTGAATAGACGATGAATAAATAGGCAGACAGCAGAGCCAAGCTGTTTATACACAAACACTGTTGCTTCCTAAATAAAGGCCAGCATACGTCAATCTTTCCCTGTGAGGATTTGAGGCTTGAAGACTTAACTCCGAACCTTCAAAATTGGAAAGTTGTTTTTTTTACTGTAAGGAGAGATGAATGAGAAGATGCAATGCCCCATTTTGTTGTACCCAGTGGGGCGATCTTTGGAATTGCCAGGATGTGCTAGGCTCGGGAAATTAACTCAATGATTCATTGGCACAAAATGAAGAATGTTGAGTATTCTTCATTTAATTTCACCTGAAAGACAGCAGTCACATCAGATCCTTCAGGGAGTGCTGGAGAAGGGAGGACTGTGATGAACAACAAGAACAACAAGATTCCATTTATGGAGTGCCTTTCACGTCGGGAGGACGACCCGAGCAGTGGGGAAATGGTCAGGGTGAGGGGAGGGAAGGGAGGGAGCAAGTAGGGGGTAGAGAGTCGAGCCGAAGGCTCGGTCAAAGAGAAGATGGTGTGTCTCCAGGATTTACCCTGCTCTACCAGGATAGGGCCTCAACTCCTGGAACACAAAGCTTGTTATTGTGCACAAAGTGACTTATATCAACTCGTTTCTTTTCAGACAGCAAAACTTTGTTTTATTCTAGCATTTCTTTGACCTAATAATTTGCTCAACTGGTTAATAATAATAATCCTTGCATTTGATACAGTGCCTTATCACATCGTTGAGATGTCCCAAAGCGCTTCACAGAATGAAACTGTAAAGTGAATTGACTGTATATGTTGTCTCAAAAGTCTGCTTTATTCCTCCTAAACCAGAAGAGATTGGGTTTAAGGCTGCATGTAAAGAATAGCTCCCTGCGCTATTTGATGGATTAAATATACCCCATTTCACGGGCAGATAAAAGCCGTGACCTGGTTGCAGCAGATGTGGAGCTCGGCTCCTGTTACACCAAAGGCTTTGCAATGCCTCATTCAGCACTTAGCGGTGCTGATGTCATTCAGCCATTAGGCTGGCAGGATCTTTACTGCCCAGCAAACGCCTGTGGATGGAAATAGATTTCAGGATCACATCCTAGCCGTTAAGTCGCTACTTGTGCCATTTGATCAGCAGGTTTATTGTCAAACAATTGATGAGATACAGTGGACCAGATGCAATGTTAACCTCGTCTTTCCGAGGGAATTATCACTGGGAAATAGAGATTAAAATGCAGCGATTTGAATTACCTACATCTTACTGAAAAACGTTGACTTATATAATAGAATCAGTGTATTTTGTCTGAATTCTGTTTTTAGACTGCATGATATCAAATAGATTAATGTCTTCAGCAAAGATGTAAGATTCAGCAATAGAATTTTTTTAGTTGTGTTATAATCTCCGTGCATAGCAAGTGTTCAAGTGTGAATTTAAAAATGTGGGCTTGGTGTGCCACGGATAACCTTTTGTCACAGGAATATCCCATATCTGATCTATGTGGTATTGATTGATCATAGTCTGGAGAGTTGTTGGGCATGACATTGATCTCAGTGCTTCCTTAGGTCATGAAGGGGGGAAAATCAGCTAAGATTCCCACTACAGATCACTTTCATAGGAACAGGAGAAGGCAATTTAGCCCCTCTAGTCTGTTCCACCATACTATTAGATCAGGGCTTACCTGTACCTCCACTCCATTTACCCACCTTTGCTTCATATCCCTTATACCGTTACCAAACAAAAATCTATCCACCTCAGTCTTAAAAATTTGAATGGATTCAGCGTCCACAGCCTTTTGGGGGAGAGAATTCCAGATTTCCACAATGCTTTGTGTGAAAAAAGTGCTTCCTGATTTCCCTCCTAAATGGCCTAGTTCTAATTGTAAGATGTTGCCCCCTTGTTCTGGATTCCCCCACCCGAGGAAATAGTTTCTCTGTGTCTACTCTACTGAATCCCTTCATTGTTTTAAACACCTCAATTAGATCACCCCTCAACCTTCTAAACTCAAGGGAATATCGAGTGACTGCTCAACAGTGTACCTAGAGTCAGCTGAGCTGCAAAACTCTACTGCCTTCAAATAGTCTGCTGAACTTTCCTAGCTAGGCTCTCACACAGAAATGGTGACAAAGGTGTAATATAATAGTTTGTTTGGCTCAGCCCTAAGTCTGTGACTACTTGATAAGAGCAAAGATTGCCAAGCCACCAGAGAGTGAGTCTTCCGGTTGCCAGGAAGTTGGAGTCAGAGGGTGGAATGTTGTGCTTTAGGGTGATGAATTGGAAAAAAAATACATTTTAAAAAATAATGTATAGAATTTTCTTTCTATTAACTAAACCACTTCTAATAAAACATTAGAAAACAAAGGAAAATAAACAAAGATACCTCAAACCACAAGCAACTTAAGAAAAAAAAGTCTACTAAAACTTCATAAATAAATGATGAGTTCAATACATATTTAGAGTAGACCAAGTAATTAATTATTCATGCCAAAATCCTAATCTTTTCAAGTCTTCTGTAAACCATATAAATGTATTGCCAAAGAAGCAGCTTCAAGATGGACAATAGCAGAAAGCTTCCCTAACATTGCTTTCAATGGTGAAACTCCAACAGTGCTCCAACACACACTAAGGGGTCCCCAAGCTTTAGCTCTTGCTAAGATGTTCTAATAGTCTCCAAAACTAGGTAAACAGGGAGTGAGAATGTGCATTCCGTGGAAATTTCGGTGTGTTGGTGGCATACATGGAACTCTGTCTGGTTTGAATACTCTTTAGCGTGTTGATTGTTTTCTGCGGGTGTCAGACATTTGTCTGACCCTCAAAAATATTGTATTGAAATTGGTCCAATGGGATCGAGTGGAGGTGTTTGGTGCAGCTTGGATCAGGTATATTCCAAGTACAAAACTGGAATTACTCGAGCTGGATATTTCAGGTTTACAAGGTTGCCACATGTTTTTTTTCCAGCTCACCTACTGAAAATAACCTAAACGAAATTAGCCTTACATCAATGTAATTATAATTATCTGCATTGTAACTGCAGACTGATGAAACTTAGTTACCGATAAATCTGATCCTTCATAAAACCATAAAAAAATCAATGCATTGTGACCTTTCAGATGTGCAACATTACACTTTGTAGCAGCTTTATACAGTCAGATTAAAGTGCATTCATTGTACTTTGGAATGTTCCCAAATGTTCACTTTCGCCCTGTATTTGTTCTGAACAATTTAGGGAATAAACTTGAAACAAAATCAATTATTCTCAGTTGATATATTTGCAGAAATATTTCCAGGCTACAGAGAGAGAAAATGAGAGAAAGAGGGGAGAGAGAGAGAAAGGAAGAAGCAGCAGGGTAGAAAATTGGTTTGGATGAAGACGCCCATTAGATCTCAGCCTTCCACCCACAGTATCAAGCAGTTTTATTCAATGAGTCCAGTGTCCTGGCCTTGACAGCTTTGAAGAGAAAACGATAGCCCCATCATATTCTGTATGATGCAGCACCATAAATTCTAATAGATTGATTCCTCTGGTAGAAAAACAATCACAAATCAATAATCTAAAATAAATAATGCTTGCTTTGAATATAGCCCCTATAATTCTCCACCCACGCAGACACATCTTGTCTGTGCCCTTCCTACTCCCCATACCAGTATTTACTGAGTCATACAGACTGGCACAACCACTGCTCTGTGTGGAGTGACAGTAAACTCAACGGTGAGTTATCAGGGAGTGCTCAGTTAGGCATATGTATAAATATGTAAATAAATGCAGCAGGATATTGACAAGTGGTAGTGACAAGTTAACATGGGGTCGAGATATCAGGAGTTTACTGTTCTCAGCCTGGGGTGGTGACGGTGAGCACTGCAGAGAACTTCAGCAACCTTGGCGAGAGGAGAAGCATTAGTCTGAGACCAAGCTACGAGCTGGTAACTGGTGACACCTGCTGGATATGCAGGTGTGATTAAATGCGGACAGGAGCAGTGTGAACAAAATGCAGAATACTGCAGATGCTGGAAGTCTAAAACAAACACAGAAGTCGCTGGGAACCCACTCAGCAGATCAGGCAGTGTGCATAGGCATAGGAAATCCTCTCCTGGGCTTCTTTCCCAGCCCTGTGGACTCTGATTTCCCTCAGCCCTCTCTTTCTACAGAATTGGAATCGAAGCTTCATGCCACTCAGCCACTGCTTTGTTGCATCCTCTCTCCTCTTTTCAACTTGAGGGTGGGCGGGTGGGTCCTGTGCTGTGTGTTGGGGAGTGGGAGGGGTGTCCTGTGCTCTGTTGGGCCATGTCCTGTACTGTTTGCGGTGGTGGGGGGGGGGCCGTTGTCTTATGCCGTGTGATTTTTTTTGTGGAGGGTAGGGATGGGTGGTTCTTGCTGGGCATCCAACCCACCACTGTACAGTAATCTGAGACATTATCCTATGTAAAGGATGCTATATAAAGGCAAATTGTTGACGTGTGCTTTTCTGTCTATTCCCCAGTACTTGCTATTCTCTCTCTCTCTCTCTCTCTCTGGATATCTGGGAGTTCAAAACCCTTGTTCTCAGCTTTAAGCCCTCCATGGTCTTGCTCCCCCCTACCTCTGTGACCTCTTAAGCCCATATCAGCTCCCTCCGCTCGGCGGACACCGGCTGCTTCAGGTCCCCCATGCTTCCCACTCCACCACGGCGGTCGAGCATTCAGCATCTCTGCGCCCACACTCTGAAACTCCATCCCGCAATCCCTCCGCCTCACCTCCTCTCTTGCTGCCTTCAAATCCCGTCTAAAGAGGCTCCTCTTTGACCGTGCCTTCGGCCACCCACACCCCACCTGCCCTCCTGACCCCAACTCCTCGCTCAGGTCCAAAACTCCTAATCAGTGGCTCGGGATGCCTTTCTGACTTGAAGGGGGCTATACAAGTGTAATTTGTTGTTGTTGTTGCTATTCTCCCTCCCTCTTTCTCTCGCTGAGGTTTTACCAGGGTGCCCCAGACAGCATCCTGCGGTCACCAGAATGCTTTATAAAATAACTTACTTATTCGATGATGTAAAATCGCCCTGAATTGTCTCCACAAGTCTGAGGCCATTTGTAATAAATGCCTCTCTCTGGCATCCCAATGTGCCCGGCCTGTGTGTGTGAATGCTGTGTGTGTGTATGAATGAATGCTGTGTGTGTGTGAATGCTGTGTGTGTGTGTGTGTATGAATGAATGCTGTGTGTGTGTGAATGCTGTGTGTGTGTGTGTGTATGAATGAATGCTGTGTGTGTGTGTGTATGAATGAATGCTGTGTGTGTGTGTGAATGCTGTGTGTGTGTATGAATGAATGCTGTGTGTGTGTGTGTGTGTGTGAATGCTGTGTGTGTGTGTGTGAATGCTGTGTGTGTGTGTGTGTGAATGCTGTGTGTGTGTGAATGAATGCTGTGTGTGTGTGAATGCTGTGTGTGTGTGAATGCTGTGTGTGTGTGTGTGAATGAATGCTGTGTGTGTGTGTGAATGCTGTGTGTGTGAATGCTGTGTGTGTGTGTGTGTGTGCTGTGTGTGAGAGCTGTGTGTGTGTGTGAGTGCTGTGTGTGTGTGAGTGCTGTGTAAGTGCT